TTGTTCTTCATGCAGAAAAGTCAATATTTAAACTTTAACTTTTGTCATCAATAAAATGTTTTGAATCATTAATTTTGACAGACCTTCTTATATTATTTAAGAGAATGATGTTTTGACTTGTTGTTTGATTGCTGACTGTCATTCAGACTAAAATATGACTAAGCTCATTGTGTTCTGCAATGAGCTCATTAATTTAACTCTGTTTGATAGCTGTCTGAGCTGCAATATCATTTCATTTCATTCACAGACATGTAACTGTGTTTCTTAGTACCTTCTCATCATTAAAAATGCTATCAATGATTACTGCTAACTTATTATAAACATGATTCTTATCTAAGTGAATTGTCTATCTGAATTCTTTAAATAAGACTCACAGTTGATCAATTAGCTTTGTTGGAATATATTGTCAGTTCTTTTTGATTTTTCAAAGAGCTAGAAGTCTGATGTAGTTATTCTGATCTGGGTGTCTTTGATAACTAATAGAAATGAGTTGCTATTGTCTGTTGTGCTGTCAGATTCTTGCTGAGTAAATTCTACTCAATTCTGAGTAGAAAGAGTAGAATAAAGCTTAATATTATGTTAGAGTGTAAATGCAAGCTGCATAAGAAGAAAACTCTCTGCATTGCTAACTGCTATATAATAAAATACTAAGCTTGATGAAATGAAAAAAGATGCTGAGATCTGTCTGAATTATAACTACATGATTATAGCAATGCAGAGAGTTTTCTTCTTATGCAGCTCACATTCAGTCTCTAACAATATTTATTTTTTAAAGAAAAGTATATTTTCAATAATCAATTCTTAAAATTTTATCTAAATAATATGAAAATTAAAAGATTGATTAATTTTAGTAATAACTTTCAAATAAGAGTATTCTTAAGTTAAAATTTCAAAAATTAACTGAGTTTTAAAAAAATAATTTTTTTATTAAAATTTTTTTTATATTAGTTTATTTTTTTAACTATGTTGAGTTATTTATTTTATTTAAAATAATAAAAAAATAAATTAAAATTGAAATTATAAATACTATATTATTTTGAGATAAAACTCTATAATTATAAAATTTAATTAAATAGATATTATAATTACTGACTGAATATATTTTAAATAAAAAATAATAATAAATAATAAATAATAATAATAATAATAATAATAATAATAATAATAATAATAATAATAATAATAATAATAATAATAATAATAATAATAATAATAATAATAATAATAATAATAATAATAATAATAATAATAATAATAATAATAATAATAATAATAATAATAATAATAATAATAATAATAATAATAATAATAATAATAATAATAATAATAATAATAATAATAATAATTAAATTATAAATTATAAAAAAATTTATTTAAAATTTAATAATAAAAACTTTATAATAAAATTAAAATATAAAGTTATTTATAATTATTTATAAAAATTAATATTTAATTTAAAGCAGTTGATATTAATTATAAAGTTTTTGAATAATACTCTTAAATTTCTAATAAAAAGTAGCAAAAAAAGCTTTTATAATAAAAATAAAAACTAGAATAAATAAAAATATAAAGTTAATAAAAATTTTTAAATATTTAATTCAGTTATAATTATTAAGAAGCTTATTTAAATATAGATATATAAATAAATATAAAATAAATATAATTATAAATATAAATATAAAATCTACTTATCTAATTTTTAAATTTTTCTTTAAAAAAAGTTTAATATTATATTATAATAAAAGTTTAAAGTTAAAATAATAATAAAATAAAGCTTTAATTTATTTATAAAATTATATAATTTATGATAAAAATATTAAACTAAGAATTAAAATATAAAATAAAAGAATAAATAAATATAAATAGATTAATATAAAATAAGTTAATTTTATATTATATTATAAATAATTATATTATAATAATATATATTCTATTAAATTATTATTTATTTATTTTATTAATTAAATAAAAATAAAAAATAACTTATAATATATAATTATAAAGTTTTATTTTAAAATAATATAGTATTTAAAAATTAATATATTATAAAAACAAATTTATAAAATCTTATTTTATTAAAAAGTTAATAATAATAATAAATAGATAAAGTTAAAAAATAAAAATATCAAAAAATAAAATAATACTTAAATTTAATATTTATTAATTATATATTTAAATATATATTTTATTTTAATTTATAATTTATTTTTTAAAAATAATTAAAAATTTTTTTAATTTAATATTAATATATATATATATATTATTTAATTAATTTATTAATAAATAATTTTATTACTATTATTTATTTTATTTTATTTATTTTTATAAATTTTTATTAAAATTAAATATATATATAATTATAATATTTATAATATATTTATTTAAATACTATATTAAATTTTTAAAAGATATTAAATTTATTTATTTTAAAAATTTTTAATTATTATATTTATTATTAATTTTTTCAATTGATTTCATATTTATATTTAATAATAAATTTATTATTTTATATATTATTAATTATTTTTACTATAATAAATAGAAATATTAAACTTTATTATTATTAAATTTATATTATATTATCTATAGTTATTTTTATAATTAATAATTTTTATAATTAATTAAATTATTATTAATTTTAAATTTAAATAATATATTAATTAGTTCTATATGAATATAAATATATTAAAAATTAAAAATTTTTATATATTTTCAATTAATTAATTGTTTTTATAAATAATAATAATTTTATTTAATCAAATAAATTATTAAATTTTAATTTAATTAAATTTATTTAAGTTCAAATAAAAATATTAAACTATAGTTTTAAAAAACTTTATAAAATATAAAATTATATATCATAAAAAATATTCAAATATGAATATATTGATTATTTCATTATTATATATTAAAATGATAACAATAAATATAAAGAAAAATTACTATAAATGAAGATGAAAAAATAAATATTATAAGATAAAAAATGAGAAAGAAGATTTTAAGCATAGTAGCTTTAATTATCAGATTTAGTAGTTATTATAGCAGCTTCAAATTATCAAATTAATTAATGTTCTACTAAATATCCTACATATAAATTACTAGGGAAGAGTGATACAAACGGATACAGCCAAATGTACTAGTACAGGAAGGGGTCGAGAACTGGTATTTGATGACTGGTCAGGCTTTTATTTTCCTTCGTATTAAGGAAGATGAACCGACTACTTTATATTACCACCTTGCTGAACCTATTCGAAATGCTGAAGCTCAGGATGGCAATCATTCCCCCCCGTTCTAGCACCGTAATAGCATCAGTTCACACAGCATGCTTCATGGCCTTGGGGCATGAAGCAGAGAAAAGAGACCAAGAGTGGCGGTCTTGTGCAATTGTGCAATTTTCGCTCTTCACACGTGGGTCGTCGATGTAGAGTACATCTTGGCGAAATTGCCGGCTGAGGAGCGGAGCCGAACACCACCTGAGTCAAGCTAGGTCCCATCAAGCCCGCTTTCCAGTAACATCCAACAGGAAAAAACTCGACGACCGCGTCGACTGCAAGGTTGCTGAGTGGACCTCGACGGCGCATCCTTCGATTCACCTTCGGATAGCTCTGAAGGGGATGATCCCAACAACAGCAACGCATGGATCCATGAGGAGAAACGATTCGCAGTAGCTATATCTCCACCGCGGCACCCTCCGGCAAAACGACAGCTGGAATCGCAGTAGGGCCGTCAGTGCTGCACACAATAGCGTCTTGTTGACTTGGGTACTGGGAATGTTTTCGGTCAAGCATGTCCCAATGTTGCTCTTCACCAAAGAATGAGCCAGGATGACAGCCATCCAATTTCTAAAGCGAACGTCACCAAACTACTTGAGGCCTAGTTGAACAAAGACCGAGAAAATGGTTGCAGACCTTTGAAATTGTTTGGGTCCGGGGCATTATCTTTAAAATGACGCAGGCCAAATACGGCTATACTTTCGTCGGGAAAGGGACGATCAACGGATTGATCCATAATCTGAAACACGAGGCTAAAGTGTACGTCATATAGGAGCGGAGTATCTTCGTCAGTCAGGATCGGTACTTCTAGGAATTGGAATGGCAAGACTAAGAAGTAGCAGTGACTTACCTTTACAATCCTCAGGTCATGGTAAGAAACACATCAGAGGTTATCCTTGCGTGTACTGAATGCTGCTTTGAATTCAGAAGAAGTGACTGTGCCCGTGATGTCAGGCTCGTTATATCGTCAGAAACAGCATGATTCGCCGTTTCCAGACAGTCTGGCTTCTTGTGATGCTCTCAATAAATTTCGCCAAGTTCGGAGAAGTAAATATATTTATAACAAGAAATACGCGTTCCAAATTATGGAAGCTGGAGCATATGCGTAGAAATGCAAAAATGAAGGTGCTTTAAATAGCCGCCAAATGAAGCCGTAAAATGAACACTTCAAGGAGTCTGAATATGGACACCGGGTGTAGGTAAAGACATCTGGGCGCAAGGAGATGGAACACCAGAATACGATTTCGGAGTTTGTAGGTCATCTACTTCAGGTTCCTGACAACGTATCTGTGGAGAATGGAGAACACAGAGATATCCTAATTCCGTAGTCTGCGGCAGTCTGCGGCAGTCGGATGAATGGTGAGGCCGGTGGAGGGACGTTTTCAGTAAGTTTTCCTGATTGTTAAGCTAGGCAAACTCTCACGCGGCTCCAGAAGGAGCAAATAGTTCCCAGTTATCTTTCATGGGCTCGTTTTTGCACGCCCACATATATACCCAGGTAGTAATGGGATGGATGTAGGAAGAAGACCGAAGTTGGTGAGGCTCAAGTGAGGCGGAAGGCGGCCAACGCACGGACCAGGTGATTAGCGTTTTGTTGCCAAAAGTCGAAATGGAACCTTCGTAAATCAAACACAACCAACCTTCGTATAGAAATCTTCCAGGCCGACAACAAGAGAGCGACTCACTGCTCTTGATGACCTGGCTTTGATTTCTAACCGTTAAGACAGCATGTCATTCTTTGGCTTTGATACGACTCTGCCAAGGGATCGCCGTTCTGGTCCACAGGCGCGCGGCATTTTCGAGAATCCTGATCCGTTTGCGCAGGTTGCCAGCGCCACCGCGCAGGAAGATGACGATGCGTACATCTCCCCCATCTCCCTTTCTTTAGTTCTGGAAAGCGTGGTTTAACTAATCTTTGCGTGAAGAATTGATTTCGAAGACACGTACGATGGCCTGGGTGACCAGTTGGACGAGGACCAAGATGCTTTTAACGATGATACGTTTGGCGGAGGAGATGACCAGGACAAGCCTGTGGGGAAAGATTTTGATTTCTACGGGAACACCGCTCAAATGACAAATGTCCTCGATGAAGAGCAGATGCTGTATAAGTTGAAACATCCCCCGACTGAGTCGAAGTCGAAATCTCAAGCACCAGCTCTGGCCAAGCCGAAGAGGACTGGTTACGAACTCTACCAGGACCCAGGTTATATTCCGGAGATCCAGGCAAAATCTGCTGTTTGGGGGACAAATGTGGGGCAAAAGGCTAAGGCATACGATGGTGCCCAGACTGTCAAGGCTGCCGCACCTGCGAAGAAGATAATGAGTTTGGAGGAAGTTGAGGCGCAAATGCGAGCACAAAGCAAGAAACCACAAGCAACTGAGCAGGTTTCTGCCCCTCCACCGCATTCGACCGCTCCTCGATTCCCAGGCGCCATTCCACAGGTGACAGTTCCTCTCAGCATGTCTACGATGCCGTCCATGCCTCCACACGAAAGACCAATTGCTCCGCCCGATAGTGTGCCTCCCATATCTCTTCAGGAGTTTCCTCCACTTGATCAACAGCAGCAATATGCTCAGCTAGGGCAGGATGCCCTTGCAGCTCAGGCATTCCAACGCCAGCAAACTGTCCTTCCTATGGTGAACATGGGTCCACACTCTGGAATGCCCCCTCCAGCAATGCATCAACCAAGTCGACCATCCCTTAATGCACCTCTACATCGTTCAATGCGACAAGTCCAGGCTCACCATCCAAAATCACAGCCCCATATGGGTCCTCCTGCTTCATTGCCCCCGGCGTCCGGAATGCCTCCTAATATCCATATGACCGAAGAGCAGAAGCAGGCATATTTAATCGAGGATGCAAAACGAGCCAAGCGGAATCACAAGATATTCCTTCTTTCCAAAGGGAACGGTTTAATGACTCCACAAGATAAGAATTTCATTACCCGTATACAATTACAGCAGCTAGTTGCCGCAACAGGAAACGTGACAGAGCCTGATGGCGAGGCATCACTGGCGGAGGACTTTTATTACCAAGTCTACAGCCAGATCCGTGGGGCTCCAAGGCAACATCCTCGTCAGCCGTTGGGTCACTTTGCACAAACATACCTATTTCAAACCGGAGGGCGATCTGCAGGGGGACTGGGCAGACGTCAATTTTATACTGGAGACAATCATATGCAGCGGATGCAACAGCAGGTTCAGCGGGCGGTGGAAGCAGCAAAACTGAGACCAAAAAACAAGCAACTGATAATTGAAGGGAGCCTTGGTAAAATATCGTTTAGCAATGCCAAAACACCTAAGCCGCTGTTGAACATCACGCGCCCTGACAGCTCTGACGGCCAGAAAGTCTCCAATCACAAAAGAGGGGGACATACAGCACTGAGTGCCAGTGACCGCAAGTCTATATTGAACAATATCGAAAGCGTATATAGCACCCTGATGCAGATGGAAGATTACGAACGGAATATGCCCCTATCTCCAAATGAAAATGATCCTACATCTGTCGAGAAGCATATGGAATGGAGACAACAAATGCATGCCCTCAACAAGAAGCTCTGGTCAGACATGAAGGTACTAGAGCCAATAGTTCCCGGATCGTCTACCCCGCATCCCTTCATCGCGTTCTTGTCCTATCCCAAGGGCAAAAAGGCCATTCCACGTATTTTCCGCCATATCGATCAGGAACAACGTGTCACCATCCTCACCATGATCGTTGTTCATCTTGATTCTTTGGATGTTGTGCATCGAGCACAACTTCGCCCTGGAGAAACTCAGCCACCCTTGGCGGTCCGAGAAGAAATTGACCTGTTTTCACATGCTGTCATGCCCAGTCTCCTTGGGTATGTTAACGAAGCGCCGATTAATATCATCACCGGTCTGCTAGGTGTCGTAATTGGGCAGACCCATGTACAAACAGTGGCGAAGACTAAAGTTGGCCTTGGAGTTTTGACCATGTTGCTCAGCCGCGCGGAATTGGTTAAGGTTTCTGGCGCCGTGGACGATGGGGAATGGAAACCATGGACAGAGTTGTACAACAACTTGTTTGATCGACTCGAGCCCGTATTTGGCGATATTTTCCCCGGATCGATTAATAGTGGCGATGATATGTACATATGGCAGTTCCTCGCTGCTGTAGGTATTGGCGCTAGCCCAGAACAGCAGCAACGGTTGGTGATTGCTGTAAAGTGAGTACCTTTTTAATTTCTTTGAGTAACTATGGCCTCGCATCATTTACTTACTTTGTTTCACCCTCAGGGATCGAGTTATGGAAACCGTTGCTCAGAGCAAAACCCTGCCAGCGGACATGGCTAGTCAACGTCTGGGCAACGTCAACTTGTTCATGCGAGCTATCGGACTTGATGTCGAACTCTTGGGATAAAAAATAATAACAGCTGCGGATACTCACAATCGGAAATTGTTTCCTCGTACTGCTACAGCGATGCTATGCAGTCCCGAAGATTCAAGTTCACAGCCACGCATCCGTTGATGTGTTTTTTAAGCGGTCCCTGACGGATCCTGCCGTGACTCGGCGTCCAAACAACAAATGGAAAGAAATGGTGTGTAAGGAATCACGTGAGCGCATGACGGAGATTGAACAATCTACTTCAACATGAATACGTATGGCTACGATCTTTTCTAGTCCTTATCCTAGGAATTGGACGTTTTCTCCTTCTTCACGTACAGGATATATGGACGAAACCAATAACCTCTGATCGATTTCAACTTGCGCCATAAAGTTTTGATCTAGCTTTGTGGATTGATATTGTCCAACATCATTGATATGAAGAGATACCAGCACATTCTATTTTATGCTTTCCTCGTTGGTTGCTCTTTATTTCTCCATTTTATTATTTCCTTTATTTAATACCTTCTCAAGAAAGAAGCTCTCGTTTTTGACACTTTGCATGTTTAGTTCGTGCTCAGTCATTTTCTTCCTCTCCTTTCAGCTCTAAAATTTTGTTCACGTCCCTTTTTCTTCGACGTTTGTTCCCCCTTACCATTTCCATTTTTCTGACGATGTTGAAATACAAATACCACGCAATGTGACTGTGTGAAAAAGTAAGAAGGACTAGAATTTATTTTGCTAGGTGTTCTGTTGAATGATGCGCTTGACCATGTACATCCTATCCTTTACGAAAGAGAATGAACAAAAAGGTTGATGGACAGATAGCCAATCTCATAGGTTACCATTGCCTTTATATAGGTACATGTTGACTACGTGGTGATTAATGAGGAGTGATTACACCGCCCAGTTATCTGGTCAGTTATGAATTTTGAATAGATTGGGAAATGCAGGAATGAAGCGAGTGGATAAGCGTAACTACGTAGGATTCGAGTAAAACAACCAAGCAACGAAAACTATGATTTTAATTTTAGCAGGGGCATTCGCCAGGTGTAAGGAAAGAAATTTTTTTTTTTTTTTTTTTAAAAAAAAAGCATATGGACACGAATTAACTAGTCTCCTGTATGATGATAAATCTTATTCTGTACTTGGGCTTTCTGTATTCCCATATGGAAGCTTAGAAACTTTGTATGAGGAAATTGACGCGCGAGTATTGTTTGACCGTCCGATTGCTTAGTGTGCCGCGGCAAACTACGATGATCTAACCCCCCAGCACTTGGGTTGCGATAGAGATGGCCAAGTAAAATCACCAGCCGGACGATTAATGACAAGAGTTGGATGGGAATAATGATGTGCTGAGCTCACAGGATTAGAGGCCAAAGAAAGGGGTGGGCGCCATCTATACATATTAAACGGGATAGCTGACTGGAAGGTCAGAAAAAAAAATTAAAAGACTTTTCAAGAGCCAATTCTTTAAATACAAACACCATTTTCCCAGACATGGTTGTGTAGAATCTCACGACAGCGAGAGAGCCCGCGTATCGTAATTCCTCTAACTCTGCGATTTCCCACCATCCGTCGCTCTGAGCATATCAAAGAGCGGAAATCAAGAGGCTGAGAGAAGAACAAGGGCTCAACCAGAGAAGATGGAACGAAACTTTAGTAAAAGAAAGTACAGTTAACTGTACGTATTCACACTTATCCACTTACAACTTGACTATTATGCTACATAACAACATAACATCTCTTCAATCTGAAAAGGAGTCCGTTCATTTACCTTTTTAAAGCAGTTAAGAAACCCAACAAACGTGACCCCACCAACCCTTTTAGTTCTGGAGCAGAACTTTACGACGATGCGCGCATCGCATCGCATCGCATCGAGTGACTGGGAAGTTGGCAAGTAAAATAACGCGTACTTCCACCGTCAACTTCTCCTCCATGCATATCGGCTGGGTTCATTTTGGTCCTTAAAGCTGGAGGATGGATCCCAATGGGTCTTCCAACTGGTGAGCCCCGCCAGCACCTCTCATCGTCTTATGAATGAAGAGACTTGTGGTGGCAATTGCAGTAGTTATGGCTGGGCTAAGTATCCGACGTTTGCGGTCAAACAACGCAGCACCCATGGTTGCATCCGCCTGCGCTCATATTTCTTGTATATCACCAGGAGACTTCTCCAAGCAGTTTGCTGCAATGCTCAGTTTCATAGCAGCACGGGAATACGTAGTTGGAAATTTCAGGGTAGAGATTCCAAGCAACCGAAACCAAGGATTGATTACAAAGTACATATATCCTGAGAGCCACTGTTCCTCCAAGGGCAGTCCTCAAGGTATCCACGGATTGATTGTCTTTGAGGAGCGAAGACAAAGGTTTGGATCGGTTTGATTGAGACCACATAATTTCTCAGCGGGCTTAGGCTTTGAACCCGCCCCGTTGAAGCTCCAGCATCGGTGACGAGTATTAAAATGCGTATGGAGTTAACAACGCGCTGGTTGCGGTGGTTAACTATTTAAAATATTAACTAACCTCTCCTATTTATTAGCGTACAATCTTCGATTTCTATAGTTATACTCCCCGTTCTTATTAACGAAAAGGATACACACCATGAAAGATAACATTTATTATTGCTTAAATACTAATATCTCATATCTCATCCTCATCTTTTTCTCGCTGTTTCTGCTGCTGTCATCAATTCAACATTCTTGGGTCGGGACAACCGCAATTGCATAATCGCAACCGAGGACAGCTTCCAAACCATGACTTTGGGAAGTGTCCTCGTTACCGGGTGAAAATCCTCTCTTTTCTCTCATTCGATAATTCCGTCCCTTCTTCTGTTTCAATTCGCTGACCTGTACGACGTGATAATGCAGTGGAACCGGTTACATTGGCTCCTTCACCGCCTTGGCTCTTCTCGAAGCTGGCTACAAAGTCGTTATCGTAGACAATCTTTATAACTCGTCAGAGGAGGTCATTAATCGCATCGAATTGATCTGTGGCATACGTCCAGAATTTGCTAAGGCGGATGTCACAAAAGAGGCCGATTTTGATCGGGTCTTCGAGCAACATCCCGATATCGACAGCGTCATCCACTTTGCCGCACTCAAAGTATGTATAACAGGATATCAGGATATATATATATACATCAATAGCCTTGTTTAATTAATTCCTCCCACCAACCCATGTCATTACAGATGAAGTTACGGAGCTGATGTTTCTGTTTCTGAATAGGCTGTTGGCGAATCTGGCGAGAAGCCACTCGACTACTACCATGTCAACGTTTGCGGATCGATATGCCTCCTCCGATCCATGAAGCGACATAATGTCACCAACATCGTTTTTTCCAGTTCCGCCACCGTCTACGGCGACGCTACCCGATTCCCAAACATGATACCCATTCCGGAAGAGTGCCCTCTGGGCCCAACAAACCCGTATGGAAACACCAAGGTCGCTGTGGAGACTGCAATCACCGACATGATCAATGCAGAGAGAAACAACGCCATCAAGGCTGGCAAACCAGAGGAAGCAGAGAAGTGGAACGGCGCCTTGTTGAGATACTTTAATCCATCGGGAGCGCATCCAAGCGGCATTATGGGGGAGGACCCGCAGGGTGTCCCGTATAACCTGCTCCCCCTCCTTGCGCAGGTAGCCACAGGAAAGAGAGAGAAACTCCTCGTTTACGGAGACGGTCAGTCTTCTCTTCCCCCCACCACTGGCAGCACTGAACACCCCGCAACCCAATCAACCCAACTAACACACATTTAATTTACCTATAGACTACGCCTCCCACGACGGCACCGCAATCCGCGATTACATCCACATCCTCGACCTAGCCGCCGGCCACCTCCAGGCACTCAACTATCTGCGCGCCAACCACCCAGGCGTGCGCGCCTGGAATCTCGGCACAGGCAAAGGCAGCAGCGTCTTTCACATGGTCAAAGCCTTCAGCGCCGCCGTGGGCCGTGATCTTCCGTACGAAGTCGTCGGTCGCCGTGCGGGTGACGTGCTCGATCTCACTAGCAATCCAAGCCGGGCGAACCGCGAGCTTGGCTGGAAGACAACCAGGACGCTGGAGGAGGCCTGTGAGCATCTGTGGCAGTGGACGAAGAATAATCCGCAGGGCTATAGGCAGCAGCCACCGCAGGAGTTGTTGGAGAAGTTGAAGAGGGGGAATAAATAGAATTTTTTATTTTTTATTTTTTAATTTTCTTTTTCATCCGTGTTATAGAAGCCGGGGTTGGTTCATTTGTTCTGTGTAGGTGTAGAAGGTGGAAAACCATGTGGGACGTGGGGTGTCGTGGATTTTGATACATTTGCGTTTTGGGATGGATATGGGTTGGCCAGGGACAAGAGGTGGTAATGAATGAAATGGAAGGCCGATGGATGTGTGAAGATTTTCCACAAAATAAGCCCTCTTCATCTTGTCAGTACATTCTACGACGTAGCAAAACATAATTAATGTGACGGATGGGCATCTTTCCAACCATGGATTGATGAAAGGGGGCTATCTAGATACCCGCATATCAAAAAACAAAATCGCAATTCTACACAAAGAAAAATTGGTATAAAATGCGAATGCAATATGGTGTAAATAGCACCCTAATCCTTTCCCCTCCCTCCAAAAAAAAAAAAAAAAAAAAAATCCAGGCCGTATGAAATAAATATATGGTTGCTCCGTTGTATCAAAACTCCGTTGCCATTGAACTGCCCCATAACAGCACCAAGTGAACCAACCCCCCTCTATGTCTCTGTTTTCGCCTTTCTGCTCCGCCTTGACCCGGGCTTCTGCTGCCCACTCCCTTGCCTCTGACTTGAGTCAGTATCACCGTCACCGTCACCATTGACTCCAGCAGCAGCAGCAGCAGAAGTAGCAGAAGTAGTAGTAGTAGTAGAAGCAGCAGCATCAGCAGCAGTAGTAGAACCAGCGGCGCTCACTTTCTTCCGTTCCACCTCCCGCTTCTTCTTCTCAAGCGCCCGCCTCACCGCGCCTTCTTTCTCCCTCAGCTCGATCTGCCATGAACTAAACTCCCACAGCTGCTTTCCGACGTGCTCATCCACGACTTCCTTGCGCAGCACATCCCGCTCCCTGCACTCCTTAATCAGCATCCCGCCCGCGATGCCGGCGCCGGCGCCGACTCCGACTCTGCCGATGTTCGCTGCGGGTGCTCCGAATACCGCATCCATGGCCGCCGTCAGGAAGCTCTGCGCTCCTTGCTGGGGGGATTTCAGGACAAGCCACCATATGGGCCATGTGATCAGGTAGATGATGAGGCCGAACAGTGAGCCGGCGGTTAGCCAGCGCCGCGTTCCCGGGGTGCGTGAAAAGCCTGGGTCGACGACGAGAACGCGGGTGTTGCAGGGTTGCTTGTCGGGTCGCTGGAAGGCGGAGAGGTGGGATTGGAAGGATTTGGCAAAGATCATCAGAGCGAGTTTGGACGTTGCGTACATGCTGCTCTGCGCAGCTTCAGTGGTGTGAGCAGTGGTTCTGTTCGAAGAGTTGGAGGGTTTTGTCGTTGAGTTTGAACTCATATTTGTTGCCGGCTTGGATGCAGAAAAAGGTTTGGCTGCAGCGGGGCGCATCGTGCTGTCTTCCAGACGCTTGAAGTCCAATGTCGCACCGATGTAACTCGAGCAGGTGCCGAAGATAACTCTGACATCTCGATCCGGCGGTTGGGCACGTAGTGCGGGACTTAGGATGCTGAGCAAGTGATAGTTGGCAAGGTAGTTGACCTGCCACTCCTCATCTAAGGAGTCTATGGTCGTGCGTGGTTTCGCGCGAGATGGCTTCATGATGTTGGCGCAGAGAATGATCATGTCCAGTCGCCGGGGCGGGGCATTGTCAACCCATTTTGTAGCGAAGGTTCGAACGGAATACAAGGACGAGAGGTCAACTTGTTCGGCATAGACAAGCTGGTTTCCGGTAGAATTCCGGAGATCTTCGACGTAGTCGATGAGGAAGGGGTCAGATGGTGCGTGCTGTGTGAGGAGGATGATTTGGGCGCCCTGGGAAGCTAGCCTCTGCGCAATAGAAGCTCCAATTCCTGATGTTCCACCCTACATCGGAAGCGTCAGACGGTATGTAATGCGGTTGGCTTCAAGAGCAAATGGGATCGGACATACAGTTATCATGACCACTTTCGAGTGCATCCGGCGATCTGAAGTATTTCTCGCGCCTCCAAAGTAGCGTTTCAACAGGGCGACGAGGACAATCCATGGGGAAGTCTTCAATATCGGGACCGCATACGGGATAGTCGAGATACCGTCCACCACTCCGTGAGCCAGGAGAGGGACTGGCATTGTGGGAAAATAGGTCTCCGACTACTTTCGCAGCTCCAATTGAGGGTCGCAGATCGCCATACAGTTTGTATGTTTGATTGATATTTATTTATTTATTTTTCTGATGTTTCTAAACGTCGACGTCGTTTGGTTTTGAGGGGGCGGCAGACGACCTGCAGGTCATAGACAGACCGGTGAAGGTCAGCGTGTAACTAGTTCATCAACTAATATATAAATATCAAGTGTCGCCTACGCCACCAATTTTCGTTGGGCGTTGATCAACATCAACATCTACATCAAACACCCCGAGTCTCAACCAACAACACTCCGCTCTGCTTCTGCGGACAGGGGCAGGGGGATAGGTTGCAAGGAAGCATGATACAGTGTCAGAGGTCTAAACAGCTATGGCATACGACGGCGAGCATGAGTACTTTCTCCCGCTCCTGGACCAACGAGTCTTCGGAGCAGGCATAAAGAGAAAACGAGTCCCTTTCATCCCCTCCAGCGATGTAACTGCCGCCATCAACGCGCCCTCTTCATCAAAAGACATATCCAGCGCCTCTAATACGCTGCTGCAACAACAACAACAACAACAACAACCAAATACCTCCTCAATCGGTGACAGATACCTATCCATCGTCTTCCCCCCGGCACCTGAAACCAGCGGGCTGGAAACACACACAACGTCTACCCCCTCACCTCCATCTACTTCCGCAGCAACCACCCCATCAACAACCTGTGAAATTTGCCAGCTACCCCTCTCCCCCTCCCCATCCGGTCCCGATACAGATACCAGACCCTCCTCCAAACCCCACGAAGCCACCCTCGCCCACCAAGTTTGCCTCCCGCACTCGCATCCCCCTTCCGCCATCGATCGCACCCGTCCCGGCTTCAAATATCTCTCCGCGCGGGGTTGGGATCCTGATTCGCGACTTGGCCTAGGGCCACAGGGCCAAGGTATCTCTGCGCCGCTGAAGCCCAGGGTAAAACATGATACGCTCGGCTTGGGGGTTAAACCTCGCAAGGCTGGTGAGGAGAAGGCTGCGAAGGGAAATGGGAAGAAGGTGGAGAAGATGAATGCGAAGCAGGTGAGGAAGTTAGAGGAGGAACGGAAGAAGAAGGGGGAGAGGTTGCGGGAGATGTTTTATGCGCGGGAGGATGTTGAGAGGTATTTGGGGCATTGATTCGGTTTGTGCTTGCGGTGGATGAGGTGGTGGGTGGTTTGACGCAGTTTACTTTCCAGGCGTTTTTGTGCATACTTGTGACTTGCTATATTACATTGATACACCATTTGCCTTAGGTTTTTTGGGTTATTTAATTTGCCTGTGTATGGCGTTGAAGGAGGTATGTGACGGAACCAGGATCATCTAGATAGACACCACAAGGGTAATGTTACACGCAAAACGGTCAAGGCAATAAATTTTCAAAGTATTTTATATCTATATATGCTACATGGAAACGGAAATTGATAAAAAAAAAAAGATATAACTAAACGCCACATGATCTGTCATGCAAGTTGTACGCTGAATGAAAACTTATGGGGGAGATACGAATGGATAAAATTTGTCGATACTTGCCAGACTAACAAGTAATCGAGGTATCAAAGTGGGAAAGTGGGAACCCTTGGGACATATGAAGGAATAGGAGACGGACGACGGAAAAGAACCCAATAAATATCATCATCGAATCGAATCATTTGAAGAAATTGCGTTTCTTCTTCTCCTTGTCTTTCTCCTTGTCTTTGTCCTTCTCCTTTTTAACTAATTTACCGCCATGCGCTAATGGCGATGGGGAAGGGTGGTGGTGACTCGGCTGAACAACAGAGCCATTGGGTGATTTCCGCGCAGCATCACGGGAGCTAATAGTCATCGACGCCAAACCTGCTGTAGGAGGAGCTGGAGGTACCAATGATTGCGGGGGGGGTGGCTTCTCGAAAAGATGTGCAGGGGCCTTTGGTTGAGGGCGGTCAGCAGGGAGATCCAACCGCCGCTTGTCGACGCTGAGGTCCCCAAGTTGACGTAGGAAGAGTTTCGGGGTGAGCATATGTGACGTGGCCAGGTATATATCTTTGGACGAGGTTTTGGATATTTCATAGCACGAACGGGCCTCAGAGAAAGTCGCTCCACCGGCCATGAAAAGGATGACTCTCTGGCGGGGCTCTGCTGCAGATGGACGGGTTCGGGCCCAGGTTGGTTTTGCGCTTCGAAGAGATGCCTGTGAGACATTCTCTTGGCCTAGGGTACCGTCTGGGTCGAGATGGGGTCGAGTATACGGGAATATTGTGGGATCCAGGGTGCCTTTGTTCTGTTCTTCTAGCAACAGTTTTAGGTTAGGCTCGAATCGGGAAAGGCTTGTGTCGTCTTCTGATACTTGAGGGGGTGGCTTCCGTGGAAACAAAGGTTCGCGTTTCGACTTCGAGTCTTTGAGAGGCTTTTCTACTCTTGCGCCCAATAGATCGAGGTTGTATATGACTTCACCGTCTTGAGGGGGAAGCTGGGAGTGAGCAAGGAGCTTTTTGATATCTCCAGCAAGAAGCCCATCTCTGTAGAGGAGGTAGAGTAGAATTAGCCTCAGACGTTCAGGCGGCCCAATGCAGTCTTCATCTAATTGTCGAACCAGTTGATCTGCCAGGTTCTTTGGCTTTCGGTAGTTTTCGTCCAGGCCGGTGGAGAGCGACTGCCACCAGTTAGCTTGAGAACCATAACCATAATATTAAACATTTCAGATATGAACGGGATGAAGTTACGTACCTGCTCGACCGAAGCAACCTCTACCAATTTCAGCTCCTGAAACAATCTCATGCATTCTTGGGCCATATTAAGATGTAGAGTGTAGGAGTTTTTCCCTTCTTGGAATTCTGTCAATCCAGCAAGCATGTCCTTAATAGTATTCACGTTTGCAGTGGCGCCCCTTCGAGTTTATGTTCATGTGAGCAAGAGAACTTCAGCAAATACAAGAAGTTAGAGGTTGCGAGCTCACCTGTCGCTGAATTGGGGGTTGTCTGCTCGAAACTTATTGAAATCTTCAACCAGCTTCCCAAGTAAATCCTTCATGTGTAAATGTCGGCTGTCAACCCATATTCTATCATTCTCACTTATATCCATTTCCTTGACCTCCTGGTTTGGATAGCCTTCGTTTAACGTAGTCTTGTAGGTTATCTTATCCCCCTCTTTTATAGGTAAGAGGTCATGAGCCATGGCTTGATAAGTAAATTCATGAACTAAAGGAGAGTAAATATCCATGGTCCGATCCAAAATATAAAGTATTCCTCTCGGTCGCTGTGAGGGTGGCGGGTAATCTTGACATTGTTTGGCATACTCATCTAGTTCGTCTTGGACAAATCGAGCCAGGTGAGAGCAAAGAACACTCGCTTCGTGGGTTGGATTCTTCGGACGGTAATATCGGATTATCGGGTACTCGCCAAGCGACACGCATATCGATACAATCTAGAGGGCTCAAAACATTAGCGATAGCCCTCGATAGTCTTCCCCAAGCTGCAGCTAACTAACCCTTTGCGCCAAGTCATTGAGATGACCTCTTATCAAGTTGTTACAGGAGGGGTGGAAGAGCACCGGAAAGCTCCAGGGGTCCCTGAATATAGCAACATGGGCTTCTCTCGGGAAGAAATTGATATTCATCACACGGAAATCCGCAATTTGATCACGCGCGACATTTGATCTTTCTATCCTGCTCCGTAGCTGAGGGTCGAGATCTGTTCCCCTGTTAGAACATAATCTGTAATCGCCGAATTGCGGTAGGCTGACTTGATATCCAAACCAAAAAAGATTTCCTATAGCGCCGGCGCTCGAAATCTGCCATGACACAATCCACAATATGGGGCAACGGCGACAGTATATAAACGGCATCGATATCCTTATTCATCGGCCGACGATGTTCGATCTGTTCGATGTCTTTTACCTCTCAGCGCAAGCCCTAGAAACAGCTAGTCCGGATTGCCTTACTCGTAACATTCTGGTTCAAAATATCGTCTTCCTTGACCGCATTATCGATGAGCTTCTTGCTCCCTTCATCTACCACAAGAACTTTCCACTACAGACAAAAAAACCCGGGTCAATGAATCTCTCGTAGCGAGGTAAGCGGGGGATCTCACGTCTTTGCCACCAGCATAGCGGATGGTGTCCAGAATAACTAAAAGGAAGAAAACATGTTATATACCACCTCTAAAAAGGTATCCAGATAAGATTATAGCTGCTTGCCTTTGCGCTGAATCTCTATCAACGAGGAATCCATTTTGCCTAGAGTTAGGCACGGAGCATGGAGATCGTTGGGCCGCTGAAATTGGCTCCAGACAACGGGGGAAACTGATTTTCACAAAGATCTGGGGTCGCAAAAATTGACGATGAGTGCTCCGTACACACACGAGAACAAAAAACGATGTTTGGGGGCGGGGTGGGTTGGGTGCAACAGCAGAGTGTTAACAGTGGGCTAGGAGAGACGTCACGCTCTCTCTCTCGGGGCGGGCTCGGGGTTGGACAATAGCTTGGGTCTGGGTGTTTTGGGCGCTGTCTCATTCTGCCCCACCAACCCGAGTCGCAGCTTGAGTTGGCTGCTGCGGGCCGGAGCACCTGATTTTCCATTCCGCAGATTTTTTTTTGTGCTGAATCATAGGCTGATAGTTTACTGTTCTGGCCTGCAACAACAACAACAACAACAACGCTTCATCCGGACTGATACCTTCCGGCTAGCTCGAGTACTGCCTTTGGGCTGTACTGTTTTCATATCTCAAGCATGCGAGTGTGGTGGGCGCCTCAGGGCCGATGCCTCTTTTGTGCCTTCCGACATTTGGCTCCGCCCCTAAGCCAGAGCTTCAGCACAAGTTCCCCATGGCAAAGATCAAAGAGCAAGAAGAAAAAGGAACTGCAAGCCAAATGGGCGAAGTCCAAGAAATCTGAAGGTTCTGGTTCTACGGAGTTACATACAGTACGAACATCCTCCCTGTGACGTCCCCCGTTATTTGAATGTGTAAGCTCATATCCAGTGTTGTAGAGGGAAACCAAACCCTTTCCACATATTCGGTCACGGAATTCAAGGCGCTCAGCGACAGCAAAACATGGGGACTTGGCGTCGGTGGTGTTGACAGCTGTATCTGCAGTACGGATTTCATTCGAACGCCAGGGGCAGGTCCCAGATCGCTGGCCCAAGTTTGTGGATTTCGTAACGCGGGCTGTCAAAGGAGAAAATCTCTCTCATTCCAACCTAGAAGATGCGGAGGCTCTCAATCTTAAGTCAAGACTTGAACGCACCTTTATCGACTCTGGACCAGCCGAATTGACCAAAACATTGAAACGAGAATTCAAAATCTACAACTACGATGTTAATTTCTCCTCAACCCTCAGGGAGCAGAGAGCGCTGGCCGATCTTCGCAATGCTACCGAATGGTACCCTGCTGCTCGAAGCCTATATCGCACAATCCATCTTCACGTTGGACCCACCAATTCTGGAAAAACTTACCATGCCCTAAAACGACTCGAAGCTGCGAAGACTGGATTCTACGCAGGCCCCCTACGGCTTCTGGCTCACGAAGTCTATACTCGCCTTAATGCAAAGGGCATCACATGCGGCCTTGTAACTGGTGATGAGGTTAAAATCTCAGAAGGTCAGATACCGGGAATTTATAGCAATACAGTCGAGATGGTTCCTCTTGGCCAAGACGTCGACGTTGGGGTCATAGATGAGATCCAAATGATCGCGGACCCTTTTAGAGGTTGGGCCTGGACCCGGGCATTATTAGGCGCTCGTGCCCATGAACTCCATCTTTGCGGCGAAGAGAGGGTTGTACCGTTAATTCGTGATTTAGCAGGGCTGATGGGGGATAGGCTCGAAATTCATCACTATGAGCGGCTTAACCCACTCAAAGCCATGAACAAAAGTCTGAAAGGAAATTTGGCAAATCTCCAAAAGGGAGACTGCGTCGTTGCATTTTCTCGTGTCGGTATCCATGGTCTGAAGCAAGATATCGAAAAAGCAACAGGTCGTCGAGCTGCCATTGTCTATGGTAGTTTGCCCGCGGAAATTCGGTCGCAACAAGCAGACTTGTTTAACGATCCCAATAACGACTATGACTTTCTGGTGGCCAGCGATGCGATTGGCATGGGCCTCAACTTGTACGTCATCTTTTTTTCCCCCTATGATGCCGTTTCCTCATGGTTATTTCTAACTCTCTCTCACAGAAGCTGCAAGCGCATTATTTTCGAATCCGTGGTGAGAAGGCTACCAACCGGGTTAACGCGACTTTCGGTTTCTCAAATCAAACAAATTGGAGGACGTGCTGGTCGGTATCGCCCAGCTTCAAATGTTACCGAAACAGACAGTTCTATTCCAGGCAAAGATGCGGAAACCAATGTCGGATTTGTAACCTCGCTCGAAGATGTAGATCTTTCCTACATTCGGAAGGCATTGAGCGCTGAACCAGAGCCCATTCTTTCCGCTGGTTTATTACCACCCGATTATGTTATCAAGCGATTTGTGGAACATTTTCCGGCCAACACACCCTTTTCCTATGTTCTGCAGCGCTTGCACAACATAGCGCTAGTAGATCCCAACTTCTTCATTGCTGATAATCAGGGCCGTGCTCAGATAGCAGAGGCTATCGACGGTATCAAAGGTTTAGGCATAGATGATAAGATGGTGTTCCTCTCAGCACCAGCTCATATGCGAGATCACCAAATGAGTACTATATTCAGGGAATTTGTACGTTGCGTTGCTGAAAATAGGAGTGGCGATATTCTCGACATCGGTGACCTACCCCTTGACATCCTCGATAAACCAGTCTCAGGCGACAAGACGTACCTCGCCACGCTCGAAACGCTCCATCGATCACTTGTCCTCTACCTCTGGCTGAGTTACAGATGCGGAGGCGTTTTCACCAACCGGGCACTTGCTACCCACGTCAAATCGTTAACGGAAATCAAAATGGACAGGGCGTTGACTGAATTCTCAGCGAATCGACACCTGCGGAAAGCCACTTCCCTTAGGAGGCAATACGCTTTGCGTAAACAGACAGAACTGCGGGAGAAAGCCTTCGCTGCTGAATCCGAAGGTATTGATATCAACGATATCGACCTCGAGAATATTCCAGAAGCAGAGGAGTGGGATGATATGCCTGAGCAGAAAGAATCATTAAAAGCTTCCTCTTCAATGACATAGATGAGGGAGTCTGATTCCTAGATGAAAGTCACTGTATTGCTGTGGCACTTGGCCCGCCGGTGGTGTCAGCGATCACCAGTACATTGACCCCCGAATAGTGGGAATCCTTCTGTTTAATTTCAGGAAACCTTTCACCGCCCGCATACAGCGTTGTTGTTCATTGCGGGAGAAAATGCAGCATAATGGAAATCCAGAATGCCGTCACTCCATGATCCTGGGGCCAAAGTGAATGCCAATACATGTCAGTCAGGACAAGAAAAGGAACCTTCATTCTTCCCCTAACTGTGTATTCTCATCCTCATTGTCTATTTGGCCGACTAAGTCCCTCCTTTTTGAATAGACTCTATCTAACTATACCATACCCACTCTCATCTCATGACGTGAATGGTTTTCAGTTTCAGGATTTCAACAAACTTGGGCTGTTTTCTAGGCATATTCCCACCTCCAACTGATGTTTATGACTCCCCTGACTGAGCTACGAGCCAAACCATTGTTTGTAGATCTATATCTGTACACTCCGTTTTATGTTATTTCTCTCCTCTCTGCAGGTGTGAATAAACTTGAGAGACAGACATCCTCTTTTCGCTGTTGTATCAATATATACCCGTATATTATTAACTTTTATAAATTTTTCGATCTATCCCTAACCCATTTCATTTCATCATTAACATGAGAGGTGAATATTATGAAATAAATGGAGGAAATTCTTCCCGGGCGCAGGCACCCAGCAGAGCCTTTTGATATGAACTATACTCTAGAACTCAAAATAGTCAAGTCATTATGTAGTAGTCGCAAACAAATCTTGGCGGTAGTTAGTGGCAATAAAATTAGGTAGTGTCGGACTTCGCAATAACGATGTTCCGGAATAACGGAGAATATCTCATTCGACAAACGTCAGCATCAAAGGATCCAAGGTATTTCCAACAGTCTTCTTTTGTGCCTTTCTTCATTTCTACAAAAGCTCCATTTCGCTCCTCCTTGCGCCGGCATGGATGATCTTGAGTCGTTGGAGCTCTTTTCCCTCGTATCCAAAGTAACAACTGAGCTCCAAAACCATCTCGGAGTGAACGACAAAACACTCGCCGAATTCGTGATCGACCAGCATTTAAAATGCAACTCCTTTGCAAAGTTCAAGAGTGCTCTCGATGATATAGGCGCGGAATTTCCTCAGAGTTTGATTGAGAGTATAGATCGCCTGGTACTGACGTTACACCCGAAGTTCAAGGATAAGCAGAAGGAGTCCTCAAAGGCCGCCCAGCAGAATGGCGACGATGAAGTCTTGGACGGGATTGAAAGGAAAGCGCGCGTTTTTAAAGGTCTAGCGGTGCCGGACAAGGTGCCACAATGGGGGGACGATGATGCAAGGGCGGAACCTACGTCGACGGACGATGCGAATGCGGGAGCTATGGATGATACCTTTGCGATGTTGGAGGGTTTAGCGGGAAAGGCAAGGGAACGAAAGAGCACGACGAAGAATAGGAAAAGAAGTAGAAGCCCGGATGGTGATGAATATGACGGCAGAAGACCACGAAAGGACAGATATCGATCTAGATCAAGGTCGCGGAGCGCAGAAAGATCACACCGAAGACGTGATAACCTGGACGAGTTCGGCAGATCCGTCCCAAAACACAGGGGCAGAGATGACAAGTACAACAATGGCTATAGTGGAAGAAAGAGGCGGAGTGATCGCGATGATGAAGAATTCTTCAGAAGGCCTCCGACGCCTGAGCTTGACGATCAGCCAATACTTTTCAAAATTTACGACGGGAGGGTTACGGGGTTAAAAGACTTTGGAGCATTTGTGAACCTTCAGGGCGTCAGGGGGAAGGTTGATGGGCTAGTTCACGTCTCCGCGATGCAAGACGGTGCACGAGTCAACCATCCCTCGGACCTTGTCTCGAAGGGCCAACCGGTGAAAGTTAAAGTCATCTCTATACAAGGCAGTCGAATAGGTTTATCTATGAAGGAAGTTGATCAAGTTACTGGCCGTGATCTCGTTCCCCAAAAGCGAATTGCTTCCGGTGCAAATATGGAACGACTTAATGGGACTGGCGCAGATGACCGCTACGGGAATCTGAGTTCCTCAGTTCCCGTCATTGAAGGTGATGATGGCAAGCCCATGAAAAACCGAAAACGCTTAAATTCTCCTGAAAGATGGGAAATCAAGCAACTCATTGCATCGGGTGCTGTATCTGCTGCTGATTATCCGGATATCGATGAAGAATATCATGCTACTTTGAACGGGGAAGGAGAGTTTGAGGAGGAGGAGGATGTGGATATTGAAGTCAGAGATGAAGAGCCTCCGTTCTTGGCTGGTCAAACAAAACAATCTCTTGAACTCTCTCCTATTCGTGTTGTTAAGGCTCCAGACGGCTCACTGAATCGTGCTGCAATGGCTGGAACAAATTTGGCAAAGGAAAGAAGAGAGTTACGACAGCAAGAGGCTCAAGATAGGGCTGCTGAGCAGGCTGCAAAAGTGGATCTCAACGCCCAATGGCAAGACCCCATGGTCGCGCCTGAACAGAGGAAATTTGCTGCTGACTTGCGAAATGCGCAAGTAACGAAAACAACCGATTCTATGCCTGAATGGAAACGGGTGACCCAGAGCAAGGACCAGTCATTCGGGAAAAGGACAAATATGACAATGAAGCAGCAACGTGAAAGTCTTCCTGTTTTTAAATTCCGCAAACAGTTACTGGAAGCTGTTCGGGAAAACCAACTTCTCATCGTTGTCGGAGACACAGGTTCCGGTAAAACTACCCAGCTAACACAGTATCTTGCTGAAGGCGGGTTTGCAAATGACGGGATCATTGGTTGTACCCAACCCCGACGTGTGGCTGCTGTCTCTGTAGCAAAACGTGTGTCTGAAGAAGTTGGCTGTCGTTTAGGTGCAGAAGTCGGTTACACCATTCGATTTGAAGACTGTACTAGTCCTGAAACGAAGATCAAATACATGACGGACGGTATCCTTCAGAGAGAAATTCTTCTTGATCCAGACTTGAAAAAATATTCAGTTATCATGCTTGATGAGGCTCACGAACGGACCATCAGTACTGACGTATTGTTTGGCCTTCTCAAAAAGACGCTTAAACGGCGACATGATCTTAAGGTCATCGTTACCTCAGCCACTCTAGATGCCGATAGATTCTCGGAATATTTCAACATGTGCCCCATCTTCTCAATTCCTGGACGAACATACCCTGTGGAAATAATGTACTCGAGAGAACCAGAATCCGATTATTTGGATGCAGCGTTAGTCACAGTGATGCAGATACATTTAACGGAACCAGCTGGGGATATTCTATTGTTCTTGACTGGTCAAGAAGAAATCGATACCGCCTGCGAGATTCTGTATGAACGAATGAAAGCGCTTGGACCCAGTGTCCCTGAGCTAATCATTTTGCCCGTCTATTCTGCTCTGCCCAGTGAGATGCAAAGTAGGATTTTTGACCCTGCTCCCCCGGGAAGCCGAAAGGTTGTTATCGCTACGAACATTGCAGAAACGTCAATTACAATTGATCAAATCTACTACGTAGTCGACCCGGGATTTGTTAAACAAAATGCCTATGATCCAAAACTTGGGATGGATTCACTTGTGGTTACGCCCATATCACAAGCACAGGCCAAGCAGCGTTCGGGACGTGCAGGAAGAACGGGCCCAGGTAAATGCTTCCGTCTTTACACTGAAGCCGCCTACCAATCAGAAATGCTTCCAACCACTATCCCCGAAATCCAACGCCAGAATCTCTCTCATACAATCCTCATGCTAAAAGCTATGGGCATCAACGACCTTCTCCACTTTGATTTCATGGACCCACCCCCAACAAACACCATGCTTACAGCACTTGAGGAGCTCTATGCCCTCTCTGCCCTAGACGATGAAGGTCTCCTGACTCGACTGGGACGAAAAATGGCCGATTTCCCCATGGAACCGGCTTTAGCAAAAGTCCTAATCGCCTCTGTTGACATGGGCTGTTCTGATGAAATGCTTAGCATCGTCGCCATGCTTTCAGTCCAAAGTGTATTCTATCGACCCAAGGAAAAGCAGCAACAAGCAGATCAAAAGAAGGCCAAATTCCACGACCCGCACGGCGACCACCTCACACTCTTAAACGTCTATAACGCTTGGAAAAATTCACGCTTCAGCAACCCCTGGTGTTTTGAGAACTTCATACAGGCACGCCAGATGCGGCGGGCACAGGATGTGCGTGAGCAGTTGGTAACTATCATGGAGCGCTACAAACATAAAATCGTTTCTTGCGGACGTAACACAACCAAGATTCGACAGGCGTTGTGCTCAGGATTCTTCAGGAATGCCGCACGCAAGGATCCGCAAGAAGGGTATAAAACGTTGATCGAAGGAACACCTGTTTACATGCACCCCAGCTCTGCGCTATTTGGGAAGGCAGCGGAGCACGTTATATTCCATACTCTGGTTCTTACGACAAAAGAATACATGCATTGCACTACAAGCATTGAACCAAAAGTATGTATATTTTACACCCACCCTCACCCATCTCCATTTCCTCCCTAGGTATCTCTTCTGTAAAAAGACAGTATGGAAAGAAAAGCGCTTAAATCGGACACATATTCTAACCTTTTTCTTCCCAAATAGTGGCTCGTCGAAGCAGCTCCAACATTCTTCAAAGTCGCTCCAACTGACCGGCTCTCAAAACGAAAGAAGGCAGAGCGGATCCAACCCCTCCACAACCGATTTGCAGGCGACGACGACTGGCGATTATCATCGCAACGACGACAAGGCAGAGGTGGTGGAGGCGGAACTTGGGGATGATTTTTTTTCCCTTCTTTTTCTTTCCCAATACCTTTTTCCTTCACTCTAATTTTTCTGTTCCTTTGTCCATTTTACACCCTGTATTTTCAGCATGCATGTATTGTATACGCACTTTTTACGGAGTTCACTCAGGAGAAAAGGACGGTTTGGTGGTTGGGTCTTCGTGGGTGACGAATTGATTTAATATGTATATATTTCTTGAAGACTTTGCTTCTTGGACTACCAGAAAGGGGACAGTGATGAAGCGGTTGACGAAGCTGACTGGCCTCGTTAGATTTTCAAATTGTTTTCACAAGGAGTAGGAGAATTATTGATTGAATATTGATGAATGTATGGGTTGCCTGTATTTAATTGTGCATAATCTAGGCAATCCAGACGTTTGAATGGTTTATATACTCCATACAAGTCAAAATAATCGGATTATATAGTGAGTGAAATACTCATTATATTGAACAAGAATATGAATGTACGGATAATACCTTCAAATTCCTCACAATCAGGGCTCAGGGGTCTGTCGAGTCGAACGATTCGCGCTCTGGGTTCTATCGTCTCAAGAATGCGCCAAGTACCAGGTTAAAACCCCGGCTCAGCGCCGAAACATCCTTCTTGAAGGGAGCAGGTAGGACTTGGATAGGAAGTTTTTCCCCCGATGCGATTAACTTCGTTTTTTGTGTTTGACAAATTTTGTTTTTTTTACACGATTTCTCTTTCGGCTGAGAGGACGATATTGATGTGTTTACCTTATATGTGTCCAAACCAAGACTCAAATTTGAAGATGCAAAGCTCAAACCCAATAAGGAACAAAAATATATTTGTCAAACTACCTAACCCACCCATATCGCAACCTAACCATTGCATATAAAAGTATGTCAAGTTAAGAAAAAGAGAGGGCATGAGAAAGCAAGTAAAGACAATCAGCAACCCGTAGACAAAAGGCCTAAGACCTAAGAGGCAGGAGAGAAAGAGGTAAGCTCGACAAAAAATAAGAACGTAAAGGAGAAGAATGATAAAGCGGCTGAGTCAACTGTAATCGAAGTCCCATCATCCCAGAGTCCAAGAAGTAGTTTGAAAAAAAGAGAAAACACAACGAATAGACACAAAAACAACCACGGTCACGAAGTAGGTTAGGTAGAAATTGATAAATATTTACTCATTAAGAAGCTGACCGAGAAAGCTTGTTTTAATTCCCAGAGTCCGGAAAAAAAAAAGATATATGCATGTATCTCTCCATTTTAGCCCTCGACCTATAATGCAGGTCTTTGGTTCAATCTGAGGGCGATTTCCGCCACATCTGTCGCAAGGAGAGTTTTAGCGGTATGGACCAGGTCCCATCATACCCCCTCCGTTTCTTGCAGCCATGTTTCCATCAACGCTTGGCGGTCCGAACATGTCAAAAGACTGCCTTGAAGAGGGCTGAGGTGGCCCTTGAGGAGGGATGCCGCTATACTGAGCTACGTTTCCATGATGAGGCATATTCATCATCCCATCTGGATTGTGAGGCATTGGTGGAAACGCGGGTGGCGGTGGCGCATTCATGTTCATGTAGCCTGGAGGAGGTATCATGCCAGGAGGAGGTGCAAATGGAGCCGGTCCTCCAGCCATGGCATTTCGTTGATAAGCTTGACGATCATTAGGAGGAGGTATTCCAGCATGGACGGGCATGGGCGGTCCGGCCGGGAAGTTTGGATTCGCATTTCGGTTTAGGAGTTGAAAAAGTCCCGGGGGTAACAAGGACTGGTTGGGGCCAGGTGGCTGAGGCTGTTGATTGGGCCATCCAGGAGGTTGAACTTGCTCGAATCCCGGTGGTCGCTGAAGTGCCATTGGAGGTTGTCCGTGAACTGGTGGGCGAACCCCAGAAGGATTATTTGGAGTCTGGTTCGCCTGCGATGGAGGGAACCCCATATCGTCGAAATAACTCACAGGCTGGCCATTAGCTGCTCTGCGGCGAAGCTGCTCTCTTGGATCCTGAGATTCCGTCCTCCGTATATTAGCAATTGCGGGGTCATCGAGGAACACTGGGGTTTTCTGTTTCTCCAATGCTTGAGCCCGAGCATGCATATCATGCACATTCACCGCTCCAGGAGATTGGAGTGCAGCAAGGGGAGGCTGAGGATTTCCTTGGGGATTTGAAGGGGATATTTTAGACTGTTGCATCAGGCGAAGGAGAAATTCCGTGTCACGACTTTGCCCAGATTGTTCTTTTGCGGGTTTCTGTACAAAGAGAGCCTCTAAACCCGGCGGGGGTCGCTCCCGAGGGGAGCTCATCGGTGCATACTCCTGACGGCTGAAAGACTCTCGAACAGGAGATGATACAGTGGTTGAGGATTTCATATAATCATGTTGTGTCGGCGGCACCTGTACAGGAGGCTGACGCAATGAAACGTCCGCCTGAGGTGTCGATTTCCTGGACTTGTTTCCCCCGAGCATTTGCAAAATCCGCTGGAATCCTTCCTGATCTGCATCCGTGGAAGCTGGTCGGGCAGGATCCGTATGGATAATGGTCTGAGGCTCCGGTTCTCGATTTGCAGTATCTCCAGGTGAATTGAAAATACCCGCGAACCTAGAAGCTTTGGCTCCTTTGATAAGAAGCGTCGCCTTTTTGGCGTTTGTATCTGCGAGATTCTCGGAGTCATGCTCACGAGATTGTTTGTTCTCGCTCCATAGTCCAAAAAACTTATCCAAACCGGAATCGGTGGGGGAGGGATCTAGCGTGCCAAATATTTCACCATCAAGCCGCCGCTTGGGTGGTTCTTTTGGCTTGGATTCAGAGCTCATTGGTTCTGGAGCTATCTCTTTCTTTTCCTCTTGGGGTGTCGGAGCGGAGCCTGCTTTCATACGCTCCTTCCAGCGCTGGAAATCTGCCTGAGTGTGCTTTTCTTTGGCCCCGTCTCGGTCCGATGAATCCAGCCATTCTGGCTCCTGTTCGTGCTTCACAAGCCTATTCCAGTCTCTATCTCCACCATGAGCACCGCGACGCCATTCGCGATGTCTTGCGGGAGTTTTTTCCTCCTCACCATCGACAGCGTCTTGTGTTTCGCCATCTCTGAACCAATTATCGTGTTTGGCCCTGCCTTGTCCGTCCCTTCGAGGAGGATATCTTCCCTGGTCTTTGTCTCTAGGAGCACGTTCATGACCGCCTTCTTGGTTATCCCGGTTATCCCGGTTATCCCGATGATCCCGATGATCCCGGTGATCTCGGTGATCTCGGTGATCCCGCGTCTCCCACCGATCCGAATCTCCGTTTCGTTTCGGTCTTCTATCCGATTCTTCGGGGCCAAATGTGCGACGTGGTCTTCCGCCAGACCAGTCTTCCCTATCATCTCGACCGGTGCGGCGGCCGTTGGCTAGGGGTTGTTTCGTGTCTCTTCTGTCACTATCTCGATCTCCAGGATCTCTATCTTTGAAAAATTTGTCACGGAAATTGTAGCGATCATGTTTTTGGTCATCCGCATCATTAATTTTCGAAGAGGATCGATCGGTGGCATCGATCGACTTGCCAAATGAGCGGGATGCAGACGCAAATGAAGTTCTAGGAGGTCCTAAAACGATTTCATCTAATAGAACGCGGAAGACAACATGTTAGCAGAGCTGTTTTGGATTGAATTTAAGCCTACTTACTACTCTGTTGAAGGTGGACTAATTCATACCTGTGGAGACACGTGAAATATGACGACTTTCAAAAAAGCTTGATCTCCGATTTGGAGGATCTTGTTGAGTAGGTTGATCCCGGCTATTGGGATTTTTCTTCTGTATGGGGGGGTCTGGGGGTGGTCTTCGAGGTAAAGAAACAATTACATTAGCAAATCGGAGGTAGGACTACACTAAGAACGTAGACATACCCCATCCATTCTTCTATAGGCGGTAAGTTATCGGGTTTAACAACCAAGGGCGAATCGCGTAGCCGCAATAGCTCCGAAGGTTGATACCGTCGGGCCATCAGGAGGAGGAAGGGTTGTGGGTTAGAGATAGAGAAATGCTTCTCATGAGCCCGGAGAAGGAGGGAGGGGGGGGGGGGGGGGGGGAAGGGTTTGAGGCGGATGGGAGCAGGGGAGGCCCAAAAAAAAAGGGGGCTTGGGAAAACTATGGGGGTTTCTACATGCAATAATCCGTAGAGAGAGGTATATCGCGATAGAATGTAGTGGAGCGGTGGATGAGGTATGGGTGCAGAGGAGAGGAGGAGAGGAGGAGAGGTCGGAGAGAGGTGCAGAAGCACTAGTCAACGATGAGCAGGACGCCCCAAAACGGGTGTTGATAGCTTGCAAATAGGAAGTTGGATCGAGTACTAAGAATTGTGGGGTACGTAGCAGCTGGAGTCTGTGGAATGTCGTGTCTGTGTGAGTGGTGTGTAGAGGTATGTTTTTGATGTGAGGTTGTGGACTGGCAAAAAACGCTCTGTAGTTTTTGAGGTTTGAGAATTTTTTGGATTGCCCAAAAGAGGCAAGTCCGGCACTACCTACGTTTGTGTCTGGCGGGCGGAAATATTAAGTGAGAAGTCAACACAACGGGAGACAGATAGAGATAAATATTAATTCCAGCAAAGCCCCCAAATTATCTATTGCGCCAGGGATAGTTATGTATAGATATATAAAAGAAAATGAGAAAGAGAAAAAAAAAAAAAACAGTAAACAAAACAGGGTAGTTATTTATGCCCAGTTTCCCTTCAGATGAATCGTCAATCAGAAGATTCAGAACCTAGATATAGAAATGACACCGCCATACGATGATGGATATCTGTCTACAATACCGTCCAATTAAGATGAAGCTCTTTGTATTCCTTCCGCCCTTGGAGCCACCATCCATTGCTTCCCGGTAACACTCTTTTCTACAGCTTTCTATAGACACTTCTTAGACGGAAATCCGAGTTAAGGCCTGTGGCAAAGTTGATCCGCTCCACCTATCAATCCACTCGCGATCACACCTGTTGTATAACTCACTGGCGATTTCCCGGAGGATATCGCTCTGGCTATCCTGCACTGCCACTTGGCCTTGGACCCAGCTATACGCACCTGCTCGCGTTAAAAGGGTTGTACTCCCGTCCACCTCACATGCACGGAACAGAAGGTGCAATATCATCCTCCGCAAAGAGTCCGTTAGGCCTGGGGAGTTGTATAGCAAGAGGACTCGTTCGAAAACATTAGCTCTTCGGTAAAGGTCCATGTCCTGGAATTCAGTGAGTCAGCATATGTCGACGACGTGATAGATCAATTTCGAAGAAGAGGTCATAAATACCTTTTTAGTGCGTAGCCCATTGATAAACAAACCCAGCAGCCATCTCACTTCCTCATGATGACTATCGTTGTATTCCGGCTCATGCAGTAAGATCTTATCTATCCAGTAAGACGGAATCTTGGCAACTTCCCATCGAGGACCTTTGTTCAAGAATTTGTTCACTTTGCCATACAGTTTGTGAACGGGATCCATCAGAACAGTCACTATTTGAGCAGCAAGCTCTCCAGCAATATATGGGAGAGGTGTCTCCAGCCCAACATCGTTGGCAGTTTCCAGAACTTCACCCGCAACAACATAAATGGCTTGACGGTCTTCATAAGTAGAATCCTAAAAGGGGGTGTTAGACCTTGAGAAAGAAGAGCATCTTTTCTCTGCATGGATTCGGACACTCACATATATCTTCGCCATGAATCGGTGTATGGCTGAGCTTGCCTGCCTTCTGACTTCTTCATACTCTGAACACAGACAAAGTATCAATTCGCCAACATGGCCGTGCTCCAGTGCGAATTCAATATCTTCTCTTTCCCATCGATTCAGAGCTGGATGTGAGTCGCTCTCAACAGGAACGGCCCCAAAAATTTCTGTCAAGTCGACTCGGGAAGCTCTGCTTTCAGATTCCAGCTGCGTAGAAACATCGCCGTTGACTGGTTTGTGATTCTTCACATTTCCATCAACTATGGCTTTCGCGTGTTTAAACGCCTTTCTCAAGGCTAACCGAGCCTTTTTGTTTTCGGTGATATCAACAGCTGCATCCCGAACTGATTTCAAAGCATTTTCATCCTCTCCGGCCACACTCAACAAGCCAAGTAGCTGACCAATCCAGCCAGATATTGTCACTTGCCTATCCAACTCCCCGGAATTGGCAACAAATGGCCACTGTTCGTTAATAACTCCGACAAGGAGACTCAAGTTCTCTTGTCCACTACCAACCAAGGACTGGGCAAGTTCTAAGTAAAGGACAGGCTTCTTGACCAATCTTGTAATGCAATTGTCGAGAAATGACAGCTCTGCGGTGAGAGTGGCATTGGAAGATCTATTAACACTTGAGAGCAAAGCATTGAAAGATCCCGGGTTTAGAATAACCGAATTCTGAATTAATACATCTTGGACCAAAGCTTTTATGTCCTCAAAGGGGGTTTGGCTGCTGGATTCCGTAAGGACTTTGAAAATAGAGACAAGGGCAGAAAATTCAAGAGATTCTAGAGATGGTTTGTTCGTTAGCGTGCTTCTCAAAAGATTAAACTATATTTTAACCCATAAATATTTCGTACCTGGTTTCTGCCACCAACGCATTGTAGGTGAATGTTGAGCAATGACAAGCAAGTGCTGTAATTGGCTGAGGAGCAACTCCCTATCCTCAGCTTGAGATTTGACATTATTAAGTTGTTTCAAAACATCGACCAAGGTTAACGAAATGTCGAATTTCTCTTCCAAAGCAATCGTAGGGATAACCTCATAAAACGTAGATAACAGTTCAAGTACTGCATCTTGCTGTTGGAGGTTGCCCTTTGCAGTGTTTCGGAAGAGAAGTATGACATCTTTCATCGAGGGACATCTTCGGCAATACTCATTGATGAGTTTCCCGGCCGCCTGGGACCAAAGCTCCTGTCCCGTTTCTCGATCCGCATTGAAAATTCGGAGAATAGCCTGTAGCTTGCGTAGAGCCAAAGTGATAATTCGAACTGCAAACAAAGTGACCACATCCGTATTTTGATTAAGACATCTTGTCAAGATCTTCTGCGTGAGCGGTCGAGGAAGTATGCTTTCGATGACAATTGGAATAGGAGGCGGTACCAGGGCCGGACTGCCCTTCCATCCGCAATCCACAGGGACAGGGAGTTGGATCGTAGAGAAGAGGAAGGCGGATTCTCCTATCCAACTTGGGGTGGGTTTGGAATCGGATGTGAACATCTTCCGCTTCGAAAAAAAATCAAATACGAGCTCCGGGGCATTTTTGAAGATCTTCAGTAACAGATTCATTTGCATTGTGTCTGATTCCGGACGAAGAACTTGTATCAGCGCTGAGAGATTTCCGTTCCGAACTGGAACCGACTCCTTATACTTATCAAAGTGGATGGGTGAGTCAAGACCGAGGGGGATTGCACCGTCATCATTCGGTGGCAGAATATCAGGGTTGCTCCCAGAAGGATACCATCCCGTTTCCGGCAGTAATACGCCCTTCTCCGAATTCGTACAAATGTCCCCCAGCAACTTATATATTTCTTTCGAGACATTCTCATCTCCCACCGCTGGCTCGTCGGATTCTCTCTCATACCCGAAAAGAGTGACTAATCGCTCGAGATTCCAGCGGTTCAGGAACAGGCTCTTGGTGTTCCGAGAAAGTGAAGCATCACTCGCAATATGTTTGTCAATTGTCCTGATGATATCGATAACAATGTCGCGAGAATCCCTACGAATGTCTTCCAAGAAAGCACGGATGAGTTTTCCCTGTCTGATTATCTCCTCTTTGGCCGTAGAGTTCTGGAATTTCAAATTGGCGATTAAATAGCGTTGGGCATTTCGGCGGAGTGTCGACTTCTGTCGATCTTCAGAATCTGCATCTGCAGAGGATTTACGAACACTTAGGAAGACGTCAAGACGTTTGAGAGTAATTTCTCGTCGTCCATAGACATGGCGTGCAACAGCACCTCCATCAAAGCTCACGATCTCCGTGAGAAGTCGTAGGCAAGGAGAAATCAGATGTTCCTTAGCTTTGCTTGCCGTGAATGCTCGATTAAATAGCTTGAGCTGCTCCTTTTGCAACAAAAATTTGCAGAGTACTAGTCCGAAGTCCCTGAACTCTAACTGGCTCGAGATGGTCTTCAGGAAAAGCGCCAGTACAGAGGGGATTAAAGAGAGTAGAGACTCATGGTTACCGTTCTCTGCAAAGTTCCATGTTTGAATGAGATCATAGAAACAGCTCGCATTCGCCGCATCGTCTGCATTTACAAGTTGAGAATCGCAATAGGCTTTGAGAATGCGGAGCTTCTTCGCCTTTTCGTTCTCCTTCTCGACTTCGTTGATGGAAGTAAGGAAATCCTTAAAATATCGAACACCTATTTGGCAGGTAAGTAGTTATTCGTTTGGCATTTAAAAAGGATATAACCGCTGCGTTCTCCGTACCCTGCTTTACTTCCGGTGAAGCACTCTGCTGGAATGCGAGAAGCGTGCGCAGCTGTGGGTGAGACAAGATCGTCACGGCTGGTGCTGCAATAGCTGAGGAATCAACATCAAGCTTCCTCCGCTTTACTCGACAGGCGTCCTCGTGAAAATGCGCCATCTTCTTTTGCTTCCGTTGTTGCTGTATCAAGAGAAACTTAAAACTTGTTGGACCGTTGTGAACTTTTGATATAAATTTTCGTCGCGTGTTGTGATTGGTCGGTCACTTGGCCACCCTCACAAGGCAAGACAAAATCCTTGGAACAATCTTTCAACTGAACGCAAACAATTGATCTCATCATCTCATCAACTACGCAGATATCTATAACCTAATACATTGCAAATACGGATCTATTCGACAGGTTGTTACTGTCTTTTATTACCCTCAGCCGTGTCCTGGAATATTTAGGATAAAATGAGTTACTGCAAGATGTTTTAATGTATATTTTCCCCTAAAGACGATCTCTCGTTCCTGAACGTTGAACTATAGTTGAACCAAGACTTGAGGAAAATACAGAAAAGCCCACGCACTGCCAAATAGGTTGCAGACGCATGTCTCAGATCACTGGACCCGTTGCAAGATATGCGAAACCCCTCCACCGGTTTGGGCAATAACCGCAATCCATTGATCTATCTATCCAAGGCAGCCAACATTTCCATTTGCGCAGTCACCTATCTCGCCATTAGCATAATCTTCTGAACTCGTGACAGCGCAATGCCAGGGCGGAGACCCGATACTTACCACATTGATAACCTGCAAGAGTGCACTTGCCAGCAAGCCAGGGCTTGATCCAGGATTGTTGCTGAATGCAAAAGACGCTGTTACAGTAGTCCTCGCCAGATGCGCCATTCTTGACTGCGGACCAGGTTGTTTTGCACTGGGCGACTATTTTGGCCTCGTTTTCGAGAGCAAATTGCGAGTACCGATCACAGCAACATTCCCTTCCGATGGCGAGAGCCGGAATAAGAAAGGAGGAAAGGGCAAGCAGTTGATTGAGCCGCATAGCTTGGTTTCGTTGGTGTAGGATGAGGAGTATTTTGCGGGCAGTGTGAAGTTGGCTTTTGTGGATTTCGGATGCACAGCTCTGTAGGTTTTGAAGCTATGGGGTTTTCAGCTGTTGGGGCCATGATATAAGAAGAGGAATGGAATCTGTTATATCCACAAGTGAAGCAACATTAGGAGGACTGAGAGTACTCCCTTTCAAGTTTCCCTCGTTTACCACAGCCACACATCCTTAAGGAAAGAGGCTGGTAGGGTTACGAGATGCCGTGGAAGAACACCCCCCGCATGCATCTTGTGGGCCAATCGAGCTACATAAAAAGGAATACAGGGAGATCACAACGTCAACAGAGCAAGGCTAAAGTCGATCAAGGCGAGAATGCGCAAGATATTGGTTTACCCTTGATGGAGAAATACATTCTGTCTTGTCCCTTTAAGGGCCAAGCTGTCGTCGATTGGAACTGCGTATGTAACACATTTGCAGCGCCAGCATGCCGTTGATCTCTTGTGGTTGGGCGCCGCGAAGTTTCACTAGTCCACTAGCATGCAAATCTACTAAAGCTTTAAGTAACTCCCAGAGATCATCCCTCTCTTGCCAATGGAAGAGATTCGAACGCAGGTGGCTGCATTCAGTAGTTGGACACAGCAGAAGCTACGCAGTGAAGAGGATGTTGGGTCAACCTTGCTGGAAACATGAAGTTCGTATAACGTTTGTTGCATCCAGATTTAAAAACCACAAAATTATGAACGAAACGACATAAAGTTGGAGTGGGAACAAAAAGGGAATCATAGAAGCAGATCTGGAAGGTAATGTGAAATATCATGTAGTTATATATAATCTGTCTTGGACGTTGCGGAGTTGTCAACGACGGACGAGCTGAATCGTGGATTTCAGGCGACCTAAGATGTAGGACGGCAGCTTGAAAGCCTCAGGGCGAACGCAGTAGATGTTCTTCCAAGTTTTTTTTTCTTCTTGTTTATCAAACAAGCAAGCGGAGGCATGGTTCTTCGTGGCTGGAAGCTTGAGCATAGCTTTCTCCTCCGCCGCATCCACCACTGTCCACCAGGTCCAAATACGTGTTAACGGTCCTCCATTACTCACGGAGCGCGCATGCACCGCCTTCAACGTGATGCGGACGTGCTGGGTTCTCAAATTTGATCCTTGAAGATCTGAAAGCATGTTGCGTAAACACGGGCATCTACTCTAGCCATATTGTTAGCTAGTTACCGGTAAGAATGAGCGATCGTGGCGATGCCCCCCGAATCATATTTCTTCATCTTCCAAGGTGCTTCGAAACAGTGCACACTTTGCATCTACTTAATAGAAAGCATGTTACCGCTCTATGTTAACCTCCGAACCGTCGTGGAGGGTATAATATTGTGATTCTTCCAAATCAACAAATCAAAGCACCAGGGGTAGCTAACTAGAAGGCCGCTCTAAAAGAGAATTGCCATTTTCAATTTCACTTAATTTCACTCGATCCATCTATGACTTAACCCTCTTACTCTTTACCTTCACCCGTTCCACCAACTTTTTCAAATCATCAGCCTCAGCTACACTCGGAACTGCACCAGGGCCGGATCCTTTCCTCTTCTTCATCCCAGGCTCAGGTATCTCTCGATCCACGACGCCATCATCTTTATTCCGCCGCCTTTTCCGTCCTTCTTCCAACAACGCCTTCATGGCCTCCGTTGCCTTGAACCGCGGATTGGAAGGGTCAATCGCAAACTCATGGTTCTCCCAGAGTCGTTGGAATCGCTCATCCTTGACGTCCACCTTGAAGTCATCCACTGGAAGTTCAGCAGCTTGACCTCCCTTCATTCTTTTAAGTTTCCCTGCTTTTCGAGCTCTTTTCTCCGCCTTCTCGATCTCCTTCATATCGAAGTGTTTAATATGTGAAGCCTTGTCGTCAATCATAAGTAGTTCAAGCTCAGCGCGCTTTGAAGCCGCAGCAGCTTCATCTGCGTCTCGCTCCTCGCGTTTCTTTCGTCTTTCCTCCTTGCGCTGTGCCGCAGCCGCAGCTGCATCCAATTCAGGAGCAGTAAAGAACGGATCATCGAAGCCCAAGTCCTCCTTTCCATCATTTGAGGCTTCAGGGCCTTTATTTTCGCCATCCTCACCCTCTGTTGGTAGAGGCTCGCCATTTCTAGCTGCCTTCATTCTTGCCTTCCGCCTCGCTTTGCGTTCCCTTTCTTTCCGTATATATTTTTCTGCTGTCGTCTCATCCTTCTCTGGCTCATTCTCAAACACACTTCCACGAGACGCCCCTGCAGATAGTCCCGCTGAAAATGTGATTTCCATATCTCCAACTGGTCCTTTGCTCTTATATTCACTCGCGGGCTTTTCCTTACTAAGTCCAAGTAGAGCGCGCACCTTCTCTCGGGCAGCCTCTTTCTTGCTTAGTTTAATTGGGGCTGCGGCCGCGGAGGCGCCATCCCTTATTGTAGAATCAACAACCTCAACTCCCCCATCCTCTTCATCCTCATCATCAGAGCTATCACTGCCCAAATATGCTTTGAGATCATTCTCATCAATCTCTTTCCTGCCGCCTTTAAACGCTCTTGCCTGTGCTTCTTTCCGACCCGTGTGATCCGCATCCCAAGTGAGCTTAACCTTACTATGTTGCAAGGCGTCCGTCACGAAATCGTTAGGCTTGTATCCATCAGGTATCCCTTCACACTCGTCCCTAGGTATATCTTGTGAAAAATCGATTTCATCAGGGACAAATCTAAGGTCAAAAAAGTTCGCACTGCTCATGTACTCAGTTCCGTCCACAGCATCGTAGATATGTTTCGCAGCCTCCTCAGAGGAGCAGGTCAGAATAGCGTAATAGTAACGGAGCCTCTCGAGCTGGTATTTTCGAAGATGGGTAGAATCAAACTCGTCGCCCTGATCTTCCTTGATGATAGACTGCTTGATTTTCTCCTCTTCCTCCTCCTCATCTACCTCATCACCCCCCGATTCGCTGTCTTCCACGTCACTCTCTTCATCCCTCTTCTTCGCAAATATCTCTTTAGGGGGTCCTTCCATTTCCTCCCTCTCCATTCTCTCCCGCCCAAATTCGCTGGGATAAACAGACACTTTATGTATACTTCCTCCAGGAGGTAAAAAGCTGGAGAACACAACCATCAAATCTTCCGCACGGATATTATCCCAATCCAGGTTGACAACTGCGATTCGCCGGCTGATATCACCAAGGGGCACATCACCCTGCTGCTGATTGGGATACTGTATTTCCTCCACTTCATCCTCAACACCTTCCTCCTCGTCCTCACTTGAACTCTCGTCCGATGAAGACTCAGAAAATCCCCCGTCTCTGGCGGGATCGTACTTCCGTTTATCCGCCTTGCGCAATTCGTTTTGCACAACTTCATCATCCTCCACATCCATGCTATCATCATCCCCAAGTTTTTCGTCCTCATCTTCTTCGTCAAGCCTGTAAAACCTCTCCAGCTGTTTCTTCGTATCATCTCTCCGCAGTTTCCTCCCATACCGGTCAACAGCTGCTGTTCTTGAAAAGTCGTCATCGCGCAGCATGTGCGCAAATCGTTTATCGAGTTTAACATGGGTGTGTCTCTTGCTCGGGAGCCGGTATCGGGGATCGGATTGGATGTTGGCGAATCGCGGATCAGCTACATTGATTCGATATATAGTTAGCAAGGGAGTTATGAACGGCTTTCTGTATCCTTTCTTTGGTCGCTGAGAATGTGATTAAGAACAGCTATATAGCGCACATACTTATGACAGGACAAGCGGCATCTTTGCCGGACTTTGCCCGCTTGGGCTTTGACTTCTTCTGTGTCTCGGCCATGGTCTTGGGATGTTCGTAGAGAGATGATGAGTTAACGGTATGGTTTTAAAAAGTCATTTCGGATTATCGAATATTGAAGCACGAGGACGTATATATGTTTAGCCCCTCTCTGAAAAGTGTGAAGTGGTTTATCCTCTTTTTTTAGGTAAATAAGATTCTAGGGTTCGGAGCGAACTTTGTAGAGTTTTTTTGATGCTTTCTCCGGGTGGTCCGTGCTACTAGCTTTTTGCGAGTGAAAGCACCATTACTCATGTATGACATCAACACAGGGGTAAGTCTAATAGATAACTAAGTGGAGGATGGGGTTATCGGAACCCGTGAACGATAGAGAGAGAAATAGAGAAAATTCATATCCGAGTATAAGAAAGAATATAAGAGCTGACAACATTTATAAGTATCTGGAATCGTCTAGCACCCAAAATAACGTTTCTCAATCCATCTCTCTTCACCCTCATCTTCTATCCGTCCCACCACTACTTTGATATCGGGATATACAGCTGTTAGTCTCTGCAAACCTCGTTGGCCTGCAGCGAAAGTTACAAAGATGATGCGCCCTTCTTCCACCCCGTGATCGACAAGGACTCGCACTGCCATTAATGCAGCTCCACCACTTGACATTTGTGGATCAAGGAGCAGGACAGAGGCGTGGGTATTAATACCGTGGGGGAGCTTAAGGTAGTGTAGCTCCGGTTCGCCGGTGCGGTAATTTGTTTGGATAAGGATTCGGCCGGTTATGCAATCCGGTATCGTCTTTTTCAGGCCAGTCTCTAAACAGGAGCCGCCGCGAAGAATTGCAACAGCGGATATCGTGCCAGCTGGTCGAAGGCCATGATAGATCTGTTTTTGGGGTGTGGTTACCGTTGCTGGAACGAATGGGGTAGTGTCGAGGGCCCTAACTTTTGTCTTAGTTAATCTGATTTGGTTTAAGCTGGCAGTAATGCTGCAGCAGAGGTAGTAAATACCGTTCTATCATGATGCATGCTAGCCGGTCGAAGTAGAACACGAAATCAACTTGCTCCGTCAGGGGATCCTGTAAAATGGTATTTATACCGACGAATTGCGGAGTCTGCTTCATCACAAAGAACATTGGAGGATAGAGGTTGCTCTTCGACCAGTTTGCCCAGTTTTTGTAACTCTAGGTTATGGGCTTCAGACTTCTCTCGGAGATTTCGCTGAATATGCTTGACCACCAAGTCTGATTCTGTTAATTTGGAGGCTCAGATGAACATTTTGGCGATTATGAAAGCATACCTATGGCGGTCTTGTTCTCAATGCCTCGAGGGATTATGATGTCTTTACAACTAGTCAACCGACAACGAACTTCTCCACCTCGTTGAAGGGGATTAAATACCAGATATATGCCGCTGAGGTTCAACATATCGGAGATACGATGGTTTGACGAATTTAAACCATTGCTTGATGACGCCGTCTATCGTCCTTCCTCTCTCGCGGACATCGCGCAGGACTTGCTTATGCTTCCATTAGCTACCACGACTTCCAAAATGGATTGGGTTTAGAATTGCAGAGGCGTTTCTCACTTCTTCTGCCAAGGCAAACGTCCATATCAGCTTCCACGAAAATCTGGTACAGTTAGCTAGGACAAATGACTTGCTTTAACACGTTTCTTTGGTGACTACATGCCTTGACATCCAGCATATCTACTACTCTTTGGTCCGTAAAGGCCAGTATTCCTTCGAGGATGACAACATGGGGGGAATATAGAGATATGGTCTCTTTTTGCCGCTGATGTCTCTCAAAAGAATAAATGGGAATTTCTACCTTCCGTCTACGTAGGGTTTCTTTAATTAGCACAGAATTACAGATAGTAAATCTGGTAGGAACGGATACCGGGATCTTACCCCTTTTTAAGAGACTGGAGGGTGTCCACGAGGATGTCAAAATCAATCGCATCCGGGCAGTCAAAGTCATATTCATTGTTATGCGCTATAGCATTCTGCTCGGGAGTGAGAGTTTTGTAAAACGAGTCCTTTAAACAATGCCAAATTCAAATCAGCTTTCACTGTTAAAAGTATCATATATCGAGGGAGACATGTTTCTCTATCAAGCCATAATACCATAACGAGAATAACCACCCAGGGCAAGTTGAGACAGTTGATAATTTCCATAGCGACAGACGTCTTCCCAGACCCTGAACCGCCAGCGATTCCGATAATTGTCATATCCGCCCATGGAGGTGAGTATCGAGCTCGATGTTCCGACATGATGGATATATGTACATATATGTACTATGCACGCGCACGTTGGAAGATATATACATTCAAGCGGGAAACCGAAAATATACTAATATTCCCTTGCCATGGTATGAAACATGAAATATATAGATAAGAATGCAGTGTGCGAATGTGTAACTGCCCCTACTCGGGGGCTCTTTTGCCCGGAAATCTTAAGCAACCAAACTGTTATCTCATCTTGACCGTTAAGCTGTGCCACATTGTTCAATTCAAGTTTTGTATGCGAAGTTCGTCCCTTTCGTCAGACGTTGTATCCCTGTCACGTGGACGCGATCCGATCGAGGGATATCACATGATCTGTACGATCTTGGCGCTTGGCATCTGCTTAGTCAAGCGGAGCCGCACACGGTCTAGCTAATTAACTATTTCTCATTTGTTTCTTTTCCTCTTCTGCTTATCACCAGATCAACAAATCTCCAGCAGATTGTTTCTCACTCCCATGGCTTGTGAGCTGAAGGGTTCTTTAGCACCTCTCTTGAACCCAGTCTCTGCTTGCTTCTTCTTGTTGTAAGCTGGCAAAAGGCACAGAGTATCAATCATGACGTCTGCCAACGTAGTATGTGGCATCATCCCCGTCTGCTTCATTTAGCACGATGGGATGGATTACTGAATCTTCCAGATGTCTCCGACCCCCTCTACCACGACGCCAACATGGCATCATTTCGAGAAGAAGGTCGAAGATGTGAAACCTTCAAAGAGGTGAGTTCCATAATCCCGCATCCTGCCCTGACTCTAATGCTGTTCCTATGATGCGTTTTTACAAAATCAAGTTGGGAATCTCTCTGAAAACACCTGAAGAGAATATGTTAACTTGTCCTTCTGACCTGCGAAATTTTCCTTGCATACTCTCCTCAGTTCATTCTGTCAATATTTGACTAACTGGGTGATATTAAAGTGATATCAACTTCCTTGTGATGGATTATCTGGTCGCGAATGGCTATCCATCTGCTGCGCAGAAATTTGCTATAGAAGCAAATATTCAACCACAGCCCGACCTGGAGTCGATCCAAGAAAGGGTAGAGATCCGAAACGCTATTCATTCAGGTGACATTAAGTCTGCCATTGAAAAATTGAATGAATTGAACCCTCAGGTATTGCCTCCTTTAGTTAACTTTTACTGCTCTTTGTCTAAAAATTTGGTTCTACCTCTTTTGCTATGATTAAATCTGTTTCATGCACCACTCATATACCTTCACGGTGTTGATGAAAAACACTCATCTTCAGTCCTCAGTATGACCAGCAAATTCTTCGTTTCGTCTTATTTATACATATTTTAAGCCGCTCAGATGTTGTGTAATCGCAAACTCTAGCTAACCTGCGATATTGCAGATTCTCGATACCAACCCATCTCTCCACTTCTCTCTTCTACGACTACAGCTCGTTGAATTGATACGGACTAGTACATCTACTCCAAATGGAGATATCACACCTGCTTTGGACTTCGCAACGTCTCATCTCGCACCTCGCGCACCCACTAACCCACAGTTTCTTGAAGATCTGGAAAGGACGTTGTCTCTCCTGATCTTTCCTTCAGATAATCTGGCTCCCTCGTTAGCTGCACTACTGGACCCAGAACTCCGGAAGAGTATCGCATCCCGTGTGAATGAAGCTATTCTCCAAAGCCAAGGTGCGCGCCGGGAGGCACGTCTTCGTAACCTTGTCAAGCTACGATCCTGGGCAGAACAGAAAGCGCGTGAAGCCAAGAAAGATTTGCCTGACAAACTCGACATTGGTCTCGAGCAAGATAGGATGAGTAATAATAACAACAATGGCCAGAGCGAAAGCCAGAATGGTAGCACTGATGATGCTATCATGCAAGAACAGGGAGGGGTGGATCCGATGATATCATAAACCATGCACCCTCTGGTTAGCTCTGGAACGAGGTCATCTTCACCCCAACTGACCAGACCCAGGGACAGTAATAATTAGCCCAGTCAGCTTCAGCCACCGTGGCGCGTTTTGTAATTTCTGCGATTGTTTCTTTTGACTGGAATTTAGCGTGGCGTTTGGCGTTCTTTACGATCCCTCACTATCGGCCCAAAGGGCGGCGGTTTGGCTCTAGGTATCTGGCTATTGATCACGAATTGTCTTGGTTTTTAACGGAACGCTCTATTTTCACAGCCTGCATTTCCAGGATTTTTATGATGAATGGATGGCATCTGTTAGAAAGTTACTGGATGCAGTGCATCGTTCCGATCGATATCACGTACCTTGCTTGATATGAGATTCTAATGAGACTAGGGAAATATTTCTTTTATTGTTGGAGCTGATACGGAGTACATTCCATGCAATGTGACGTTACGTTTGTCTTATAGATCTTAACCCTTTGATACCAACTGGCCCGAAGCAATAGGTGCAGATAAAGAGCCCATGTACATAGATATCTAGTAGTGCGCCCGTTAAAGAGGGCTGTATATATCTAGTGGAAACCGCTATATCAAGAAAGGAAAGCCAACTGGCTTGAATCAAAATTGCCACAGAAGAAATAAAAGAAAACCCAAGAACACCAACCCAAAAACAAAAGCAAAACCCTTGACAAGGGAATAGGCTTAGCAAGGCTGGCATAAATGAAAAGGTGGGATGGTGCCACGGATAGGTCTTGAGTTTCTTAGATGTTGGAACTATGGTTCATAAAGGGTGTGTTGAGAATAGGGAGTTGAAAAGTTATATTTGTATGTAGGTAGCGTAGTTCTGACTTGTATTCGTTTGGCTCTCGAAACCCGTCAATAAAAGGTTGCCAATAGTAATGCCATAGAATAGGCCAGTCGGTGGTATATTTTGTCTATTATATATCATTTTAACTTGCATGTGCTGGGATGGGACTTGAGGAATCGAAGCGTAATATGTTGGTTGCTTGACGTTCGTTGTTCTAATTGTCTTGACTTGGGGAGGTGAGGTGAATGGAATGTTTGGAGGGGATAATAGGAGTAGGTTTCTGAGTTTAGAAGCTCATCATATCTGAATAAATGCATATGTTAGTTGGTTCCTCTCCTTGTGGTAGTGGGTTCAAAACGAAAGAGTTCGTACCTCTTCCAAACATAGCTCTCTTCGCCCAGTCCATCGATAACAAAATCCTCGTTCGCAAACTGACGCTCTGCGCGAAATAAATACTCCGCCAAAGATACACAGCCATCAGTCCGCCTGCCCAACCCATTCCATTGAAGTCAAACACTGCTGCGTTGCCGATATATGCCAGGCTGCCAAGATGTTTATATTGAAAGGCCTTATAGACTGCGTCGTCAAGGTCACCATAATCAATCTCGTTAGCTCTCATGCCAGGCATGGCCTGGGCAATCTTGTTGAATTTGCGGCCGAGATATTTGCCTTGTTGATTGGCTCTTTGTGCAGTCGCAGGCAATGACGTCAATTTGGAGTCGATTTGAAGCAGCAATTCACGAAGTTCATCGAAATCAAGAGTGCCGCTGCGATCTTTGTCATACTGTTCGAAAAGTCTGTCCAAGCGACGTAGATGGCTTGCTGCTTGTGGAAATCTCCTCTTCACACGCTGGGCTACGTTCCGCCATTCTGCGAATGTGAGGTGGACCTTTTCTGGGTCTTTGCCCTTTTCCCATGCAATGGTTCGGAGGAAGGATACGATATTCTCTGCCACGTTGTTTTGGACGCTGGAGCAATCTCCAATTGCATATACGTCGCCCATTGGGGCTCCGTTGACCCGAAGATGAGAATCCGTTAGAAGTGTCAGCTTGTTAGTCTGCGCATCGAGCTTCTCAGCAAGTCTTTTGCAGAGTGCAGTTTGTGCTACAGTATCATACAGATGTTAGGAATAACTATTACTAAGTGTCTGAGGGTAGTTTTACTGACAAACTCCCGTTGACCAAAGGCAGAAGCCCATGGGGATCTCTTTTAAAACCTGCTTTCCGTCTTCGACTTGGGTGAAGAGAATTTTGTCTGCTTTGACCTCTTTAACTCGCGAGTTGGTGAGGACGTCGACTTGATCGCTTGCAAAACGTCGCTGTCGAAGTCAGTAAACCGTGGTCCAAGGTATTTGAAGAGTCATACGTACCTCCGCGTATTCGGAGAGCGTTTGGTCGTACGTATTCAGAATATGAGAGCGGCTGGTAAGACCTGTTAATAATCGAATGGAGAGTGTGTCCTAATAGCCAAGGATAATAATACCTTTGAATAAGGTGCACCGAGATTTCATTCCTGAGAATCCGGGGAAACGCCCGGAGCAAATCCTCATTGAGCATATCAAAGATTTCTGCGGCGAACTCGACACCCGTTGGCCCACCGCCGCAAACCACGAACGAAAGCAATCTTTTCCTCTCCTCATCGCTCGTTGTAGGGAGACAGGCCCGTTCCAAATTGTCCACAACTTTGTTTTTGATTTTCCTCGCATCATCGATGGTTTTCAAGAAATTACAATGTTCAAGGCCTTTTACTCCATGCGGATTCGTCGTTGACCCTTCAAAACTTTTGTTAATATCAACCACGGAGGGGAAACCAGGAAGTATATAGGGGATAGACCTACCAACGCCAATGACCAATTTATCATAAGGCAAATAGAAACGTCGCTCCTTCCCACTGCTATCTATCTGCGATACCTCTACAAGTTTCTCTGAAAAGTCAACATCCACTGCTTCAGCGCACAGGAAGTGTCCATGAACCCGCTGCAAAATCAGCCTGATCGGCTCAACTAAAGATCTCAAGCCAAGCGTCCCAACAGTCGCAGCCGGTAGCATAGGCGTAAACAAGAAATAATTGACAGGGGACACCACTGTTATATGGTAATCACCGGGGTGCAGCGTTTTCAAAAGAGATACGCTTCCCCAGCCTGTTCCCAAGATAACCAGCCTCGGTTTGTCCCTTTGTTCCTCCATAGCTTCTGAATCATGGTCATCAACCAGCACATCTGCAATTGGAAGGTTTTTAGGTCCACCTCGACGGGGGTTCAGCGCCAATTCAGAGACGGGGATATCCTGCAAACTTAAATCGTGACGGTAGGTGCTCGCATCGTAGATAAAGAAACCTGCGACAAGCGCTCCGCTGAATATCGCAAAAATGCCACAATATGTAAAAATATTGTATATAGCCTGCACAACCCTACTTCGTTGCCTAAGTATGGGTTTGGTGGAGGCAAAGCGAAGAGCCCACCACGGCGAACTGTGGGATGCAGAGTGGAGTTTCGTGGATACGTGCGCAGATGGGAACCAGCCCGGGTATGGCGTATTAAAATATTGTCGGCATATGTGTATTGGGCTCCGGAGCGCTTGCGCCGGGAGATTGAGCTGACGCGAACATGCTTTGGGAGTCCTTCGAGCGAACGGGCGGGCTAACCGCGTGTGCCCCCGTAGAGACAGCATGGGAGCAATGAGATCGCGCTCATCTCCAATTCATCGAAATATAGTGCTTGATATATAGGCCGTAGGTGAGATCTCTGCAAACATTAGTGGCTCCAGCTATAGATGTTGAATCGAGGAATGAGCTGGCAACCTGTTTACTGCTGGATGCAGGTTGAGCGATGTCATCATACCGCAGCCTGTTGAAACCGAGGGACGCACGTGACGCCCCTATTTTTAATTAGTTGTTCGAACACGGAATTCCCACAGAAAGTGAGGCAGCAGAGCAAGTAAAATACTTGGAATTTGACTAAGGATCCCGTTGGGTAGATATTGTTATCTCCTCTATGATATGTTAGAATATTGTACCCATACATGATAACAAAATAAGCGAGTCCCCAAGCGCGATCGCTAAAATATAAGTCTTAAAATAATACAAGCAGTCCCCTGAGAATTAGATCCGTCCCCAAACCCTCCCCAATGGTAAGAAAGCGACAAAGCATCAAGGCATGTATGTCCCCCCACAGCCTTGACCAAATCTCTTTCGAGCAGATAAGAATAATAAATTAAAAAAATATAAAAAATATGAATAGACTCATGGTCCGCATTTCAAATCTCCCAGCCTCTAAAAAACGCCTTTTATGAATAATTCAATCACTGCCCAGCCCGTCTTCCAGGTCAGTGCTCACTCTCTTTTTGGCAGCGGGCCTCCCCCTAGGCTTCTTCTTGGGAGTGCCACCCCCCGAAACGGACGATTTGCGCTTCCCAGGCTTTGAACTGCTGGTGGCTGCAAGGAGGGCGCTCATATCATCACCTTCGCCCGTAGTGTCATAGCTGTCCCTATCATCATCTCCCGCAACTTTAAGCTCGTCATCAATCGACAGCAACATCGCAAAGTCCCGGCATGTACTCATCATTGCTTCAGTACTATCAAGGCAATGCATGAGATTTGACACGGTCTCCCAAATCCGATCGCCATTGACACCTTGGACCTTTGCTGGTGCCCGGTTAAGCTCTTTGGCATGTCCTTTCCCTTCTTTTTGTCGCGCATGGAAATTGATGCCGTAAAGGCGGCGGAGGTAAGATCGCGCTTCCCAGAGCATCAAGAGTGACCCGGCTGCAGTAGTCAGTTGTCTCAACAACAGCATATCGATGGATTCGTGAACTGGAACTTGGGATGGACCAGCGGGTGAGTCGGGAGAGTCGACGACAGCAGCCGGACCATTTTCAACATGAGTTTCCGCACTGCTTGCATTGCCATTTGTTGGCTGAATGGTGTGTTGGAACAAATCTGTCTCGATCGCATGCGCTACAATAGTTCCAGTTGCGGCAACTATACGTTCAATGCAGGCAATCGTCGGGATAATTTCCGCAATTTGGCCATACTCAAAGAAGGCTATGTTTTGAGAGACAAATCTCGCGAGGAGTAAGTGCTCCGGGGGGTTATTCGACACGTCCAGTTTTCGAAGCTCAAAATCAACCTTCGAGCAAAGATTGGTCAGGAATTTTCTTTGGTATTTGCTATTGCTGACTTTAATAATGTCGAAAAGGGGTGCGAGCTTCGCAGTGTATGGGCGACTGTAAGCCCCACTTGGATCCCCAACGACATCCCGCTGGTAATAAAATGCTTCCTGAACAGCTCTCATATACTCTCGATCAAACATGGACTCATGTTGTTCGTGCAGCATTTTATGCGTTTCAAAGGCTATTTTGCTGATTGTTGGATTTGTCGACGTTTCAAGTGACACCAACACTCCGGCACATTCCTTGGGGTGGATAAGGCCTTGGCGATTGATACTTGCGATCAGTTCGATAGCTGTTAATGCATATGCGTCTTGCTTCGAAAGTGCGGCGTGGAGCATGTTTTGGAGAAAGTGTTGCGCAATCAACGCCGCTGCACCGTCGTTTTCGCTTGCTTTCAGGGAGCCCGCTAATCTTGTAGAGTTTTCAGCATCTACCGCTGAATCATTGGTCTCTATCAGCTTTTCGGACTTCCCTTCATGAACAGAGAAGAACTCTAGGAATGATTTCAACACAATGTTTTGCAAATCCGGGTTATCTTCATCGAACACAGAAGATAGTGCGACTCTGGCTTGTTCCTCGCTAAACTGAGCAGGCCATGTTTGGCAAATTGAGCCCAAACTTTCCAAAGCCATTACTCGCAGCTCAAGTGGATACCGCGGAAGAGCAAAAGGAGCTATAAAATCAACCATTAAACCAGAGACAGAGGTAGCCCGCGCGGTTGGGAAAGACTGCCTGAAAAAATTATAATACTTCTCCAGGTCACAATGCTTCCCAACACAACCTGCAATTCGAATATAGCTTCTCACCCTTCCAAGGGCATCTGCTGTCGAAGACTCATCGAAATTCAGAGCTTTGGCTTGGGCAATACCCTTGAGCACTGATATAGTGAGCTTAACAAGGCGTTCTGTATTTTGTAGAACTCTGTCAACTGTCCAAAGACACGCCATAACCTCATTAAGCTCAGTCCTAGCCAATTTCGAGACACTCTTGAAGAGATCATTCTGCACCTCTTTGAGAAGAGTATTGTGCGCAGTAGAAAGACAAGGTAGAACACACCGATAGATGACAACAACAGATCGAAAAAGGAGGAGGTCATCGGCAGTAGAAAGATGACCAATATAGGGATGCAGTGTTTCTAATTGGTCAGGAGTGAATAGCTTCGCATTGGCTTTGGCAAACACAGTAATGGATTGAAGAAGTGCCTGGAGACTTGGTTTATTGGAAGAATCTGCATGGTCTATGATTCGCTCAAACATTGAGGCTACGACTGATTTGCACACTTCAAAATTGGCGGAGGCTGCTTTGGAGTCTTCGGAGAGTACAGATTTGACAAACTTTTCTAGCGTGATAACTCCAAGATCACTTTTCTCCACGGAACCAACGATGAGATCAACTAGCTCTCCCAGGGAGACTTTTTGAGGTGAATCGTGAATCGAGCTGATCGACTGGTGGAAGGGAGAGAGCCATATTTCTTCCAAAACCTGACGTGCCTGGGCAGCAACGCTACCTTCGAAATCGGTGATTTGTTGAAGTAAGTTATCAGCAATGGCAATTTTCAGGTCTTTACGAGACGTTTGAAGATAGATATCCTTCAGAGAGCCTATACAGCGCTTCCGAACGCCAACCGTGGGATCTGCCGAACAGGCCAAAATGGTACGACAGCCATCCTCCTCAAGTGCCGGTTTGAGTGTGATGCATTTCGCAATGAGGGAGAGCGCAGAGTCTCGAACCATTGGAGAAGAATCAGATGCACATCCCAGAATTAGCGGCATGACAGTGTTATCACGATCAAGAAGATTTGGATCTTTCTCCAGCATCTGAATTACACTCTTCAAACTTCGACTTCGCACCTTAGCTTGGTCACTGGTGATGGAGTTTAAAAGAACCTTCAGAATCTTATCAAATGCTTTGCAAAATCCCATATTAAGAACCGTTAAAAGATAGGCAAAACGGGCATGATTTGCGGCGATACGATCGAACTCTCTACCTCTTGCATTAGCTGATGCCCCTCATTTTATTCAAACACGACTTACCTGTGAGATTCTAGCCATCTGGGATCAGATAGCATATTACGCAGGGTCCTTGCAAACTCCTCCACCGATTCATCTTCGGAAATATTACCTTTATCTTCCGGATCGTAATAAAAACTGCACACAGTTTTCGCCCATTGCGCAAGAAAGTAGCCGCGAGCGCTAGCAAGTTGCCAATTCCCAACATCCCTTTCCTGGAGATACTCGAGAACAATACGGTGCGGCCCATCGATGACAAGAATCTCCTCTATATGTAAAGATCTATTAAGATGCTCGTCAAACAGTTGTCGTAGGTGATCAATTAAGTCCGAATCACCTTCATCTATGCTGGGAAGTAAGTGTTGTACAGAAGACGTGAGATCAGAGATCGCACATCCCATCCACCCCAGCAACTCGAGGGCCATATTTTTTGCGTTTGCTGGACTTTTATCATGGTCCGCAAGCCCAATCATCTGCGACGCAAGAACTCTCAACAAAAGTTCGGCAGCCGGCCAATCAGTCGAACCGAGAACACTGATCAAGTCTCCTGTGAAAAGGTCCAAAAGATTTCGGTATGGCTGATCGCCGGTTTTGGTGGATGTCATCGCGCGTTGAACGATGAATCTCGTAATATACTGTGCACTACGGATTGCATTATCGAAAAGAGGGTCGACCTGGTTTGACAGCAACTCTAGTGCTGTGCCTCTTTTTGGTCCCTCATCTTCAGGCTCATCGTCGGCTTCTTCGTCACTTTCAGATCCATTGCCCTGTCCAAGCTTTGGAAGAGGTAAACGACGCTTCGGTTTTCTTGAACCTTTCAATGACTTTTGCAGCGCCGTAGTTTGCACAAGTTGCATCACTAAAGCAGAAAGTAATTGAATATGTTTCCCGTCTAGGAGTTTAAATTGCCTCGCGCTCTGCCTTGTGGATGGGAGCTTCTCTAGCGACACCAAGATTTCATCGAGGATGAAGGAGCGTTGCTCTGGATATTTCGCAAAGATTTTTGCCAAGACGTCCATAGAACCTCTCCTAACAGCTTCAAACTTTTGGAAACCCAGTGTCGAATCTCTATCACTATGAGCATTTTCTACAAAAATTAGTTTCGTAGCGAGGAATTCTGTTGCCGTGATAGTCCCTTCCGCGACATCAACATTGGAAAGGAAACGAGCAAGAAGGTTTAGTACTCTCTTCGTCTGGTGAACCAGGCCAGCAATAATTTGTTTGTGAGAGGAGAAGAAAGTAAATAGTTCTGCATCCCTGCCAGTTGGCCGGCATTCAATAGCCGGGATAAGACAGTCATCAAAAACATGATTGAGAACACTTGGAATGGCTTGTATAACATCTTCTGGGCATAAATCGTTTATCGTTACCTCCCCCGACATCGTTTGAAGCAAAGTGCATATTGCCAAAAGTGCGTTGCGCACATCTTCAAGCCTCCGAAGCCAGATTTCTGCATCTTCATCTGAGGGAACATGTTCTAGTTTAAGATCCGTGGTCTGGGAAGAGATGACGGGAGGCTCGCAGAGTTTTTGAATGCGGTTTAGATACTCTGTGGGAATATCTCGCAGTCTCCCATAGCCTGCAACCTTCTGTATCGCAGCTTGAAGCAGGGTATGCGTTTCAGAAGACAAAACCGGGCCAAGATCGTCTGTAGCTTTCGGGAGTCTAAACATTTTGCTAGGTAGTTGCGCTTCAGTGGTGGCTGTATCTGGCTCAAGCTGATCCTCTTCTTCAAAGACATCCTGCAAAAGCCCTTGCAATTTTACCAAGGCAGCGTCTGCCTCCTCCTTTTGATCTTTCATGCGTAAAGCGGCTAATTTATCAGAATCATCAGTATTCAACTTCCTCCGTTTTGATGGAACTTGCTCGTTGATATGAACGTATTCGTCGGGCTGTGATGACAAAGGTAACGATGGAACTATGATAACAGGCTTCGGCATACTATCTTGCGATCCAAGGGGAGGCTTGACTTCACTCTGGCGTCTGGATTCGAGAGGAATATGTGGGGAAGAGTTTTCAATTAAATTGGGCGACGGCAGAGGCTTTGATACTGGAAGCTCATTCTTCGGGCTTGGAGTAATAGGCAATGGGTCTGTTAATAGAAAATCAGCACACCGGTTGAATAACACATTATAGAATGGGCATACATCGATAAGGAACGTCCGTGTTGTCTAGCATCATCTTTGCGAATGGACCGAGGTGACCACGACTCAAGGACTCTGAGTCTGGAAGTTGAGATTTCAGGGAATTATGGGTTTGTCGGGGCCTTGATGGCAGCTTGAACTCACTGCAAGTGATGTTAGCAGAGCGTGCAAACATGAAAACGGAGCAAACATAAAACTGACTATTCAGTCAAACCTCCACTCAATATCTCCTGTAGATACTGGCGAGTAGTTTTGAGACGGGTGGACTCGCCAGCGGCTGCTTGGGTTTCGTCATCGAGGGCGTCGATAATTGCGCCTGCGGCTTTGCGATCATGGGTGCTAGATAAGTTTGCGAGAGAAGGTTGGCCGACGTCAGGGCGGAAAATAGAGTCTGATCAAACAAGGCGAATGTTAGATTAAGCGAAGAGTTTAATGTGAAGAGAGCTCACCTAGGCCAAAGACAGGGGCACTGGTCATAGGAGAGAACTGAAGGGCCTCGTCAACCGACAGTGCTTTGGCGAGCCGTTCGCCAGCACCGTTGAAGCTAGAGCTGCCATGGTCTGGAATGACCACCTGGATTTCCGGGTGACGAGCTTGTTGCATGACGGAAATCCTACCATGGGGTATGTCTGGTGGACACGGGAGGTATGGGTAGATAATCTGCACAATCCCCCTGTGTGCATCGTTGTCAGCGGGGGCCGATATTATAATCAGTCGTTCTCGGTGCTTGAATGTCGGGGCTCTCAGTCGGTAACCCATGCAAGGCACCCGCCCGCTTAATTTAACGCCCAATGCATAGCGCCGCTTGTTTGCCGCGCATCCCACTAGCGTGGCGCTTACTTATCGCCTGGTTAACTAACTATCACACTTTTTACGTCTATAATTCTGCTGAACTTAACATTTTTCTCGAGTTGGTAATTTAGAGCATTCTAGCTAAAAAAATGTATGAATTAGCACTCTTGTTCATTTTTATCTCTGCTTTTCCTCACCCCGGCGCATTTCATTATTTTATTTATTATCTTGTGTACAATTTAATGAGAAGATCATCTGTGGGAAAAGTAAGCTAACATAACATAACTACTAGACGTAACTACCAAGCAAATTGTATGAACTGCTATTTCTTAGAAAGCTGCAAGTCAACTATGAAGCAGGCCTGGGATTAGGTGTTAGAAGAGCTGAAGAGAAAAAACAGGAAACTGCTGCTCAATTGAACTAACCCCCCAAGGTGCCAAAAATATGATCAATCGGTGATGAGGGGTAGCCTGTCATTCTAGGGCCTTAACTCTACGTTTGCAAAGTTCATAGGGAATTCGTTCGGTGTCATTGTTCGAGAGATCGATGGGTCGAGGATTACTCCGGCCCGCTGCCCCGAAGACACAACGCCTTGCGTGCCCTCACGTGACATAGCGATATAGTTTAGCCCAAAAACCGATGCCTTATTATTCTCGGCGTCATGGCCAAGAATTTTTGCATCATTCCAATTTGGGCTTAGTGTACCTTTAGCGCATGTCAAACTTTAACTTTAAAATTTATGGGTACCAAGATTCCTATTACGGACTAGCTCCCTGCTAGATAATCAGAGCAGGTCACATGATCATACTTTTCACTCGAAGCTGGTCAAATTAATTTGGGATGGCTTCAAACACCTTGACGATTTTCGAGGCTCAGCCGGGTATAACCACACCACGCATTCCCCCGATAAAAGATTCACAGTGAATCTTTTGTCCCTGTAAATGACATCTCCCCCACCGGCAATGTCTTCGATAGGGTCTCTGATATTTTGCATGGACTGTGGAAACCTCCTTCGCGAGTCCTTCGGTGATGAGAATGCGATTCTGATCTGTGAGCTCTGTGGAGCCAAAAATAAAGGTACCAATTAGTATATACGCAAACGAGTTCAGTCCTTTTTATTGGACATTTTCTCTGTTGACATTTTATTTCTTCAGATATTGCTTCGAAAACCATCACATCTGAATCGAAACCGAACGCTTTCCCGTCTGCCCTCCGAACAAAGAGGTCCTTAGTACAGACTCTGACGGCAGATGACAAAAAGGGCGAAGCAATTGCCTCAGAAAGTTGTCCAGAATGTGGTCGACCCGAAATGAGGTACTATACATTGCAAATCCGTAGTGCAGACGAAGGAACGACAGTTTTTTACACGTGTGAAGAATGTGGACACAAGTATGTTTTCTTTATTTATGGATGGACTGCAACAGATATCTAGTGATACATTGTGGACATTCTAACTCTCCATTTATCATTATAGATTCAACACAAACAACTGAACCATGAACGCCTATAATTTATTTATTCAACCGCTCGAAGGCACCCAAGTCGAGCGCGGAAGTATATTTCCATAGCCTCAATAATTCGAGAAACCCCACACGTTACGCCGAAGCCGTTGCAGGCTGAGGAAGTAGCGCATACTCCTTCTCTCTATTCTTTTCGTATTCTGCCATATCAAGTGCAACAACGACACTGTCCCTCACCACTTGCTCGGGATCATTCAAAAACAACCGCAGCGTCTCCTCCACGCCTTCCTCCTCTCCAAGACTTCCAAGAGCCTCTGCAGCTTCGTGACGCACCATGCTAGCTTCCTCCCTATTGTTGAGCGTGGCTGTGAGACTAGGAATACTGGCAGGATGAGACAACTGGCCAAAAACAAATGCTATCTCATGACGGAAGAGTGCCGAAGAGTCCTTGAAACCTTCTGCCAGGGCTTCTATTGCTGGGACAGCAGTCGGGAGATTGGGCGGTGATGCAAGATCTCTAAGGGCGAACATCGCCCGGTACCTTTGGAAAAGTGGGAGTTTCGAGTCGAGCAGGGTTTGTTTTAATTCAGGAATGGAAGGCTCGTCGGTAGGCATGGGAAGCGGAGGGGCAGGGTCAATCGATGCGAAATCACTTTTAGAGATTATCAGTATTTTATCACCTATTGGATATATTGACAAAGTGGGGGTTTGTGTCTATATATATTTGCGTTACCTTTTTTTTAATTTTTCAGTCTTTCGTTGATCAGACGTTTCCCATAAAATTCTATCCACCGCAAGATCACAAGTCTCCCTTACAACATCAACCTCGTTTTCATCATCTCTCAAACTCCTGAGGGTACCTAAGCTGCTTGTGTCGCCCAGGGCTCCCAGGGCCTCTGCTGCTTCGTGTCGACACATCGCATCTTCGTTTCGGTCCTCTAAAACCTCCCGTAGATAAGGAACGCAGGCTAAATTTTTAGTTTGCCCAAGACAGTAGGCAAGTTCATGTTTTAATAAAGCGGATGACGACGTGAATGCCGCCGCGATCGCCTGTATGGCTGGCAGGTTCTCTTCTGTGGGGGGCTGTTGACAGGCTACATGTTTTAAGGAAAATAAGGCACGGAATCGGCGAGCCAAGGGCTCCTTTTCTGAAATGAGGGTTTTCCCAAGAGTGGGTATAGGGCTGCTGTCAGCGCCTTCGTTTGAGGGTTGGTTCATGTCGATTGCGGAGGGCGTCACTTTTAAAGTCAGGTTTTCCACTGTCAGGAGGGTTTCCAGAGACCTATGGTACTCTCGAATTTTGAAGTGGATGTATGAAATCAATGATGTTGTGATAAATGCCTATAGCTATATCTGTATATATGTTTCCTAATATTTTTTTTTCTTTGACGGGGTGAAGAGGGAATGGAAGGCGGAATGCTATTAGTAATCCTTCAATGGCGCATCCATGGATATAAATATGGGCGTAAATTTAGTTATAAACCACCTCCACTGTCATATCTCAACGCACATCTCTATGTGCTCTTGGCGGTAGTGATTTTATCATATTTCTCAAACCCTTAATCCTTAACTAACCCTAATCCTAACCTACCCGGTGTTGAGGGCAGGGGGGTGAACAGATACTTATTAGTAATTTGTGGAGTAGTTAAGTTAACTATTGTATGGTGAATGTAGACTGTGCTTATTTTAGATGGGGGTTTTAAAAAGTGGGCTCCCATTTTACACCATATTCAACCATTAACCCCTATAAATATCTCTCTACGGTTGTGACAGGGGCCCCTCCGTCATCAGAGAGCACCTTTGTGCCTCTCTAAGAATGCAAGAAGATGTGATGAGGACTCTGATGAGTCTGGCAGCAAATTGATTGGATGATGTCGGTGAAAAGTTCCTTCGGAGACAGCAGAGGCAGATGAGCAATTAAAGGGCAGAACTTGTTAAGACATTAACACAACTGTTTGTGTCATAAGGGGAACTAGTAACTAGCTTTTGAGTGGGGCTCCTCGCAAGATGAACTCACAATATCAAACAACTTTTCATCCAAATTAATACACTAAATTATTTGAATTTTCCAATGGATCTTTAATGTGTGTAAGAATTTTTATTTCATGCCTCTATAGGTGATCTGAGATTCTCTTTACATTCTTTAGATACTATAATGAATTGAAAATAATTCATAATTAATATAAAGAAAGAGAGAGTTTATTCAATAGTAAAGGTTACTGAGTAGTTAACAAATTACTTTACTGTATTAAAGCAGTGTAACTAAATTTGAATTAACAGCTGCATATGTTAAAAGATTAATCAAGATTTTAAAAATCTCAATTGTTATCTGTAAATCATCTTTGTTAAGCACATTGTAATATGTTGATGAACTCGATTGTTTTGGTAGACTAAGACAGTAAATAAGAAAGTTCATTTAGTGGAATATCATATCATGTTAGAAAGCTGTGTACAGAGTTCTTTCTGATGGAGTCCTGAGACAATTAGAAAAACAATCGCCAATCCGTGCCACATATTCATACATCCGTTTAAATAGGACGGATGCACCAAACAGAGCCATAGTTAATGGGAAATTCTAAATAGGCTCGGTTTATGTACATAGAAAAGGAAAAAAAAAAGTGTTCATAGAGTAATGGGGAACAAATATTCTACTATTTCGTTTTAATATGCTTGAGCTTCTTAGGTTCGTGCAAGAAGTTATTCGCATAGGCTTTGGGATAAAATGCCCTCTGATTTGGCTCCTGAACAAAATATTCATAGCCTTGCTTCTCAGCAAAAGCTATCGCATCCGCCTTCGTCTTGAAGTTGATATGTGTGCCCTGCATGGCATCAGCGGACGATTGCCAACCCATCAATGGATTCTCCCAGCGATGGCCCTTCTGCAAGATGTCCCAGTCCATCCGCCAATGATGAGAGTGCCACGTGCCAGATTGTGTCGCTGGTTTCGAAGGTTGGAAAATCCTGAGAGGCCGTTAGTAGTTTGGAAGAGATTTGGTGGTTGTGGGAAGAGCGACGTTTTACCTGACGGTTCGCGCTTGAAGGTCTGTGGGAGCCCCTGAAAGCACCGCCGCAGGGACAGCACCAATCGGTTCGCTGCCATCCATAACACGTCTAGGAACGGGAGAGAATGTCCTGAGTTATTTTGTTGGTCAGTGGACTGAATATAGTCCATACATGACATGACGTAAACGGGGGTTGTCTTACGATGTGCCGTGGTCAACTGTAGCATTGTAATCTGGCTGATGGCGTGCCATTGCTTCTGCTGGAGTCTCTTTCCGTATCATCGAGCTTCCTCTCGCTACAGCTGTGGGTGCATCAGCCGGGGTTGTTTTGGGCGCCTCCGATTGTTCTTGAGAAGCTGTCTTGCCGAGATAGCGAACATTGGTCCGGCAGGCTAATTGACCAGTTCTGAAGGAAGTAACAGTAAGGCCAAGTGGCCTCCCAGTCCGTAATAGGGACATTTGTGGCGTTGAGTTTGGAACAACGGATCAGGTACGTCTGCTGGTGATAATCATATTATATAGTCTTGGGGAGGTTGGACAAGACATAACGCATTGTATTGCGGTTCGGAGCCGGGCAGTAGGTGTGTGTCCCAATCAGGTTAGCGCAGAACGATCCTCCGCTGACTGTTCCCTCTTTTGTCCGATTACAGCCAACTTCAGCATCAAAACCACCAACCCCGACACTTGTACGGTCACGACCGAATTTGGTTCAATTGTTTTTCGAATCAAGGTACGCAAGCTTTCAGTCATTCAATCGGATGCACTTTTCTCAATGCTAATTTATGCCTCAGGTTCCCCACCATGAGCTTCGTCACACGCCGTGGTCTCTCGACCCTCATCCCTCCCAAGGTACGCCAGCCCCATATTGATTCTCCCTTTGAATTACGCCCCTTCTAACTTCTTAATAGGTCGCTTCTCCTACAGTAAGCCACCACCTGCTACAATCTCCTTTGCTTTGACACAATATGGCCCTTTGTTGGCGACCAGGCTGGCACTCTGTGCCGATGGTCGATTGACCGGAGAATATCACGAACTTTCTTTTAGTACTAATACTGGAAAAGGGAATTGGAGCCGCGCAAGATGCCGCCCGTATGGAGCGCATAGTGGGCTTTTACGAGAAACTGCCCCGCGGTCCAGCACCTGAAATCAAACCCACTGGCCTGCTCGGACGATACCAAGCCCGGTATTTCGGAAAGAACCCCTCTGCGATGCGTGAGTACACCTTTGTTATGGCCCGACGGTTGTATTATATTGGGCTTTTTCTGATGTGTATTTCTTTCTCTCAAATGTTCAACACACGCTAACAATGTCAATCATAGCAATTATCCATGTCATTGGTGGACTGATTCTCTTGGGCTATAGCATGGACTATTATTTCCATCTCCGTGAGCCCCCCTACCCCAGCGCCTTGGCTATATATTTTCTGTGTCATCTAACGTGTTGATTCTTCCCATAAAGGTCACCACAAGAACAATGTCCATTAAAATGTTGTACGAGAAGATCCAGTCCGCTTAAAGTTGATTGGTGTATAGTGCAACCACATGTACATGTACATATAGAGATAAACCTTCCAATGCTGAATATTTCCTATTTTGTTATTGTATCGGACATTCGTACTATTGCGCAGCCATTCTTTTCCAGGAGTTGTCGCAATTCAACAAATGGACATTATTTTGGGCCTTAACCTTCCCAACTCTTGCGATTATAAAGATATGGATTGTATACGAAGGTGGAATGTGACAGAATGGCAAGCTTGATTGATTGCAGAGTTTGCACGCTACGAGAAACGACTATGGTGGAAAACATGTCACGTGACGGGAGTGTCCGACAGAATGTTTGACCACACAGGATATATAGATGAGAATAGGCCAAAAAGTTTTGATTGATTCAGTTAGGCAATATTCTAACAGCATGTTTCTTGGGACAGTATGCCATCGGAAACATCAAGCTGTTTAAAGAAGATAATCGGAAGGTATGAAAGAACAAGAGCTCAGAGCTGCAGTCAAAGGACTCAATGTACACAACAAACTAAAATTGAAAGGAATGCTGAGGGCACTCTTAAGAATCAACTGCAACTAAGCACGCATATAGATGGTATACCTAGGTTCCAGAGGATAGGTGGTAAATAAGTAAATAAAGCCTGGCGTTGAAGCATATATAAGAACAGACCCTAATCTGCGCAGCGAAGGCGTTACCCAGGCTTGCTGTTAGCTCCGTCCTGTTTCTCTGGGAGACTGTCTCATCCGTATAGGTAGGTACTTCTTACGGTATACACAACTTCCAAGTTTCGTCTGTGGGGGAATAAGTTACAGTTAGTTACTCACTTTGAAGGAATGATAAGTACTAATATTAAGGTGCTCATGTGACTCAGACCTTTGGGTGACTCTCGGCAGCTTACTTCCGCTGCAAAAGTGGCGCTGCTTCTTCACCGCTAACCGGATCTGGGGCATCCCAGCTTGGCTACAACGTCTCTCTCTAACCCTTTCAGATCCAACCTCATCCATACTTTCCACCAAAGGAGTCCATCTCTTGTAATCATCCGGCTAGCTTAACCGGCTTGAACCTATCTGTTTCACTGTCGAACGGCTACTGACCCGTCTTCGCCTCACTCCTCACCGGAAAGGAAGTTGAGCGCCAGAACCGAAGCATTTCCCGCCAAAGTCATCTCTGCTTTGACAAACTTCATCTCAGTCGAAGCTTGGTGGTTCTTGTGGCGATACTCAGTTTTTGACAAGAGGTATGCTAGATTTTGCATCCTGCAGTACTCCTGGCTTTATTTCCTCGAAGCCTCCGTTGTTTTCGGGGTTGGCTCCGTGATGAGAAAGCAGGCTCTAATGATGGCGAAATGCCAAATCACCAGATTCGAGCATTGTTATGGCAGAGCAGAGCAGCCACGATGTGGTAAACCAAACCCGGTCGGGCGGCGAGATATCGCCTTCCGACGTTCCTGCAAACAAACCTGACAATTTCACTGCTGGAGGGGATGCAGGGGAAGTTCAACAACCAAATACAACCAACATTGATAGCAACAACAACGACGACGACGCTCAAAGACGGGACACCACATCGCAGGGGAGCATACATGGAACTTCTGGTATGCCATCAACGGACATTCCTGAATCATCAACAGTGCGTGGACATGATACTGTAAGTTCTTCCGCGGCTCTGATGCGAGTAACTGGTTCCATGCTGAACAATACGACAGAACATTCATTGCGACCGAAATTTAGATAATGGGAAGAACGGAAAGTCTGATATCAATGGACTTGCGGAATCTTTACCCACAGGGGATGAAAGACTGTCTCCGCTTCAACCTGGCGATGCAAGCGGAGGATCTGACACAGATACCAGCAGGACAGATCTTCGAACATCACCCGATGGAGGCCAACACACGCGCACCAGCTCCGCCAAAAGAATATCCGTATTCAAACCAGTTTCTTACGCCAAGTTTTCTGTTACGAAATCACCGGGAACTTTACAAACATCCAAAGCAAATAATGACAAAAGTAAGTAATGTTATATAAATTTTAATGACGTGTAACTTACAATCTGGATAGCACCGTTCTCATCCGCTTCTTCGACTCCGTCGGTCTCTCAACCTACAAAACCTCGATTAGTGGCGAAGGCCACCGGAGGATTGCGAGACTCCGCTCCAAAGTCGACAGGTATTGGGACTAAAAGTGGTAACGGCGGCCCGGACCCAAATCAGGTCTGGAATAAAAATCGACGTGAGAAGCCAAAGCTCTCTCTATCTTTCGGTGTTAAAGTTCTAACTAGAGAAAATAGCGGTTCCACCACCATCAACTAAACATCTTACGGACGAGGAACTGAAGCAACAGTATGGAATCCACATGACATCCAGGATCCAGGAAGATGACAACGGCAAGGAAGCTAAATGGGCGGATATCGATGATGATGAGGATGATTGGGCGCCTGAAACGATAGAATGGAATGACGGGACAAAAATCACCCTTACCACCCACACGGAGAATATTCCACTTCCAAGCGAAAAGCCGAAGGATACTTCCAAGGACAGAAAACCATCTCCAGCTTTATCTGAAAACAAGTCTTCTCGTGAAGGCTCCAAAATCCTGCTTACTAAATCAAGTTCCGTCGGTCCAAATTCCACTGTTTTAAAACTTGGATCAAATACCGAAAAACAAAGCAAACCCGGGGAAGTTTTAGCGAAGGGACAAAACGACAAACCAATTCTCACATCAAAAGCTCAATCAGCAGCTCACAAGTCCCCGTGGGCTCCTCTCCCGCCAATCGACAAGGTTCCCCCGGTCACAATTAGTCCGCCTCTTCCAGGTCCACCGTCTCGCTTTCCGCAGCGCGACCATCACCATGGTCCTGCACCTACTCCAGCGCCCGCACCTCCAACAAAGGAAATAGCGGCAGATGACTTTAATCGATCGTGGAGAGATACCCATTCTAGTGTGCCTCGTGAACTTTACAACTCGCAATCTGGTCGTTATGAACCTGTTCTGGATACTCGTCGAGGACCTGCTCGAAATGAACAAAATTTCAGACCTCCTTCCCTTTTACAACGGCCTACGCATGGAGAACAACCTAGCCTTGGAGAGCCATCTCCGATGTTCCAGTCTCACAGGTCAGCTGGTGATGGCGCCTCTTGGGGAAGAAGGCGCGCATCTTCGAATGTTAGCGGGGGAAGCGGCGGGTTTGGGCGACAAGTGTCTTTCGGCAAAGCCTCAGTTAACGGAGGAAATGAACGGCCAACGTCACCTCCTCCACATCAGAGGGGCCCATATGCTCCTCGTGGGATTTCACCATCTCAATCTTCCGTTCGCCAAAACCGTGCAGGCCAGGCGACTCATTATGTCACTCCTGGATTCCATGCTAGCTCTCAACAGGCAGGCGCTACGCCACCAGAGGAGGCAGCTCAGCAACAGGTCCCGTTTGAAGATCCTATCGCAATGCAGCAGCGCATTATGCGAGAAAAACGAGAACTGGCAAGGCAACGCCGGAAAGAAGAGGAAGAACGGGAAGAAGCAGCAAAACAAGAAAGAATCAGGCTGAAGCTTCAATCCATGGGGCTACCTATGGAGAAACCATCGGACAAGGCGTCTGAAAAGGTTTCTGATAAATCATTTGACAAACCATTCAACAAGCCAGCAACCCAAGAGCAGTCTGCACCGTCCGAGCCAACAAAAGAACCATCAAAACTGGCAATAGCAGGTGCAGCCATCCACTCACCTCCTAAACCTCCTATTCCAGAACCTTCCGGGGAACCAAAGCAATATGGAATGATGAAAGTACACCATCCAGCATCCGCTAAGAAATTGGTGGCTGCGAGTGAACGAGGCCCAGAGAGGCCATTTGGAAATAACAACCAGACTCGCCAGCCATCGTCCCCATCACGCGATTCTAAATTGGACTCTGTCAGACCGCTTGCAACAAACGCTAATGGTATGCGCCCTTCCGCAGAAACTTCTCCCACAGAATCTCGGCATGAGGCTATAATGGAAGACAAGCCCCCACAGTGGAAGGGACCTCTTGCTGCGTCAACACCCTACTCTTCATGGTCTGGTCAAAAGCTTAGTTCTAATCCTACTCCAACTACACCATTATGGGGCCCACTAAGTAATGATAAAGCGCTTGGCAATGGGACATTTGACAGAACATTAGCCGGATTTTCTCGGGATCTGCCTTTGCCGATTGGACCCCCATCCGCAAACGATAGACTTAGCAATGCAGACCGATCCCGGGCTATGGCAGACAACGGGCGGCCGTCATCCCCTATATCCATTCCAGAAGAACGATCTTCTCGACTTACTAACAACGAATGTCTCAAGCCCATTGCTCGACCCACACCAATCGGGCCTCCGACTCCCCAAACTCAATCTCAACGGTGGCAATCTGATCAAGGTCCTCGCCGATCCCAGGACACAGCTAGTTGGAATGATTTCCATGCGACTGCTGCGAAAGCAGAAGCAGAGGAGAATGAGAAAGTCCATCGTGAACTAGGAGCGTTGCGTGAAGAAGAGGCACGGACTGGCCTTCCACCTGCCTCCCTCCAAGTCTCGTTTAATGAGACTTGGCGGCAACTCGAAAGTGACCAGGCTTGTCAGCGCCAAATCGTCGGTATTGCTAGAACAGCTGACAGAGGATCGTCTCTTCAGTCGCTACACGGATTTGGACCGGCCGGTCCTGGGTTGTCTTTCTCCGAAGCGGCCACAAAGCCTCTGACAAATGCTACTGGGAGAGAGTCGAGATTTTTCCCACATGGGAGCGAACAGATTAGACGGCCAGCAAATACTTCGAGTGTATATCCCCGTAGCCCATCACCTCCCCCACCAGATGATATTTCCAGCCACCCAGTTTTCACTGGCGATTCCCATAAGCCATTGGTCCATTTACCAACGCCAAAGCCTCGCGTCAAACTGCCTCCACGACAAGCAACACCACCTCCGCCGCCAGTCACGTTCGCTTCAATGGTTGCGAGTCCAGCCGTCCGCTCTCCGACTCAGCATGTTGCTAACACTACATCGTGGCAAGACAGATTTAATGGGTTGTTTGGTAAGAAGCCTTCACCGGGTAGGAAATATGCTCTTGCTGTTACCTCTGCTACCAAGGAGCCACTTGAAGTTCAATCATCCACATCATCCGCCTCGGTATCATTTCCCCAGTATGACGAGGTTGAACTTCTCCGCGACGCCGGTAAAGTCACTTCTAAAGATGTTGAGGATGAGGAAGCCATTTTCGAGGATCGAGAAGCAGGTTCTACCCCTGTGGTGAAAATGCCAATCATGGCCCCCAGAGCAGCATGGCAACCGGCCCTCCCACCTCCACAGTCTCGCTTGCGTCCCAAATATCAGAAGCCTGTTCAGTCGTTGAGCATTGAGCCATATATTTTCGGCTTTTTTGGCGACGATAACAACGCAATTATCATTCACCTACCGGGCAGGGATGTAGCCAAAATTTTATCGGTGCCGAAGAAGGGAGGAAATACTTCTTCGCGACCTAGAGGACCCTCCACATTAAAACAAAGGAAAAACGTAAAACTTCGAGATGGATCCGGCAACTACAGTCATCCTCAAGCACCAAGGAAACATTCACAATCCACTTCTACCGCACCGCGACCACACCCGGGCAATGGCAGCTGGGCAAACCGTGCATCCAGCGTCGCTCAATAATAGTATTCGAAAGTAAGATTAAGGAATTAGGTCTCCTCACAGCGTGGCATGGTTTAGGTTCAATTCCCTGCTTTGGTTAACGAGTTGCATCTCGTCCTATGCGAAGGGCTGAAGCTGATAGTACTTTGCTTCTTTTTTTCGGGAAGTTCCTAGAAGCGTTATTTGCGTGTAACTCTTTTCTTTTTCTTTACTTTTTTTTTTGTTATATGACCTTCTAATCATACGTTCATACTCGTCCCTGTTTCCTTCTTCTGTCATCCCACTCTTTAATTCATTCATTCATTCATTCTTCTCTTCTCTTCTCTTCTCTTTCTTTTTGGCCCCGTTAAACTTTTCGTCTCATCTATAAACACGACACCCCTCCATCGAACTCTACACCCCACCTTCCCTGAACCTACACCACTCACATTAAAGTGCTATTTATACTGAGCTGCGAAAATACATCTGAAGGGAACGAAGATGAGGCCCTTTGTTTTTCAACTCCGTTTTATGCACGTGCACATCTGCTATCCAGAGACAGGGTCCCCCTCCTAAATTACTTACGATCAAGGTGACAGATGACTCCTGGTATTATGGGGACCTGTACATTATTCCCTTCTTTTTATTGAAATTAGCATGTTTTATCTCTGCCTAAAATTTCTTTTCCTCTTTTTTCTCCGTTGTAACTTGCAGAGCTGTGTTCTACCCATGACTCTTATTGTTCATGAATAGAGTGATAGTAAAGGTTCATGGCTGCATCTCACTGATATATTCCGTGTCGTTTAGCTAGTTTCTGAATTGCTGACCATGCTAACTTGTTGAAGAGGAAGTTGTTGGCTCTGGAGCTACGTTCTTGGATTTAAATGATTTGAGCGTTCAATCAGACGGATTGTAGTTAAGACTGGGGTTCCCTTCTGCTAACTAATCGGTGATCTACATCTATTTTCAAAGATCCAACTTCTAGTTGGGACTGCAGCTCATGATATAGATGTAAGTCTTTATATTCCATGCACAGTTTAAGTGGCGATATCCAATCTGTCTGTCCATAGAACTGAAGGAAGTACTATACCTGACGATTATCCGTAGCTACAGGCTTCATCCTGTGGGGAAGCACGTTCTCTTCTATCCGGACAAAACTCAAGGCCAACTTACTTCCTTGGTTATTTTATAATGGCTTTTTTTTTTCTTTCTCTTCTGGTTGCGTATCTCCCACGAAGTTATTAAGGAGTTTTAACAATATCAGAGCAGCCGTGGCTTCAGGTGTTAAAATCTAAGGAACTACAAATAATTTCCAGGTTAAAATTCGCAGCATTGTAATTCTATCTCTACGGGGATAGGGAAAAGATACCAGCGCCATAAATACCAAACCACCGCCTGCTGTTAGAAAAACATATCCGCCACTCAAACCTCCATAGAAAACGCCTGACTAAAACAAAGCGGAAAGGGAACGAGAACACATCAATGAATAACCGTATAAACTACACGTACGCCTCGCTCGCTCATACCAAAAGAAATTAAAACATAGACCATGCTAAAACAAAAGAAAAAGAAATGAAAACCAACGAGTTGTGGAAAGGCGTGAGTGAGGACATTGGGGAGGGGAGCCCTTGGGCATGTATACCGAAGTAGAGAGCCCCAGGGGGAGCAAGAGTTAGTAAAAGAAAAAAGAATACATATATAAAAAAAAAAAAAGGCGTGTAAAATAATAAAAAAAATCTACCAATTCCACGTCCGGCTTGACGCAGTAAAAACGGGAGGTTTCCATTGTAACCTGGCAGGATCGATTTTGCGAGCTCCCTTGAGTTTCTCCTTCTCCAGGCGCTTTCTATGTTGCTCGATAACCGCGTCTGTGAGCACGATGACCCAGTTTCCTTTCTGTAGAAATGATTAGTATCTAAAATGCCATTCTGGAAGGCTGACATCATATGTCGCTTCCTTCAAGGGGCTTTATGCTGGGGTTAAAGGATGGATAAAGCATTTCGTACATTGTATCGCAAGAGATTTAGCACTACTAGCGTCTCGTGGACATCTTTCTCGGTCATCGCGCTAAGATTCGCAAGTTCGCTCTCGCTAATGGACTCCCGACCCGGCTCCATGAGAATATCTACAAGGGTTTCCCTCCAATATTGCCGATATCCCAGGAGCCCCAGGTCGCTGAGTGGTTTTTCGGGGGAACCCAGCTTGCTTTCCCGTTTGCTGAGCTCGTAGCTGAAAGCGATGAGAAGTCGACCAAAGCCTCGACGTTGGTACTGAGGTAGTGTGAGAATGCAAGCGACATTATAGCCTTCTGCAGACTCTTTCTCTTTGGAGAAGTATCCGACTAAATGGCAGCCATGCTCGTCTCTTGTGGTCATGCAGTAGAAGAGGAACGGATCCACGTCGTAGTAGAGAGTTTTGTGGTCCAGGAATAGCTTGCTCAGCAGACACAGATTCCGGCACCAGGTCCGCTGGCGGCGTCCGTCGACTTCGAAGAACGAGACGTTATCATCACGGTAGATTTCATTGCCTGGAGGGTGAACAAGGGTGCATTTGGAACGGTGTCTTTCAAAGGAGCGCTTTTGGTCGAAATAGCTAAGGCAAAACTCATCGATATACACCATGTCCGCGTCGGTGAAGTGTGCTGGATAGGGTGAAAAGTACCACGGTTCAATCTCGTATTTGCCCATTTGAATATGAGTCAAGTTTCGCACGCGATGTATCTCAGTTGGATTCTGCGTCATGCTTCCATGTGTTCGCAGCTTTTCGATCTCTTCTCCTCGGGTGAGATCTCCGGCGATCTTTTCCTCTTCCTGTTTTATAGCTTGTTTTGCCTCTGCATCAACTGCATCGACCATTTCAACATCTTCCGGCTCCCCGTCTGCCCTTGGAGTATTAACCGACGAAACAGCTTCGCTGCCCAGCAGCAAGAGGTTCGAAGGCATTACGTCATCACTGTTCTCTTTCCCACCTGCTTTGGAGGGGCGGGATGCCTTGCTGATATTCAGATTCTTACCAGCAAGAAGCTCAGGCGCTGTTGAAACCTCGCGACTACTCGCTCGCGCCCGTTTTTGGGAGTTTTTTGGCTGTGCCTTTGGAGCCGCTGCACCGGTAACCTTTTTCTTCTCTGGTTTGTCCGGCTGTGGCCATTCGACTTCCTGGGTAAGGTCAATCCTGGATGCCGGTATCCATTCTGGATGAATAGGTCATCAGCACGATACACCACTCCTGAACGACATATCAATGTCAGCATGGCTGGATGCTCTCTAAACATACCATCAAGACGCTTGTTGAAATCGACATAATGAACGCTGGGGAAACGATTAGCATGCGCCGCTTCAACTTGGAGAGGGAAGAATTAACATCGAAATAAGGTCCGCATACTAAAAGCTTGACCCCCCCTTCCGCTGCCTCATCGACAAAATCTCTGCTTTCCGATGCTCCCCATCCTATATTCATCTATCGTTAATCTCCGTTGTCCTCCTAGAATAGTTACAAGCCCGTATATCCCAATGTCACGTGATATGTACATGGCTTGGGCAGGCCAAGGAACAAGAATAAAATAACACGTCTAACCTTTTCGACAAACGCCTTCATACCGATCCTAAAAACGGGCGAAATCAGTACATCTACATGTTCGGAATGATTTCTACCGTGGCGGAAATTATATGGATCGAATTTTTGGGCATACCTGATGGTGTTGAGTGTAGCAAAACCCTTTTCCACAGGATCGGGGGTGGCTGGGGCATCTTGCGAGGCATCACTCACGCCCATGTTTTCCCCGCGCTATTTTCTACGGGATATGGTGTTCCTATTAGATGGAAACGGGCGTTGTGGTGAAGATACTGATGGATGATGTTGATGGCTCTCTGCCGCCTCTTCGAGTAACGCGGGCGAAAGTTGAGGGTTGTGAAGATTTTGGCGGTCTTTGGGCTTAAAAAAATGGGCGAATGAAGTGAAGACGCTGCTTAACGCCACCCACCGAGAGAGTTTACTACTTACCGAAGCTCACCTGACTCCAAGCGCAGGCAGCCATAAACATGGCTTTTGCGTCCAGTAATGTTAGAATATATACAAATACAAATACATATATACATATATGTATCGCGATAAGGCTCTTGACAGACGTGTTAAACTAGCTGAAGTCAAGGCTGTTGGAGATTCTGAATTTCCTCAAAATGAAAATAATGCGTAATTTTAGTGCATAGAAAGAGAAGTTCAAACAACCACAGTAATAGGACAACCAACCATCAACGCTGTGTTAGGACATGATATCAATACAAGACTTCCCCTTCCCCCAGAAATGGAAATAGAAGTGAAATAAAACTGGCATACTGATCGAACCCCTTGACAATGAACCCATCACAATTACCATGCCTCCCTCTAATGCCACCCATTCACCGCGTTGCTCTGCAGAGACTCCAGTTCTTCCTTTCGCGACATGTACAGTTCCTGCGCCTCTCGCTCCCGACGAGTGATGAACGTAACTTCATCGCGGAGACCCTCGAGCCTCCGGCCAATGCCCGATTCCTCGGCAAGCTGAAGTGTTCGGAAGGTGTCCAACTCGAATCTGGCCTTTTCAAGAGCTTCGCTAGCTTCAACAATCTTCGTCCTAAGCGTTTTTGCCCGAGCTTGGTATCCGCCGTTGTGAAGCGCAATCTTCTTTTCTAGTTTGTTTCCCTCCTCTGCAGTGGCAAGAAGTGAGGCCTGCACATTTTCGAAAGCAGCCACCATCTGCTGTTCTTGCATCTCATGGTCATCGTTATCCGTGTAAAGAGAAAGCCCTGGGAGGCTAGAGGATTTGTGGAAAGATGTCCATGCTGTCGCGAAACCGTCTTGCCAATCTTGCCTGGGGTCAAAGGAAGCTATTTCATCGGTAATTGCTGCACGCGCTTTGGCGAGCTGTGTATCGGAAATGGGGGCCAGTTTTGGAGCTTTCCCTTGGATTCTGGAACCTGGTAAGGGAAATTTACATGCATCATGAGCGATAAGAGTGACCATCTCTTGAGTGATCATGTATAGCATAGGATCTGTAGCGTCCTTGGATTTTTCAATCAAGGCATCCAAGTCAATCACACTAGGTCGCGGCAGCCCTCGTTGATACACTTGAGTTTGTCGTTTAAATTCTGCTTCAGCTGCCTTTTCAGTTTTAGCTTTATTTCTCCTATCCCGTTCTGCTGCGTCTTCTTCGGAAAGTTCCACCGTGCTAGTCGGTTCCGCTTGTTCCGTTGGCATTTCCTCCAGTTCCCACTCCATCTCCCTCGGCGCTGGAAGGCTTTCAAGTTGACTGCGTAGCTGTCTCCGCAAAAAGTCTTCACGAACCCTCATTTCTTTGGGTGTGCTACCGACAAGAGATCCCATTGCATCTGCATTGATAGCAAAATTGTCTCTAGGTGTACGTAGTGGAGTAGCGCCTGGTATCATTGGCGTGCGCATAGGGGTGGCGCCTATTCCGTTAGCACCAGCTTGTCGGAATGGAGTCGCCATGGGATTCGGCGTAACAAGTGTATGTTTTCGAGGAGCAATTCCTTCAAACCCAGTAGATCCACCACCTTCATGCAACGGCGTATTTTCTCCACCCAGCAAAGACGATTGTGTTTCTGTCAAGGCCTTGATGTTGCGGATTTCGTTGGCGATGCGATCTTCTTCAACCGGTGCCTTGGGGGTCCGAATGGGAGTTCCACCAACAATTGTGGAATAGTTGCCGATCAACCCTCGCGTGCCATCATTTTCCTCTTCGCCGGCCATTTTACTAGCTCGCTCTCCAGCCATACCCATCTTCACGATCTCCTCAAGTTCGGCTTCACTGACCTGAGGAGCAGGGAGCACTAGGGAGCGCCGCTTACTACTCTGTTCTGCTTCTCGGAGTTTCTGCATCCGGCCAGCTTTTGCAGCTGCTGCGAAGGCAGAATTGCCGCTTTTGTCATTCTTCCTTCTCTTTCTTTCGGCGTCTTCGTCTTGATCGCCTTTCCGTTTACTAGCAACTTGTTGTTTCCTAGGATCAAACAACTCTCGTTGCCGTTCATTTCTAGCTTCCTCTTCCAAAGTATTGTAGAAACCAGGTGCAGCTTTTTTCTCGAAGGGGATATCCGCGTTGTAATCCATTTGGCCCTTTTTGCGGGTGACAACCTTAATGTTAATACCTGCATTTTTCAACTCACGGCGCTTTTGCAGAACCGCAAAGCGGCGCGACTCTTCCAGTTGACGTTCCCGGGCTTTCCTCTTTGCCTTCTTTCCTTGTGTGTTTGCCAGACGGGCACGCGCCTCACTGAGCATCTCCTTTTCGTCCTCATCAAGGTCGATGGTATCGGGGCGAGCCGGTTTGGATTCGGGGTCGGGATCCAGTTCACCTGGTCTATACAAGATGTGTTATGTGTTAGTGGTGGTAGGATAGATGTAAACCAGGCGATAACGTACCGTAGTCTTCTAACGTCATCGGCACTTGGGGCCGCTGTTTCACCCCCAGCAGGTCCGCCCAGGCCCAGCTCATCAGATTCACGAGCCTCTGCCTCGTCTAGTAACTTTTGATAACGCTCTAAGCATTGGGTTGCTGTCCTTCCAACAATAGGTGCGATCGTTCGCCATTGCGTGGGCATCAACTTTGCCAGATGCAGCAGCTTTTCATCTTCCTCTCGAGACCACTCGATCTTACGGATAGCGGGATCCAGCCATTCTGCCCACCGTGCTTTGCACTGTTTCGGCGTCTTCCTGGCAAGAAGAGAAGATACTCGCGCCCACTGGTTCAGGCCATATTTGGACACAGCTACCTTCACGATCTCATCCTCAATATTCGTCCTGAAAAAAGGTTTAGTAAGTAAATATAACGTAAGTAGGTGAGGCAAGGCAATGAAGATAGAGACACTTACCAGACTCCACCTTTGACAACCGGCATCTTGATTGTATTGTGGATGGCTTGACTTGCGGTTCGTTGCCATTTAAGTGGTGGTGAAAGTTGTCTAAGGAGTTCCACTTGGGAATATCAAGACACATAAGAATTTAAGCGCGGTAGCCGCATTTACCTTGGCGCCTTTGCCGCCAGCCAATCAGTCAAACGACCGAAACCCAAATTTTCAGACAATTCGCAACGTTATTTCAAAAATTATCGGCCGCTCAGTACCACCAGTTACGAGTGAGCGATACGGGTTATATGCTGGCAAAATGGCGACAGCAATAGGGGCACCACATCAGTATAAACAGCCTTCTCGAAATGGAAAAAAAGCATGGAGAAAACATGTGGATGTTACTGAAGTCGATGCGTGCCTCCAACGTGTCCGGGAAGAAGAAATCGAAGGGTAAGATTATGTTTATCGTAGTTTTATTTGGTGTTTAGAATGTATTACTGAGGTTTTCTTTCTTACTACAGTGGTGTCATTGCCGAATTGCCGTCCGACGACCTTTTTATTATAGACTCGAAAGGTTCAGACGAGATTCAACGAAAAGTGAAAAGTACCAAAGCCCTTAAATGTGATGAGATACTTGCCCGAAGATCCGCAATTCCAGCAGTCGATGGCCGCAAGCGCGGAAGCTCTAAAGTTACAGATGGAATAATTGAACCGAGAAGCAAGCGGACCAAAAGCGATTGGATTACTTATAAGGAGTGGATGCGGTTGAAGCAGGTTGCGAAAGCTGCGAACCCATTAGAGCAGGACATTGATAATAGGATAACGCACGATCCCTGGGCCGAAGAACCCACTTCTGGGCCTACAGAAGAAACTAAGTTCAATTTCCTAGAGAAACCAAAGCCTATTGTCGCACCTCCTACTACGAAGCTTCCACCACTTTCATTAGCAGCGAACGGAAAACCGGTGCCGTCAGTGCAGAAACCCAATGCTGGAATAAGTTATAACCCGACATTTGAAGACTGGGACCGACTTCTAACCGAGGAGGGCCAAAAAGAAGTTGAAGCTGAGAAGAAGCGCCTGAAAGAGGAGAAAGCAGAGCAAGAAAGACTAGCGCGGATCGAAGCTGCAAGAAATGAGAGCGAAGAGGCCCGATCGGATGATGAGAGTGCTTGGGAGGGTTTTGAGAGTGAATATGAAACTCCTGAATGGTTGAAGAAAAAGCCTCGGGAAAGGAAAACCAGGGCTCAGCGAAATAAGATAAAAAGAAGAAAAGAAGTTGAGAGGAAGGCAAAGTGGGAAGCACAGATAAAGAAGCGAGAAGAGCAAGCTGCTCAAGTTAAAGCAATAGCTGAGGCAGTGAAGGCGAAAGAAGAAGCCGAGAAACAATTGCAAAAGGTCGACGACGAGTCGTCGGCCGAAGGAGATGACCGAGTTCTCCGGAAGCGACCCTTTGGGAAAATCCCGTAAGCCACCCTGTGCCACTATCTGCACATAGGCTTTGCTAATTTGAAATTTGTTCTTCGTAGGGTTCCCGAAAGGCCTCTAGAGCTCGTCCTTCCGGACGAACTGCAGGACTCTCTTCGTTTGCTGAAACCTGAAGGCAATCTTCTCGGGGATAGGTTTAGGAATCTCATAGTTCAAGGCAAACTTGAAGCCAGGAATCCAATCACGCAGCCGAAGAAGGCGAAGAGGGAATATACGGAGAAGTGGACCTACAAAGATTTCAAAATTAAACCATGAATGAAATAGGTAAATTGGCGTTTTGACTGAACACAACATAGTATGAATTCTAGCAAATTAATGTGATTCCCTATACCTTTTTATTTTCTTCGGCAACAATCAAAGAAACATTGCACGGAGTACTCGTACAGCTGTGAGCGCATAAAAACGCTTTATTGTTGTTTCTGTAGTGGCTTGTGCCTTTTGTTTGCCTTGTTTGCATCACGTCATAAGCGCCGATTTCAAGAGTTATTATATTCTCTGCGGCGATTCCGCTCCAGCAAACATTTCATTGTGCGATCCCTTAAATTAAGGAACAATTCTCTACTAATTTTCTCCTATCAGTCCTGGAATGCACAGGTAACATTATTTCCATTGGAATGGACCTGAATAATCTCTCAAGCAATTGGCGAAAACTTCAAGCAACCCTGAAAAAAGACAGCCCCTCTACCATCCAAGAGCGCCAAACAAGTGCTCCGGTCGGCAAGGATGGAGTAAAAAGGAAGCGAACATCGCTGCTGCCATCTTTGGTACCAGAGAGCAAAGGCATAAAGGCAAAACAAACGTTCAAGAGACGAAAAATGGGGTCAATCATATCGACAGCTGCTGCAGCGGAGGAAACGGACACACTTTCCATAGCGGCTATTTCGCAGCGGAATGGATCTACAACTTCCACAGTACAGGAAAAATCGCAACCTGCTGGTGAAGCAAGGGTTAATGAAGGATTATCTCCTACGTTAGTTTTCTGCAACAGCTAGTTCTACAGTTACTTTCCATGTCTCCTTAAAATCTAACAGCTCCCATAGTGCTACAGTAGGAAAATACGTTGCAATCGACTGCGAAATGGTGGGCGTAGGTCCCAATCCAGATCGCGACTCAGCCTTGGGCCGCGTGAGTATCGTCAACTATAACGGCGAACAAGTCTACGATTCATTCGTTCGGCCGAAGGAAACGGTGACGGACTGGCGGACACATGTGAGCGGGGTGTCACCGAAGCATATGGCGGAAGCTAGAGAACTAGAAGAGGTACAAAAGGACGTTGCGAAAATTCTAGACGGTTGCATTTTGATAGGCCATGCGATCCGGAACGATTTAAAGGCGCTGCTCCTTAGTCATCCAAACCGAGATATACGGGATACCAGTAAACATCCTCCGTATCGTAAACTTGCTGGCGGAGGTTCACCGCGTTTGAAGATACTAGCTTTGGAGCTATTAGGGTTGGATATACAAGGAGCCGCTCATTCGAGTGTAGAAGACGCGCGGGCAACTATGCTTTTATTCCGACGGGATAAGGAGGCATTTGAGAGGGAGCACGCGAAGAAATGGCCACCGATACGTGCACCCATAGATAAAGAGAATTATGGAGAGGAAAGTAGTGGGAGAAAGCAGATAAAGGGGAAGAAGAAGAAGAAGAAAAAGAAGGGAAAGAAATAGGTGCTGTTATAGAGGAATAAGTTCAAGGTTTTTATAGAGGACGGAGTTCCAAGGTTATTTGTGTTGGGCACCGTGATAATGTTTAAATACCCACCAAGTCGTATGCAGTGATGCGTATTTGAGCTTGATATTTTGATTCCAGCAATATATATCCAATTTATTGAAGACCACGCATTTTATTCGCATCTTGCGAGCTTCAGGAGATGGAGGGTAGTTATATGCTTTGTTCGTAAACTAAGGTAATCCGACATCTTTTTGATCACGACACCTAGTTATTTGGCAAATTTTCAAATTAAGCAACAACCACTAGGAATTATATATAGAAATTATATAGAATATATCATTAGGTCTGTGAGCAGCTAGGAGCTTTGTGTTTTATATTGCCACATTTTAATATAGCGTGGTGGTGCTCATTTTTTTAGTTCTCAGATTTGAATCCTCAACCCTCCCCTCAGCGGGCTGATTAAGCTTCTGAGCCTGAACAATCATAGTCTGTCCTTCTTGAGCTGTTAGAATCCCTTTCTCAGCTATAGAAGTATGTGGCTTGCTTCTCTCTCTTTTGTTTCTGTCTAGTGTTGGCATCCCTCAGCTGCTTGACTTCCTCTGTTAAAAGAACAATCTTATGCATGGCCAGCTGATATCCTTTAACTGGCTGATTGAGAGTTTGAGTTGTGGGATTAGAAAGAATAAATTGTATGATGTTTAATCTTGCTGCTCTGCTGTTCCAATTGTTCATATTGCAGAGGGTCTTGGAGGTCCAGAAGGATTGAAATCCATGAGATCCATGAGCTGATCCTGGCGGGGAAGGAGTATGGAATTGAGTATGTAGCTGAGTAAGAACCTCATCTGGATTGAATGATATCAAGTCCATGACTTTGAATCTGTTTCTTATAGTAGTATTCTTCATAGTCTCCTGCCTAGCTGCTGTGTAGCTGATTAGAAATTCATCCTTGTCAATATGATTGATCTCCAATCTCATGCTTTGCTCAATCTTCTTGCCATACACTTACTTTAGTGATGAAAAACAGCTTACATATTGTGGCTGCAGTGGATGAGATGAATGAGGAGGCATATAAAAGAGCTACAATATGATGATCCAAGTAGAACTTGTCAAATCCAGCTGTAGCATAACTGCCATGTCCATTCATAATTAGCAGTCTATATCTACTAGCTGTATGAGCCTCAGAATGTCTGTTGAATACCTCTTGCAGCCATATTAAGCCAAGCTTATCTGTAGTCCAACCCTTCTCACTAAGACCAAATATTCAATCCACTGGCAGTTGCTTGTACCATGAGGATTGATAAAGCTTGCTCTTCAATATGATCATAGAAGGTAGACTTCAGCCTATAGCATTGACTATCTCAATCACAGTTGCTCATTCTCTATTTCCTGAATGTATAAGAGATGACTTGCCTTCTTTCTCAGCTCTAGTAATCACCCAGGCTGTTGTAATAACTCTCATTAGAAAGTCAATCTCATCAAAGTTGTACATATCGTTCAGCACAATTCCATACCTCTTTATAGAATTATTCACCAATGCAAACCATTCATGTAGGAGCTTTAAATCCTCGCATAAAGCTCCCTCATAGTTATATACTGCATGAGAACCTAGTCTCCAGTTCAGAGTGCTGTTTGATAAATATTTCCACCCATCTTCCTCCAACAGTAGTTGTAGTAGCAGATTCTCACACTGAAAGTAGTAGATTGGCCATATCTTGTACAATCACGATTCATGGAGGCTGTCCTCTCTCATCCATGTATATTATTCATTGGGCTAGAGATTCGTCTTCTGTAGAGGTCAGCTTTCAATTGTTAAGTTGAGAATTTGAATGCGTAGCGCCTCTGTATATTTTATAACATAGCAAGAAGTATAGGACGCGAAATGACTTAGCAGCAGCTCTAAGAGTTGAAATTTGATTCATTTTATAAGCTTTAATAGCTAATGAAAGTTTCCTTGATTAGAAGCTTCTCTGCTGAGGGTGGTTGTCATATCGAATAATTTAATGACCTAGGATGATCAAATAAGTGTTGTGATCAAAAAGGTGTCGGATTACGTTAACTAGTTAATTACACGCATCCAACGCGTCGCGGAGAATGAATATTGATTAAAAGCAGCAAAGGAGAGAAGAAATTTATTCTCCCAACATCTATATATGAAACCCCATTTTAATTCAAGCTTATATTCTTGTTTTAATCCTGCTTGTTGAATTGGTGTGTACGACTATCGAATTTTGGAGCGGCAAGGCGGTGCAGAAAGCATCCCTTGAGCTTTTTCGACTCTTTCCCACCCGCCCCAAAAATCACCGACGAAGCTGGAAGATCTCAAAATGTTTGCATTACGACCACCTAAAAGGAGCTCTGATTTAGATCCAGAGTGCCCGTCAATTACTCCAAACATCCTCCCGTGCCGGATCCATCATGACGGACCTGTCGAGATATCCACGAGATATTGGGATCCGGTATTCGACATGAACAACCCCGGTACGATTGGAGCATGCTCTTTTGTTCAATTCTTTGTATCTTTACTTGTCGTTCATTTTTCTTGTTTTTAAACCTCCTACACAGTACTCCATTGGCCATGCTTTACGCTATTCCAATGGGTGGTGGTTAGGGTTTGCAAATCGCAGGCTGCATCGTCACAACTCAAGATATTCCTCATCCATGGGATGGATATACTGGCTTTCAAATAATACGTTTCGTTGCATGTGCCCTCTCTGTGTTTTTAAAATTTAAGCCTACTACTGTATTTCCTTACAATGCCCACTTCTAAAAGTTGTAGCAAACGCTGACGTTTATAACATCCAGTCACTGCAACCGCATACTTTCGCGGCAGGAAACTCAGAGGCAGAAGAGTTGCTATTCCGGAGGGATATCAAGGTATTCCTCCTACATCTCAATTCAGTGGGAAATAATGCCACTCTTACAAAGGCAAAGGGGAAAACGTCCTCAAAACAGACAGCCTTGAGATGCAATCGCTTTGAAACAGTTGTAAATCAATTAGTCTAACTCGTCCAAAAATCTTTGGGGGAAATTATCAGGAGTGCTTGCGAGTCAAACAGATCGGATTCTCGAATCACAAACATCAAAATCAGGAATCAACCGGGATAATAACCATGACCGTACACGGGGCAATTTCAATGAAGATGGGAATGTGGAAGAAGAAGAAGAAGAAGAAGAAGAAGAAGATGATGATGATGATGATGATGAACCAGTGACGACGATACTCGAGAAGGAAGGTGCATTTTCTGAGTTCGTGGTATGGAATCACCAAAAGGTGCCTGCGGCCGATGACCCTTTTGTGAAGGGCGTCAGTGAGTGGATTCAATTTGCCGAGGCGGTAAGTCTTCAGGTTTTATATCCTGTGGTAGCCCATATTGTGTTCCCTTTCCACATCCCATCCCCGCCTTTGTTCATTTATGCCTAGGAAGAACTCGACTCTGTCATTCTAGAAACAGGTACATCACGAACTGCTTTTGTCAATGGAATTCACTTCATTATGGCATAAGGAGGTATTTGATCATTTTGCTAACTTTGAACGCGGGGCGCAGATGCACCTAACACCACCAGATGAGCCGCAAAAAGGTCCAGAGGAAACGAGAGGGGAGAAGGACGAATCAAAATCCTAATTGAGATCCGCGCCTTTAGCTAATGAGAATAAACTTCGTCTTTTTGTTGATAGCTCTCCTTTTTTTGGTAGATGTACGGAGTGTGTGCCTATCCATGTCCCACGCTTCACACGGAAGTTACCCTCACTCGACAATCTCTGGGTAGAATGTTGCGACCCGTAACGAGACTTCTGAAAAGACCTCGTCCTAAACATGGTTAACCATTGAACAAATATAAACGAGAGCAATATCCCACTGCAACTATTGCTCTTATGCACGAGACGTTTAACACGCATCGTGGCGGAGTAACTAAATCCATGGCACTTAACCACTAAAAGTGTCGGGGGAGACCCAGCAGTCTTGAGCTCAAAACCACGAACAATAAAGTAGCATCCGCTGCACGTGTGCTACAAACCCAGATAACCTTATTTATACCGAGCAGGGGCCGAGAAATAGCAATGACACCCTGCCCAAGATCCATCAATCGTCAATCAACAGGCAATCAACAGTCAGCAGTACCTCACCAGTCCAACTGCTCCCAAAGCTGAAGACAACCGCCGTTAAGCCGTTGCGTATTAGTGAATACCTGTTAATACATGAAAAGAGACGCAGAGTAACGTGACGAGCAATTAAACTTGCGTGTTCCGGTGCCGATAGTTAAGGTTCGTTTTTAGTAGTTGGTTACTACCGCCGGGCGACGGGTATCACGAACCGTATCTCGAACCGTTCAACCTAAACACACACCCCCAATTTTCCCTGCAACCAATGTATCTACGCTAAAGCTGATGTTCATTTTACTTAGAATGTTAACAGTGCACGTGTAGCTGACCTTGGATGTCATTCACTTGTTCCAATGCTCCTCCCGTTCCTATGTTGGTAAAATTCCGGGCCAGTCCAAGATGCTCTCGGAGCGTGGTATTGGCTTGATCTGGTTTTCCGCCGACTGGCTGTTTTCCAGCTCGTTTTTTGGTGTCGTTGATCATCAGTTACACAACTACAGCAGGATGGAAGAAAGACTTGAAAAAGGAGCTACCCCAGCACCTTTTCTTCTGATTCTTTCTTTCTTTCCCTTTTCTCTTTTCCTTAGACAGGCGTTCCCAGCTGTCCATTCATTCATGAATCGCAGCACTCGCAGTTCTCTTTAACCATGAAGCTTTCGTGGTTTGCTAGTGTTGCGCTGTTTGCTTCCGCTAGTCTGGCTCAGTCCTTTCAGCGGCTTGGAGGGTGTCCTAAGCTAGGCTGTATCTTCCCGCCAGACCAGTATGTTGAGCTTTGTTTTCTATATCATAATTGTACGCGCAGGCGGGGGGAAAAAAAAACATCTAGACTTGTTAAAAAATGCACGATAAGAACCCGGTTTTAACTTATTTTCTAGGGCGGATTTCTTGGCTGGGCAATATTTTGATATTCGTCTCGAGGTCCATTCGCCTGTCAATGGTTCCGAAGCCCGTAATGGGGAGCCAGATCCCAACTTTACTTTCACCATTACCAAGAAGGGCCGCAACAATAAACCACAGAAACCAACCGATTTCTTCAAAGTGAAGGAACCTGAACTTGAGAAATGGGACTTCACCTGGTACGAAGGTTAGCTGACTGCCCTTGAAGAAATGCAATTGAGGCTGGGAGTTTATGCATTCTAATATATGCGACGGCTGAAAAGATCTGTTTGCGCGGGACGAGAAAAAGCCTTCATTGGTGAAAGTCACATCCAAGGCCTATCGTCGTGTTGCGCTATATCAGCCTGGAGAGTACGAGGCAACCCTCACTTACTATGATGGCCAGAAGACAACAGCAACGTGGCTGGTTAGAGACCTGGCTGAAGTCCGCAAAGCGAAAAACGTGATCTTATTTATTGGTGACGGCATGACGACTAACATGATCACGGCCGCCCGTCTAATTGCTCATCGTTCTGTCAACGGTAAATATCAGAGCAAGATGGCACTGGACAACTTCCCTGTGCTTGGCCATCAAATGACCCATTCTTTGGATTCATTCATAACCGATTCCGCCAATTCAGCCACCTCTCTTTACACTGGTCATAAAACCACCATCAATGCCCTAGGTGTATATAAGGACTCGTCGAAATCAGTCTTTGATGATCCGAAAGTCGAAACCATTGCCGAAATATTCCATAGAGTTTATCCCAAGGCGGGCATTGGAATTGTTTCTACCGCTTTCTTAGGTCAGTTTTGCGACTCGTTGTGTTTTTTATCCCTAGTGGCAGTGATAAAATAAACTCACTATTTCCTAGCTGATGCAACACCCGCTGCTCTGACTTCGCATACCCGGGATCGGGGACAATATGGGCATGTGATTGATACCTTCTACAATGGGGTGACTAATTACTCCTGGACTAGATGGGATGGTCCAGATGTTCTGTTTGGCGGCGGAGCTGAGAACTTTCTCCCCGGGAAGTCCCACAAGAACCAGAATTACTATAATCTCTTTGCTGAAAAGGGGTATAGCATTAGTTGGAACAACACTGCGCTGGCCGAGGCCCCAAACAACCGCAAAGCATTAGGTGTATTCTCTACCGGTGTCATGGCGAAATGGCTCGATCGAAATATCTACCCAGACAACCTCAAGAACCAGAAAAACCATCCAGATGGTAGCGACAAGGATGCTCTGGACCAACCAGGTCTCAAGGAAATGACCCTTAAGGCCATCGATATCCTCAGCCACCGCAGCTGCAAGGACGGGTGGTTCCTCATGTCCGAAGCCGCCAGCATTGACAAGCAAATGCATTCCCTTGACTACGATCGCGCTCTTGGAGAATTGCTTGAGCTCGACGACACCGTGCGCGCCACTATTGACAAGCTTCGCATGCTCAATCAGCTTGAAAAAACTCTCATCCTTGTCACAGCTGACCACGGCCATGGCTTCGATGTCATGGGCTCCGTCGACACGAAATATCTGAACGCCCAAAAGACGGACCGCAAAAAGCGCGAGGCTGTTGGCGTGTACCAGATGTCGGGCCTGTCTCAGTACACCGTGCAGACGGAGAGGTCGTTCTATTATAGCGAGGGTGTCCACTTCCCTGCGCAGTGGGATCCTCGTTATTCACTTTTCGCGGGTGTGACTGCGAACCCGGATCGAAGGGAAAACTACCAGGTGCACAAGGATGGGCCCCGAAAACCTGCTGTGGAGCTGGAGAAAGGATCAGATAACTACTATGTTAATTATAAAGATGCCGTTTCTGGGTTTGTGATTAACGGTACACTGTCTGTTTCAGAGGATCAGGGTGTGCATTCTTTGACGGATGTACCTGTATTTGCCATGGGGCCATGTCAGGAGTTGTTTGGAGGTATGTCACCATCATCTGTTTTTGGACCTTTTTTGTCTCCCATTTTGCTTTTTCAGCTGTGGTTGGAAAGGCAAACTTCTCAATCTGACTTGGATGTTAACACATTCTCCAAAATCTAGGTGTTTACAATAATATCGACATATTTTTCAATATTGCCAAGTGTCTTGACTTGGGGAGGTCAAAGGAAGCCAATAATTAGGAGGTAGGGAGGGGAAAGATGTTGACTTCAGGATTGCGATGAACAGAAGCTGGCTGACATATTGAGAGCTTTCAAGAATACTCTGTTTCTACATCCGGCTTCGCTGTACCCGGCTGTTCGTCAAAGGTGACGACCTATTATTACTTTCCTGCTGCTTACTGCTGCTATATGTATATACCTACGTTAACTACCTTTTAAGATCTTATTATAATTCGCTCTCATGCGGTAACAAAATGGCTATGGCTACACGCTATACCAATTTTCTCCTATGCAAGAATATCGATGCTTTGTCTGTCTCCTCGTCGTCCCCTATCTCTTTTTTATCAGAGTTGTGTAAATGGTGGGGAGAATAGGAGGGATTAAAAAGGAGACGTGATCAGAATTGAAAGATAGGGAAACGATATCAAATACATTTGTTTATCACGTCTCCAGAACCGGAACTCCCAAGATTGCTCAGGGTCTGCCCTGGTGGAAATTTGCCCAAGGCTATTATTAATAAACACTGCAAAGCAACGGCGGTCTCACTAACCCAACCCCCCCCCCCCCCCCCCGCCAGCAAACTAAGCCCCCAAAGGCATAAATTTAGAACACGACAATGATGAAAAGACTATGTTCAGAGAAGGAATAAATAAATCTAATCCAGTCAGGAGAATGGAAGATGTCGAGACCTCATTTCCGTTGACCTGCTGGATCTGAATTCGTTAAATCTGCCTCTTTCACTCTGGACTCTCACCCAGATAACTAGGTGGTTAACTACATATTACTCAATTGGAGACTGAGTCCATCTACGCCCCCAAGCGGGAAGTTTCAATGTCTTCACGTATCTCTTGAATGATAAGACTGGAGAAGATGAAGCTGATTAAAGAACTGTAAAAAGATGAAGTTGAAGTGATGCGCTTTGATGGCATGACTTTATAACTTCTAGTTACTAACCAGTCACTGCCAGTAAAACTACTCTGGTCACCATACAACCGCATCGAACTGCAAATCAATCTGTATTGTGGGAGTGCGAGATTTGATGCTGCAGCCAGACACAAGTCGACCTACATGGAAACTGAAACCTGCAGGTTCCTCTGTGGTAAATCAAACCCTTTGCTCTTCATGCAGGCGTTAGTTCACGATATGCTATCTCCAGGAGAGGGCCAAGTCGAGCAATTTCATAAATTTTAAAGCAGCCATGTTGGGCTCCTCACACAAAATTCCTGGAATCGGCTGCCGAGGGTGAAATGAATAAGCGTAGCCGCCCGATGGTTTACGGAATAGAATCCACAGAATCAGGACGCCGTCAGAGAAAATGCCTCGCTCTATATTGTCGGTGCGGGTTGGGTTTGCTGTTTATTGACTGCTCAAGTCGCATCTGCATTGGAAGATATATTGGGACCTTGATGGGTTAAATGCACGGATATATAAGCTTATGGGCAAGGCACACACAGAAGCCTCGTGTGGTTGGTAATCATTGCTGCATCTGCCATGTAGTGAGAGTGGCTGTGTTCCGCTCTAAGACATCGGAAAACGACGTAGAGGAAGAACAGACTAGTTATGTATAAATATAGTTACTATAAAAGTATATACTGTGAATACGTGCATTGAAGGGATCTCTCGCAGACATTGTCAATACGTAGTGGAACCGCGTATTCCACCAAGCTCTGCGACAGGATTACGAAGAAACAAGAAGAGGAAGAAGCAGAATGGGTATTTTGGGTGTATTAGCGCCGCTCGTCATCCTAGATCGCTCGAATTTGCCGAGTATTAACCGGTAACCTCAAGAGAGATTGAAGAATATATCAAAGAAGGGTAAAACAGAGGAAAACAAACGAAAGGTCAGGTAAAAGAAGCCTCTCGTCCGACTCTCACATGATCGACAAGACGTCAAAACCATTGTACCGAGACATTTTGACTCGACAGCGACAGCGGGTGACGCAAGGGGGGTAAAGAAGAGGCTATTGGGAAGCACCCATTTCGTACAGGTGTCCCGAATCGAGTTCCAACAGCTCTGGAGGCGATGGGATGGCTTTTATTGGGACGGCTTCATAATCTGAAATTTCGGACTTCTGTGACTTTTGCTTTCTCTTCTGAAGAGCGTTACGCAGTAGCCACCCGATGATGATGAGGAGGAGAACCGTAACAGTTACGCCGATTCCAATTCCCGCCTTTGCGGCCGCTTGACAAACCAGAAGATTGAGCAGGAGGTTGAGTTGGATCTAGCGGAGGGTCTGCTGTAGCTGTTGGAGTAGGCGTGCGAAAATCTGTATTCATCCATCGTATAGAAATACCATATGCATTAAGGCCCCAGGGGCCGGTCTGGGTCATAGTCGTAATTGCTCCACTTACGGTTGCAGTGTAGGTCATGGGAGATCCATCGCCTGATCTCAAGGTGCACATATGGTCCTGATACCACAAGAGACTGGACTGGTTCTGGCAGGCGTAGCCGCTGAATATTACACAGAGCAAGAAAAGAGTTAGCAACCACACACCTCGAAATAGTCTGGGATGAGAAGAAAGAGGCCATCCCATCTTACTTTGGACAACATGTCGCCCTTGTTTCTGTCAACGTTCCAACGGCAATTGTGTCACTCCTACAGGTGAGATACCCAGGAGGGCACACACCAGGGGAGTAATAGGCACTCGAGGAGACTTGATTCGTTATCCACGGCAGATATCCACTGGGAGGAAAACATTCTGAAGAGTGGGCTCCAAGTTCATAAAACGTTCTCGTATCAGTCGACTCAGTCCCGGATACTGTTGCCACTCCCGTTGTCAAAACTTGGTACACGTCTGATAAGCAGGAGCCGGGAGGAGTGAACGTGATAGGCACCGTTGGCCGGCGTTGGGATGGCGATGATGATGATGATGTTGATGTTGATGACATCCTCAAATCAGCAGGTCACGATTGAGGATTTGAAGGAGGAAGATATGTTACAATGAGTCGTAATGTGTGATCCACGGACTGGTGTGTTTTCCGGGTTTTCAGGCGATGTGAAAGGGCATCAAGGGCAAAATATGACTGCGGTTAATGCCAGTTTCCCGGAGGGATGGTATGAGGTTTGCGCGCGGATGAATTTCAGTGCTTCAAACTCGTCAAGGCTAAAAGAAAAAGGAGGAAGTCTTGCGGGGATGAGAGAGCTAATTTGCCGTCAATTTGTGCCATCAAGCCCATTAATAATCGCAAGAGGATGGAGCAAAATTAATGGCAATAATGAACATCCAATATCACAAAAACAGACATCGTTACCAAAAACCGCCCTGAGATGCCAACCACAGCCATCAGGAGGGAAACTAGTGCGAACGGTTCTCAAACCGGACTCCTGAGGAGTTGCACCACAGAGAATCCAAGTTCCAAAGATATGGTCTAATTATAATCCACGAGGGGACCATCATGATTGGTCCACAGGGGTATCATTGTATCAGAGCACATTTAACAGAAGGGAGGGTCCCATATCAGCCCGAAGACGGTTGCAGCAGTACATTCCACTTTCCAGCAGGGCGTAAGTCCAGGTTCCATAGAAGCGGGAATTAATTGCGAGTGATCCTCTGCCAACTAGGCCAGGATGATAGCATCCTGAGCCCCGTAGGATTTCGGAACATGCCAGGAATCGTCTGACAGTTCTGACACTGGCTCGGTCAGACTGGGATTTGTCGGCAAGAAAATAACAACTGATGCTGAGCTTTCAGAAGGTTGTTGAACGCAGGTAGTTTAGTTAGTTAGTGATAAATTAGTCATCCACCGGCAGTGCCAGACTAAACTGTCAAACCATGGAAACTGTAAAAAGAACCGTCGGCTTATCCCTGCAAACTCCAAATATATATATATATATATATATATAAATGATTTTTCTTCGCGCTCAGCAGCGAAACATAATTTTGGATGTCCTTTCAGACACTGAAGCTTACCAATTGAATATAAGCAGTTGTGGCGGAATGCAACGTCTCCAACGCAATGGCTGACGGACAAGAGGCGGAGAGTTTGATATCGAAGTTCAAAGTCGAGAGACTGCTCAATCAAGGTTGGCACTCTCTCGACTTCATCCCCCCCCCCCAAGGCTTAAATGAACCGTTGATATCACACCTGCGCGCTGATACTGCGCCTTTGATATATCTTTCTATGTTTCTCCACCTCTGCTTTCCTATCACACTGACCATCCCTTCCAAACCGCGCAGATCAAAATGACCGCCGCATATCCATCCTTGGCTCTATCGATAACGCTCCTGGTATCCTAATCGCAGAAAGGGCTGCTTTTGTTTCGGACCCAGACTCGATCAAAGCATTCCTTGGGGCGCTAACTAACGTGACCAATCTGGGCGCCAACGATATATATCGGTGGTACCTGGCGTCAACCGGGCAGAATCACGTCTCCCCTCCAGACTTGAAGTTGAATCTCATCTGGCCTTGCACGGAGCAGCATATCTTGAAATACTCCGCTCAGAATTTGCGCATGGTGACGGAAACACCTGAAATATATGCAAGCTATGTGCGTCCCTACATGCAGAGTAAGCGGGAGAACGGCAGGTTGAACTGGGTGCATAATATCGTAGAAGGGCGCAAGGAGCAGGAGGATGTGATACTTCGAGTGTCGGATTCCGAGGAAGGCTTTTTACTTTTGCCCGATCTGAACTGGGATCGTAAGACTCTGGGGACCTTGCGACTTCTTTGTTTGGTGGAGAGACATGATATTTGGAGTCTGCGGGACCTGAAGAAAAAACATCTTCCATGGTTGAGCCGCATGAGAGAGCAGGTGCTAGATGGGGTTGTGAAGGTGTATCCTGATCTTGAAAGAGACCAGTTAAAGCTGTACCTCCACTGTATGTATACGGAACTGTCCAGATTTCCCATATATATTGCTTTCTACAGGCCTTCACTGACTTTTGCCGTCTAGATCAACCAACTTACTATCACCTCCATATCCATGTAGTCAACATCATGCTAGAAGCTGGCACTACCCAATCTACAGGCAAAGCTTTTGGTCTTGAAAATCTGATCTCACAGTTAGAAACTATGGGCGGCGGCCTTGAAGCTGGTATGGCGGACGTTTCTCTCTCATATTTCATGGGTGAGCAATGTGAATTATGGACAAATGTATTCGGGCCTCTGAAAAGAGGGGAGGAGCCTAAAACAGCTGGATGAAAGTTGCGGGGAACCATGTTTCAACGGCCGGAGGATGTTTTTTATAGTAGCTAACTAAGAGTTTTTCGAGATACACTCGAAATACATTCTCGGGATTTTGACCTAATTGGGTCCAATGGCACCAATTAAACAGGCAGATATGCCACGCAACGAAGCAGTCGTCTTTTCTTTATCATAAAAGAGCCATAAATGCCCGCAGGACCGTCTGAGACGCCTCTAGTTCACGTCTCTGTTAAAGTGTCTTGATCACATGCGACGCTGAGCCCTAGAGAGCCTAAAGCAGATTAGGCGCCAAACTCGAGTCAAACCTTGAAAAGTTCCCCGCATAGAAACTTGCAACCGCGTTCCAACATCATGTATCCAATTTCTAACAACAATTAATAAAATTACGGAACAGTGTCCTGTCAAAGCGAGGAAACATATCCTTAATCGGTAATATTTTCTGTGTAAGCTCCAGCATCTCAATATGGCCGACAGTCCTGATGTCCCGGCCAAAGCCAAGGCCTTTGTTCCTCTCGGTGAGCATCTTGTTACCCCCCCCCTCCCCCCCCCTCTTAACACCCGAAGCCGCGTGATACTGCTACCTTTGGCAGCAAAAATAAATATATTAACAATCCCGCAGAAAACAATGCAGAAGTTATGTCGCACCTCATCCACCAACTAGGTGTCTCAGATGCTATTGGCTTCACTGACGTCTACAGCATCATTGACCCTGATGTCATCGCCTTCGTACCCCGCCCCTCCTACGCCATCCTCCTCGTCTTCCCCGTAACTCCAGCATACGAAGGCTGGCGCATAGCAGAAGACAAAGACATACCCGCATATGAAGGCTCCGGCCCCCACGAACCCGTAACTTGGTTCAAGCAAACAATCCGAAACGCCTGCGGCCTGATCGGACTCCTGCACGCGGTTAGCAACGGTCCTGCTAGGGACCATATCACCCCTGGCTCAGATCTAGAGAAGTTGCTGCGGGACGCGGAGCCACTGAAGCCTGGACCTAGAGCAGACTTACTATATGCCAGCAAGGCGTTGGAGAACGCTCATGCTGATGCAGCGAAGAAAGGGGATACTTCCGCGCCAGATGCAAACACCAAAACCGATTTGCATTTTGTGTGCTTTGTGAAGGGGAGTGATGGGCATTTGTGGGAGTTGGATGGGCGGAGAAAGGGGCCTTTGGATCGAGGGGAGTTGGATGAGGATGAGGACGTCTTGAGCGAGAATGCTCTAAAGCTTGGTGCTTGGCAGTTCTTGAAGAGGGAAATAGAGGCCGAGGGCGACCTAAGGTTTAGTTTGGTTAGTCTGGGGCCAGTTTTTGACTAATTTTGTGTGTTGAGCGGAAAACTGATGCGGCATGCCGTGTTTTGAGTTTTGCACATGATGTGGTGGTTGGTTGATGGTTAGATCCATATACCAATCATCATGGTAGGTCGTTTCATTGTTGTAATCGAAACGATCGCGTCACTTGACTAATGACTCCTTCAACAAGCAATCATGTAACTATTTATTTCCGCACGGAAATAGAGTTCGAATTTGAAATGATTGCCAACAATAACCAGGGGACGAACACTCCTAGCACTGCTGCTCATACCCGTGCCTAGGAGTCTTGGAAACGCCCTTGACGCTGCGGGGATACTTGACAAACAGACGTTACACGGATGATATGGGTGGCACGAACGAAAGCCAACCATTGTTCCTCCTGAGTTCTCTCATCTCCCCACCAAACCTGGATAACTTTTGTGGCGCTAAAATAACATCTTGTCCATTCTTCTCGAATCTTAACAGGCTGCTTTCAATCTGCAGGGTCACAGCAATACCTCTCTTCATGCAGGGGGGTTGAGATTTGGTGGATATGATACATGGAACTTGCTGAAAACCAGTGGTGCAAGCATTCCAACTCTGTCATTGTCCGACGGCATGCTGATGGGCCGAGTTTTGGCAGGATGTATGCCGCAAACGAAATACCTAACCAGCAGGGCTATGCGGTGGGCATATGGCATTCGTTATCTAGCCTCTAAGAATTCTTTGTCTAATCATAGACCATAATTCAAACTTGAAATAATAAGCGGTTGAACGGTAGGGCCGCAGCACAGAGCCAATTAGATGCTGCAACAATATAAGAGGCGAGAAGACTATTCAGCTTGATCTAACTACAAGCTTCTTCCTCGTCTTCTTCTCTTCTCTTCCCTTTTCCTTTTTTTTTCTTTTTTTCCTTTTTTCTCCCCTTTTTGACCGTGAACATTTCAATCTTGAACAGGGTGTCAAAAGTGCGTGTCTCGCTCTAGTTGAAACTAGACCCAACTGTTGAGATTAGCGCCCGATGTTTCGTATTGTTCCCTTGAGGTCAAAAATGCGCTCACAACTACTACTCAACTGTTAGTTATCTCCGGAAATTCAGGATGAAATGGAATGCGAATTGCTATCGTAGGTCTATCCCAGCTAAATGTTGGTGGAGAAGCACCATCCACTTGGAACAAAACCGTTGGCGAAGAACCTCTCCACGCATAAGAATATCCGTCCGCATGCCTGTGTTAGGCATGTCCAATGAAGGTTTGGACGATGTCCATCTTCCTACAGGGCATGATTATACTTCAGCCACCGAAACAAAAGTCCAAGCAACGAACAATACGATTCGCTCCTCGAAGAACAATACCTTTCTTAGCCTCACCATGAATTGTTCTTCCTGGTGGACAGCAGAGATGACAACATACATATATCTTTTAAGCCCTACGTCTTCCGCTACATCCGTGTATAGGATATGATGTTATCGCAAAGGCTACAAGAAAGGTCTGTACCCAACTGACAGAACAACATGTCTTTTCCGAGCAAACGATAGTCATCTATCTTCCTAAATTAATTCCAAGAGCGACTCCACAGCGTGCCCGGATAAAATTTTTGCAAAACAATTGCATGAATTCGTCCCAAGATGATGGCCATAGATTCTCCGTATGTCCCTACGATTCCTGTGCCCGTTCTCCCTCAATAACCATTTTCGTTTTCATCATGGGGCAATTCTAACATTAATCTTCATCGCCAGAGAAGAGAAGTTCCCATCCGGCCAGGGAATTGTATTGCCTAACTCCCCATTCTCCCACTCGGTGGACGTCGATGAGAATGTACATGTACAAGTGCAGCATGTGTGACGCCTAACTTCAGAGCTACGGCCTTTACCTGTATGGCTTGTGTTGTACTGGCTAACACTTCTTCAGTATGATAGCGATGCGGATTCAGCATTCAGCGATAATGATGGGTATGACACCAGTGTCTTGAATGCTGTCCACATCTACTCTATACTGACAAAAATCCTCAGGCAGAGCACAACCACGTCTCTGGAATCAAACGTTATGAGATACCGATATGAAAATGGCAGGTAGGATAAAAACTTGCTACAACCTCTGTCCTAGTACATTATTCAATTATTTTTGTGTGTTTGTTAACGGGAGTTTAGGCGTTATAATTCATTCCGGGCGGGAAGTCAGTTTCTCCATACCGTTCAACGTAGAGCATTGCTTGGAGTTCTGTGAATACTTTTTTTCGTCCGGGCTATAAATGCACCAGATTTCTCATGAGTTCGTTTGTAGGCTATTTCTTCCCGAACGACGAATTAGAGCAAGAGCGTCTTGATATTCTGCACCATATGATCCATCTGGTTCTTAACGGTAGATTATTTCTGGCCCCCATTCAAGACAATCCGCAGCGAATTCTGGACCTGGCTACAGGGACTGGTATATGGGCGATTGATATGGGTATGTCCCGCCGGTTGGGGACTTGTTACTCATTTGGATAATCGCTAACATACCCCCATAGGCGACAAATTCCCATCCGCACAGGTACTACGCGCAGAACCAATACAAATCTAGGACGAATGTGGAGTTCCGGCTAATATGTCCCTAGATTCTTGGGAACGATTTGAGCCCGATTCAACCTGCGATGTGTGTAGGAGGGAGGCTAGCTACGACCAGCTGCGCACCAGTATTTGACGAAAAGAAAACTAATGTATTTCTGATCTCAGGATTCCACCTAACGTAATGTTTGAAGTGGACGATATCGAAGACGACTGGTCATATAGGACACCCTTCGATTTCATACACTCCAAACATTTAGCCACCGCCATTTCCGATTGACCTAGATTGGTTAGACAAGCTTATCAGTCAGTGTTATATTGACAGCTCTGAAGTTTGTCGAACGATTGTTACCAGTGGAATGAAATCTGACCTTCCGGTGGTATTCTAGAAACCTAGTCCCAGGGGGATGGGTAGAATTCTGCGACTACGACTTTAGATATCGGGCGGACGACGGGTCGCTCTCTCCAGATCTCGCAATGGTGCAAAACGAACGCCTCATCATCGAATCGTCACAGAAGCTGGGGCGGGAACCGTGTCCCGGGCCCAAATTAAAGAGATGGGTCGAGGATGCTGGATTCATCAATGTGACGGAGAGGTGTTTTCCACTCCCGATAGGGGTCTGGGCGAAAGATAAGAAGCTGGTAAGTTGATGTCCACACACACACACACACACACACACACAAAGGCTATTCCACGGGCAGCTCAGGGACCCAGTTATATGTTCTGATGGTAATTTCCAGAAAGAAGTCGGTTGGTGGAATCAGGTGCAGTTTTTACAGGGCGTCGAAGCATGGTCTCTGAACCTTCTCACGCACGTCTTTGGATGGAGCCCAAAGGAAGTCCAGGTGCACGTCGCTTATAGGCGTAACGATGCTCGAAATGCCAGTATCCATGCCTATTATAATATGTGCGTATCCAGAGCCGTAATCCTTCCCTGTTGTCTCGACATTTTAGTCAAGTTTGGCTTTCCCACCGCAACACTGACCCTTGTGTTATTTTCCCAGGTACATTGTTTATGGCCAGAGACCTGCATCTACACCAGAGACTCTAGCTATTTGAGGTCCTTCTTTTCTATCTACTTTTTTTTTTTTTTTCTTTCACTTCTTCATTTGACATCATACTACTTCATCGAGGCTTTTATCATCAATTTACATTTGCTCTCCAATCCGATCATTCCCTTCCTTCTAACTCCTCCTGGGGGAATTTTTGAAATCAGCTCATGTGCAAGGCCTACGGTTTGGCTGAGCATCTGCCATGTCTTGACTCTGGTTCATCGCCTGTCAGGCTGATGAGATGAATTCAAGGGACGATATGTTATGTATGGAGCGTCACCGTGCGTTTATTTTGTAATACATGCAGCGCTACCTGCCCACTTGAGCGTTCTGATATATTTTTATTTTTTATTGCTTTGTAGCATCTAGCATTGGTTGCTTTATTCGTCGCTGCATCATATTTGCTAAGTTGATTTGGTTTTCATCTGGAAGGCCTGTGAACATCGGCATCCCGGGTTTTTGTTCGGGTTCGGCCAGGCACGGTTTTTGTTATAGGTCACAACTCGGGGGTTAAAATGTATTCTCAACTGCAAAGCTGTTATCTCCTGAATGCATTCAGGATACGATGTGGATGTAAGATGATGTGTTTTGTAGATCTACACGTAGCACTATATTCCGCGCGGACCATGAACGAATAGCAGGCTTCGAATTGGGGCATTCTTCGTCCGGGGTGATAACACAAGAGACAGATGCTCAGCTGGGACGGAGACTATCTATTGCTAAAGGGGCTCGTGGGGGACGGGATGAGGGTATATCTATGCGCTGCCGCAGCCAGCTTCCTTGCTGCCGTTCTCGTTCCACCAACCCTTCCAGTTGAATCTTATGACCTCGTTCCCGCACGCCCACCATCCAGCGGTTAGGTTGCGCGCAAACACCTCCAATGCGGAGTATTCACGAACACGTCTTCCCTGACTGGGTCCTCCCGCTTGACCAGAGTCTGTGGTCGGAGATGAAAAGCATATATCTTCGATGAGCGCTTTGAGATTTGGCTTCCGCGAATGGACGTCGGGCACGGCGACGATGACTCTCCGTTTGATTTTATAGACATTGGCACCCTCGTCGGCATTGCCCTCGTGGCCAGAGAGCTTCTCTCTGTGTGCTAAAATCAGCACCTCATATGGTCTCCTCCAGAGTCCATCGGGGGGCGCTGCAGGGCGGCCATCAACTGTTGTCTTGACCCAAATCCATTCCTCGAATGGATGAAGCCCTGAAGTTTTAAAGGAGCTTAATGCGACAGATCGGGATTTTAATGAATTGGTGATCCAAATGGCAGCTATGGCCTGGTGTGGATGGAGGTGGGTTTGCAGGATACTTTCAATTACGGGCTGGAGGGGATCCGCATGTTCTTTGTAATGTGAGGAGCGGCGGACTGAACGGTTTGGCCAGGGGGGGTCCATGAGAATGAAGTCGAATTTCGTATCTGAGGACAATGGAGAAATGGGGCTCGGGCGAGATTCCGCATCTGGGGCGAGATGGCAGTGAACGAACGTGGACTTTGGAGGAACATTGATAGATATGTAGTCTGGGAGAGAGGATCCGCCATCTGGCGTACACTGCTGTTTTGCTGATTTGATACTGAGGACGACCTGGGCGGACGACGGGTTTTGGACTATTCGGCCCTGGATGGCGCCCAGGGACTCGACTTTATTGATCCCGGGGGCAAGTATGAGAGGAGGTTCAGACGGACGGTGAGAATGTAGCTCGCTGTGTTCGATAGTGAAACTTGGCTCGTCGGGACCTGTTTCCGGAGTTGTTGCGTCGGGCAATTTTCTCTTGCGGTCTTGGGATGGTTCTCCGCTGGGTATGCCGGTGCATCGGGCGTCCTCGCGCCGCTTTTCCCGCTCTCGCTCCGTTGGCTGAGTCGGCCCACGCGTGCACCTTGGGCTACACCACGCCCCGTGGTGGTTTTCCCGAATTTCCTGCAGAGCGTTATTGATAACTGGCACGATCGCGGCATGAAACTGCTGCTGAGACGCCGGTATCTGGGCCAGGACTCGGCTACGGGCCTCTTCGGTCTTGGGTTCGGGGGGGTTTGGATACGGATCCTGGAGGGGCGGGCAAGAGAGCAGAACGAGCCCACCGTCGTTGGCTGGATGCTCCCCCTTCCCGAGGGACTGTTGTTGAAGCCGCTGCGCAAGAGCAATCGACGTCGGAATATCGATCAACATCAGCGTCCTGGCGGAATTCTCGTACAGAAGAGCTGATCTGCAGCACTGCGCCGTCGCCATGGCGCTGAAGGCCACGAACCACGTCGAAAAGGCGCTTGTCGTCAAAGGGTTCGCGAATGTGGGGGTTTCTGAAGCTTATCGTCCGGCGCCCGGCTTTCATCTGACGAAACATGGGGCGAGATGCTGACCGGCCGGGAAAAGGGCGGGAGGTGATTGTTAAACCGCTCCCACTCCACAGTGAGTGTGTACGTGCCTCCAGCGTGAAGTTACCACCGAGTTGCAGCCGACCGCACTCCGTCAACCCGGCTGGAGCGAGAGGCCAGCAACCGGCGACGTCCCTGTCCCTGTCCCCGTCCCAGCTGCCCTCGACCCTCCTCAGGCGGCCGACCTGGCCAAGCGGACGACGCTCTTCCGCACGCTCGTTTGGCCGTGATAATTGCCTAATCGGGCAATCCAGTGGGCGGAGAAGTTGGTTTTCTGAGGGCACCAGCACCCGTATATGCTCTCTGTATATGCTCTCTGTATATGCTTTCTGTATATGCTTTCTGTATATGCTTTCTATATATGCTTTCTGTCTATGCTTTCTGTCTATGCTCTCAACTTCTATAGCCGGGACCTGTTTGGCTGTGGTGGTTCCTGCCATGGCCATCGGCTCCGTGGCTGAGCGCACTCGCAGCTAGGGGGTTGCTTCGGTGCCGACTTCTTCCTCGCCGACGCGGATTTCTCTCGATTCTATCTACGTCTTGCTCTGTTCTTCTAAACAACGCCTGTCCACTTCTTGTTTTGCTTTCCTGGACGTGTGCTGCAGGTTCTGGAGATTATATATTTATATCGTCGATCCCATCCTGGCTCTATCCGAGGTCCTGGTGCACGTGTATCCAGGCCAATATACTTCTATAGCAGTATATTTCTCTGGTGGAATTCCTTCTGCTCTCTGCGGGTTGGCGTCCCAGGGCTGCGCATGCTTCGACATTATTTCTTATTTTAAACGGTCTTCTGCCTGTCTAAGGTGGAGAGATTCTGCAGCAGCAACGCCTGGCCTGGACAACTGAGCAATGTTGCTCTCTCTTCCAGCGGAGATTCTTCATCTCATCCTCTCAAACGTTTGGCGTCCCGTACTTCCTGTGTCTTTTGCTCTTTACTGATTTTTGGTGCTGCGTTAGCTGGAACGGTACGATTTAAAACGAGTATGTGAGGTCTCGAAAGCTCTACGTTCAGTTGCAACTCCATTTCTTTACCACTCCTTGACGATATGGTTGGCGCGCGAGAGAGATGAATATCAATCCGAACGGCTGCTCAGGGTGCTCCACTCTTTTTTGAACATCCCGCCCGACCAGCCTAATCCTCTACAATTCGTCCGCAGCCTGGAATTTCTCCCAGTTGCCCGCGATCGAACCTTGGGGTGTGCCTCGTTCAATGTGCACGCGGAGACGCCCCCGGATCCTGCATTCCCCCTACCAGCGCCATATCGTATCGGGCAATCTTTCCGTCAGGAGTTTTGGGAATTCGATGCAGGGATCGGGTGTATTTTGCGTCTCCTAAAGGAAGACCATCTTCAAAAGCTACGGTATCTACAATTCTTCCCCTTGTTCCAGCATGTAACTGACGCTACTCCTACAGATGGAATCTTGGCATCTGTACACCGAAGATACCATTAAATTTGTACCTTGCCACAAAGCAGAAACGGATCGAGGAGATCTGGTTGAAAACCGACCCGGGTTGCGCCCATGCTCTCCCACATGATGGCTATTTCCCGCTTACTGCATTCAAGGCTCTGCGACTACTATCATGGACAGGTATCACAGTTCAACAGAGACTCACAGCCCTGAGATATTGGTTTCTCTCCGACTTGAGGCATATTGCGGTGTTGGAGTTGGGTTTTCGATCGTGGAAGGATTCGGTCGCTCTCAGACCCCTCCTCGATCAAGGTGCGCCGGCGCCTTCCACCGCCTACTGCTGTTTCTGCCTCCTAGATCTGGAGCCTGGCACAAGAAGGTGTAAATTCCCTTCACTTCTGAACCTGAAGTTGGAATGCGTGCTGTATCATCGCGGACTCGAAGTGGAATGTGCCTATTCTATGAATTTCCACGAGTTGAAGAGACTCAGTCTATGGAGATGTCCATGTGTAACACAGCTGCTGAAAGAACTGGTCGCAAACAACTTCCCAATCCAGCTCAACTTTTTCGAACTCTGTGACCGTTCTACCGGCGATTCCCAGGTAGACATAGATGTGTTAGTCGGTTTTCTCCGGTCCTTCTGTGGTCTGGAAACGTTATGTCTCTTCCTTGATCACCAGAGCCGCGGCTTTGCACAATGCGTTCAAGCGATCGTCCATCATGCAGATACCCTCAAAAGCCTGGTCTACGATGTCGAGTCACTTTACCGCAGTAAACTTACCGCCTCAAAGCCATCGTTCATCAAGGCCTTCATTCAGTGCCCTCTTGAGGTGCTATTTGGCAACCCTAAGCTTGAGCGTCTCGCCCTCTTTTCCTCCGTCATATACTTGGTACGGTGGACCTGCTTATGCTCCTTTCCCTTCTTCTCTCACAAAGGCTAATTTGCTTTGAAGAGGAGACATAAACTGAGCCAACTTCCTGGAGCCAAATCCCTCAGATTTCTCTATGTCAGAGAATTTCACAGCGTTCTAGGCGATAGATTCAATTTACTTTTGGCACGAAAGGCAGGGCAACTTAATGATTCATCTTTCCCTGGTGCCCGCTTGCGCAGAGGAATCGAGCCCAGCAGCATGTGCCACTATGGGGACAGGACACGGCGAGAATTCGTGCAATGGGCATTTGGACCAGAAGGCTTTCCCGCTCTTGAAGTCATTGCTGTTGGAGACTTTTCGCGGAGGAAACCCAAGGGATTCCTTTTCGGCAGAAATGCCTCAAGCCAGCGGCTTGATGAGCAGGGTTCCCCCGAGAGAACGACACTCTTCGGAAACACGATAAAGTCTTCGACCTTTATAATTTTAAGTCGATCTAGCAGGATTGTCCAACCATACCTAGGTTTTCTTCAAGCATCACACAGCGGAACTGATCTTTTCTACCAGTGACGACAGTAACGCTGTAAGGTGGCAGCACCAGAAGTATTCCTTGTTGTTTTTCAAGGGTGGATTCTGGTGCATATATGTCAGTTTGTTTACGATTAAGCGGGGATTCATGGTCCGATGTTCCGGGTCGGGTGCAATTTGGGATATTAAGTATTGGGCACCTCTCACCATTCGTTTACCAAAACCGAAGGCTTAATAGGTATTGATAGGTAAAGAAGAGTAAGGATTCGCTTGCTGCCGTTGACTTTCATGTTGCAACCCGGCTGCCGATTAGGTAGCTCGAGAGGTAAACGGGAAGATGACATAGGAGAAAGCTCAAATCGCTGAAAACCAAAATACAAGACTATAAATTACTTTCACTTAGATTGGTGATGTTAGCTTGTGCAACGAGTCCATTCTACGAAAAGATGCGTAAAATTTACTACGCTAAAATCTTCTCATGTCGTTCGTTAGTTTAAGCGCTTTAAGCGCTCAGCAGCCGCGCTGGCGGCACCCAACTTCCAACTTCCTTGTTCCCTGTGGTTCCCCGCTGTCCTGCGCCAGGATGCACGCGTACTATAATAGTGAAACGTTGTAGCCAATCCAAGCCTGCAGGCTGTCGCATGGCCAACTGCGTGCCAGCCGCGTGGGGGTCAAACAACTTTGTTTTTCTAGCCGTTAACGCTAGCACGCGGCAAAAACTTACTTTCAACCGCCTTCAAACGAACTATGGAAGAATAATTCTTTGAGAAAATCAGTTTTTTTGTTGTCGTTGCTGTGTAATCGATAGGGAGAGGAAGAAGACATTGGGAATGGATTATGCAAAATCTTTCTATAAAGTTCCTGAATCCGATCCTAAGCAACCGTTTTTAAGAAGTTCAAATCGTAAAACTAAGATAGAGGGGTGAGCAACGAAAAGAAAAAAAGATCATATGTTTCTATCGAGCATCTCATCTTTTTCCTATCCAGCCGTAACTCCATTAAGAGGCGGCGTGGTCTGATAAGTAGAGTACCGAGAAAGACAGTAATGACATTCAACGCAAAATGGATATTGAAGATTAAACGCCCACCAACGTTTCACTCCCTCTCTCGCCATCGCTTCCTTCAAAGTGGCAAGGAAGTAAATAATTATGGCGTACACCGTCCTGTGAAGCGTGGGTAAAGACAACATTCGCGAACAGTGTAGCGCCCACACATCCATGCTAGGAATCTCTCCAGGCCAAGGCCGTAACCACCATGAGGGGAAGTGCCGTATCTATTTTAGAAAGGATTCGAGGTTAGCTTCCATGTATCCTTGTGTCTCTCATGAAAAATTCTTGTGAATCATTTTCATAAGAAGTGCAGGAATACGAAGAAAGGGGGGGGGGAACATGGTCACCAATTGGGCAAGCGAGAAAGAATTAAGGGGAAAGAAAAGAGTGTCGGACTTAGAAAGAAATAAACAGAGAGAGAGAGAGAGAGGGAATCCGAAAAAGCACAACAACTGTAAAGACTTACTTCCGCTGATCAGTGTACCAATAATACGGCGACGGGTCCATTCCCTCTCGTTTATACGCCGCCATTAGCTCATCCCAGTCATCCATTCTCATACTACCTCCCACAATCTCGCCAACGCCCGGCATGAGCACATCCACACTCTCCGTGACGCGAGGATCGTCAGGGTCTTTCTTCATGTAGAACGCCTTGATTTCCGTCGGGAAATGAGTGAGGAAGATAGGCCTGCTGAGCATGTCTGTCATTTTCCGCTCCGCTGCTTCAGCGATATCGTCACCAAATCGATGTGGTTGGCCTTCCTCGTTAGGGATGTTGTGTTCCACCAGCCATTCAATTGCTTCGGCGTACTTCATTCGTTTGAATGGGCGGGGTGGGAGTGTGAAGGTTGGGTTGAGATTCTTTACATATTGAGCGATCAACGGTTCTGAAAGAACCAAGTCAATCACGCGGCAGATCATATCCTCAAGATGGTCAAGAAGGTCCGTGAAACTGATAAAGTCGAGCTCGGCTTCAACGTGGGTATATTCCGATAAATGGCGACGAGTCAGAGACTTCTCAGCACGGAAAGATGGGCAAACGCAGAATACATCGCCAAGGGAAGGGAGACATGTTTCAAGGTACAACTGAGAGGATTGAGTCAGGTAGGCCTTTTCGCCATAGTAGTCAAATTCAAACAAGGTGCTCCCTCCCTCAACTTGGGTTTGGACCATAGCCGGCGGCGTCACTTCTAGCATCCCCTTTTCCTCAAACGCCTTCCGAAAGGCTCGTAGAGTCGCTGCGCGAACCTTCATGACGGAGGAAGAGGTCTCCCCTCGAAGCACAAGGTGTCTGTTGTCATAGAGAGTATGGGGATCAGAGTCCCGAGCGACGCGGGTCGTGATAGCCTCTTTATCACCAGCAGCACGCCCAATTATTGTGAAGAAATCTGCATGAAGTTCGCGATCATCATACGCATGGTTCATGGGCGGTACTGCACGCATTTCTCCATGGATTGCAATCGATGTTTCCAGCGTCAGAGTCATCATGTCGTATGTCTTGACGAGATCGCCCGTGAAAATACATTGTAGTAGTCCATATCCATCAGAGAGCGTCACAAATATCATATCCTTCTGCGATCGCAGGTGATGCACTCGTCCCACTACTCTAACGCGGGTCCCAGGAGTGTCGCCGTCGCTAGGTCGTAGCTTGATTTTTTCCGGATCCTTTTCGTTCAATCGTATCTTGAGTGGCTTGGGTAGCGACTCATCTTCCTTGATGATGACCTTCTTAGCCTCCTCTAGAACTAATCTCCGCTTCTCTGCCTCTTCCTTCTCGCGAATTACCAGCTCCTGCTCCTTTGCAGCTTTCTTTTTGCGCTGTTCGTACAGGTTGGTGGCCTTTTTCAGCGCAGATTTGGTTGCTGCCTTCCATTCTAATCGCACGGACGGATCTTCACCTTCGCTGACGGGTCCGGTCACTGATTTGCGCGTCAGATATTGAATATCTGGTGTGGAAGGGGGCTGTTGGAGAAAAGCATGAACGAGAGTCTTGTAAGGGGCGGACTCTCCTCCAGTTGCGGTCTGGTCGTCTTTGCCGACATCTTCGTCAATATGCACGAGAATTGCGCTGGAGGCTGCCATGGTTGTACGGCAGCTCTGGATGTCCGCAGAGCTTTAAAATAAATTGCCGGTGGTCAATTGTCGCTATGAGTTTGACGCTGGTTTTGATAAACTGTTGTCCGTTCCTTTTTTTTTTTTTTTTTTCCTTCCTTACCGAAGTTTGGAGGCGGGGAGTCGCAGGTCATGTGAGTGAGTCATAACAAGCCCTAATTGCGCCTCAAAGGTTTCCTCCCATATGATATGTCGATAGCTGCCGTCGAAATTCCCAGAAATGCATGAAGATGGGGTGGGCTATTCAGATGTTGAATAAGAGTGTGTATACTCCTGTGAGAGTCCATATCAGCGTGTTCAATTCCGTACCGGAACCCGTACAAGGGTGTAACTATTCGTCAGATAACCTAATACTTCCCTCCTGAGAGAGATTGTTTTTGGGGTCATGTCATGACTACAGTGACGAGACAAGGTTACAGGTTTTGAAGACTTCATGCTGACAGGGGATTGATTACATGAAGACACCTTCTATGGCCAAATGATAATATATTGCTAGCAGAGATCTCCAAGAGAGAGGTTGAGAAAACGACCTCAAGAAATCGGGGAAGTTAACAGGAAAAAGTAAACTACGAAAGTTCCTCTCTCCTGGCAACGTGCTGTACCTTGTTCGCTGGTATTAAATATACCCGATGCAATTTCTGCAAGAATGATACTCGTTCATTGAGCATACAGCGTTTAATATGCACCAAACAGTTACTATGCGAGCTATAAATAACATAAATGACGTGAAATAACTAGATAGGGGTAAGCCCGGACTGACTTGGGCGAATTGGTGTGGACTTTCTGGGAGCAAGGGAGCCAGTATGAGTGGGGAAATGGGAGATTGCGGGAGCTGAAGGATGATCGGAGCAGCGGTAGAAAGGACGGTTCATGCCGTCTTTTGGTGTAATGGCGTTCTAAAAGGGGTTGTATTGTTATTATTATTATTTTCGTAGATACTGATCACCCTCCCTACAATGTGGCATATGAAATTTTATATTTTCAACATTAACAGGGAAAACTGGAAGAGAAGAACTCAAACAAACAAACAATCTAAACGCCAGGCGTGTTAGGGGCTTAAACCGGAGTCCTGCTAACGGTTGAACGAGATATGATAACAGTGGAGACACTGTACAGCCTCCCCTATCCACCATACTCTGTGAACTACAAAGACAACCCTACATTGGATATTAGCCTTGGCGAATAACATGCTTGTACCAGCAGCTGGCAGCAATCGAACGCCTTGGAGCTGGCAAGGGAAGAAGATTGCGCAAGGAATTGGGTATTAATGTTTAGTACCCGAAACAATTGCTTCCTGGTGCTATAGCCTCCAAGAAATGAACTAAATATATATATATATATATATATATTAAATATGCTCCATTTAATGTTGCAAACCCATCGACCACTCAAGGATATGGCGTGGTCATGGAGAAGCTCGCTGTGTCGTAATACAGGACTACTTGTGTCTGACGCCTACAGAAGAGTGCTTTGAGATGCCAGCGTCACAAAACGAGAATGCTAGATATTCATTGGATGGGCGCCCTCGCGGTATTTTGCTGGGTTAGTGGAAATCACCGTTAGGGATTTGCAAAACGCGAGTGAGCCCATATGAGCTTCCCTGCCATCGAAGGTAAGCAGTGCATGCAGGCTGTCCGATCCAGGTATCTGCGACCAGGTGAGGCTCATCCCGAGCAAGAGCCAAGCTATGCACGTTTTTCGTTGACAGGAAATCCCTAGCGCTTGCTTGATATTCGCGGTCCAGATTGGCCGACAGACGCGCTGCCAGAGCCTCTAGTGCGACGATGGTTGTTGCCTTTTGGCCTGGACTGATGACTGGAAGCCAAGAGGAGCAGTGGTTGGAATGAATCGTGCTTGAAAATCCAATTTCGTGCTTGGATAGTTTGGTCTTGACAACCTATTTGCTGCCCTTTTTGGGGTTTGATTCCTATCCCATTCCCGCGGTGTCATCTGGTCATTCTTTTGATCAATTTTTGACCAATTAACGACAGCAACCTTCGTTGAAGATCTTAAAACCTGAAGGGGTGGGTGGCAGAATAGAATCAGGTGGACCCCACATCTGTTAGCTGCCTAAACACCCCGTATGGATTATCTTCAGGGATAATAATAGCGAAAAGTGTCATCTTTGGCCAACCGGGCCAAACGCCGGGGTGTCCGTTGTTCGTCGCGGTTCCAAGGCAGCGTTCCCTGGTCAATAATCCTCAGCACGGCTATTGTTCGCAACACATCTCCCGAGGGCCTGCTGAAGGGGAGAATGGCAGGAAAACACAAGAGCCTCCTCAATGTAAATGCCACATGATCGCTGTGCAGATGGCTTGAGACGTTGAAAGACAGTCATTATTTACACACTGGACCATACCAACTCTCATTTGGCGTTTCAGTTTGCAAAAAGAAAGTCAGCAGCAGAGAAAGAAAATAATAAAAAGTCAAGGAAATAGCTGAAGGATAGGGGCTTTCAATTCGCAACGCCGGAGTTGACATGTTGGGCTTCCTGCATATTAAACTGGTCACACTCAACATGTCACCACTAGCATCTGGTACAGGGGTTGACAAAGGGTTGATGGCCACGATTGGCAACAGTGCAGTGAATAACTGGGTTAACAGATGCAAATTGAGTCAGAGTCAGTTAAATCTCTCATCCAAGGCCCAACAAAGAGTTAAGGAAGTATCAGGCCTTGCTATGTCTTCCGTTGATGCTCGTAACCTTGCCCGGAGACGGGTGCTCTCGAAGTCGAATCACAGAGCTGGTGAAATACGTAGCCGATCGGACATCTTGAGTATAGAACTTTCGTCTGCGAAGTTTCAATGGTTCATCATGTCTTGTCAATAATTATGAGAGTATCTCTATATCATGATGAGGCGGCTTAGCGAGAGATTCTTCACAACGGAGGCTGAAATGAGAGAGGTATTTTTGCCATCGGCAACAGACAGAAGACAAGAAAAGAACAAAGAAAACACACAATATCAAGCATCACTGGATGAATGAAGTGAGCACAGAAGCGAAAAATGAGGGAGTAAAACGGAACTTAGTTTGCAGCTCCACGCTGGCCACTGAAGAAAGATGGACATTCATCCCAGTCATGTGACATATTCTGTGCATCCGATCCATTTTGAATATATAACCCTAAGCTATCTTTGGGCGACATTGTGGCCGGCGTTTGGGGACTATATGTGACATCATTACATGAGGCCCTGAGTTGGAATTCGTTGCTCGAAAACCATTGGAATCGCGACAGCATATCAGCTCTCTTACGAGGACAGACATAGTCGGATCATAACAGACAGCGCATCTTCAACCAACACCACACCGGTCAACCTGATGAAGCGCTTTTTGATATGCCGAATCCTCGTGCCTAGCAGCTGGTGTGCATTAGCTACCCAGATATCGAACTCCTCCACGGTGGAAAATGGTGCATATCATTCAACACCTCAATCTTCATAATTCACTATTGTGACATATCGCCCGCCCTGCCACTCTACTCCATTCATATCGACTCAATTTAGTCTTAATGACGCCGCCATTGCTTTCTAGCCAGCATGGTGCTCAACCCAATGTTGGATCGGAGGAGCCGTCCAATGAAACGAATCCTGGCTGCATGCATTTCCTGCCCTTGGTTCTTCATTTTTTTCTATCACAATGAAAGTTCGTGTGTCGATCCTTCGCGCTAAATCTGTTAACCACTAAGTGCAAACGATAGCGAATCTCCAAATAAACGCCCAGGATTTCCTCCCCCAAGTTATGTATGGTATGGATGTAGATCGGAACTCCGAACGCAACATTGAAATAGCCAGGTTTAGTCGTGGGAAGAATAGCCAATGGTCAAACTTCAAATACTTCTTTTGTTGAAATTTGCGGCTTAATTCAAGGACCGAATCAGGAAATCCTTTTTTCAGGAATCTGCGACGATATCAGAGGGTAAGCTTCAAGGGCAACGTATCCCCATTTGATGAACATATTTAATACCATGTGTATGCCCCAAGTCTAACCCATAGGAATTAACATGTCAACGGGTGTCAACAACGTAAAACTTCAAGTTGCGCGTCTATTTCAAGTAACCGCGCAGGCGTTATTTATGCAGCTTTTGCAGCCGCACAACGTAATAATGCTGAAGACAATATAGCGCATTCTCTATTTTGTTTGCCGACAAGTACATTTCAAAGTCTGAAGCTTGGAGAGGAGTCCCGGTTCTATATAATCATATCTATGGCCCTTGCATTTGACCAGATGGGAGCTCTGTGGAGATCAGAAGAGCAAAAATGCGCTTGGTGTATTTTTGGGGTTGTCTCGTATTTTTGCAGCCTGTATTTACCTGATAGAACGCAGTACAGTGTCTTTTTGTTGACCCACGGAGGTTTAAAAATACGTGCGTAATTAATCAATTTTGCAAGATTTGGCGTTAAATTAGACTGTCATTTGGTACACATATCAAATTCCGAGAAGTGACGGAATCTTGGATTTCTCCCATGTTTTATTATGTTCTAGCGTTCTATTTAAACGCTAGGTTTTGAGCACAGCATGAAGGCTGCTCGTATTAAGTCTTCAGCCAGGGATCGAAGAAGCAAACGAAGAAACTCAATTCTGACGTGAAGATATTGAGACAAACCTAAAATTCGCTTCATGTTGCATTATATCCAGCGGTAGTCAGCAGCTAGTCGGAACGAAACGATCCTTTCACCCTGATAATGACGATGCCGAGGGCATAACGACCGGAATTCATCTGAAGAGTGAACCCAGCAAAGATATTAGAGGCACTGCAAATATAAACAGTCAGCAAAACCTAAATTAATAAGTGGTTAAAAAAAAAAAAGAATAAACAAAAAAGGAGAAAGACTTCACTTTGAGGGAGTTGTTAAGTAAGCTAAATGTTAGCGTTTTCATCTATTCATCAACTATTCTTCACTTGAATAGTTATTATTTTAGAAATCGAAGCTAATATATCATTTTTTTGGGTTTTTATTCACTCAGCCCCCTGGAGCCAGTATGATCCTAGATTCTGTTAACATGGGTCAGTTCATTTTCCATTTTGAGCAAGTCGACCAAAAAAAAAAAACTATGTAGTTTTCCGAGGCTCTTCATGATATGTTTTTTTTATCTTCTCTTAATATTATTCTCATCAAAGATAAAGTTTGACGGATATATGAATGTCGTAGCGCTTTTGATGATCGCCTTTGTATTCAGGTGGAACCTGCACACTCCGCATCCGGAATCTGTCTGGAAGGCATGAAGAAACCTAAAGCGTTCTCGGTAAGCCGTAGATATCAGGGCGAAATTATTGTCAACACAAAACTGATGGCTTTTTTAGCCTTTGTACTTTCTCTCCGATCTTCTGGTTGGCACCAGCCCCCTCAAACTAATAACTCTAGCTCATGGAGGAAAACATTGTTGAGTGTGAAACTAGCTAATTAGCTGAGATCTAAACTATATATAGGGAGGCACGTGATTGGGTACCCCGTAGTAGTAGTTGACTAGTTAGTTACCTTAACGTAGTTACAGTTAACTAGTCAAACTTGCTGACACACGGTCCTGCAGAGAAGAGGGAAGGTTTTCACTGTGGGCTCTTCAGAGTCAGTAGAATGTGCATACGAATGACGATGCTCCGCTGTTTATAAATAGTTTTCAATAGCTTTGAACGCCGGATCTATTGTTATGCTTACAGAGCTAAAATCTTTATGCCCGGAGTTTCACGTCGCGGCATCGAGAGTTGAAACGGATGAAGTTTGAAGTGGATCGAAAGGTCGTATATGCACTCCGTAGGTATGGGGTATTTATAGTATCAGATGGGGTATGTCTCGGATGGAGCAAGTTCATCTGTAATCCGTGAAGTGCAAGTCAGATTAACCGGCGGAGTATTCAACGGACAGATTGTTAATGGTTGAAGTTCCCTCTACAACTATAACTACAGCAATGAGTTAATCGAGCTCGGGCGAGAATAGTATGCAGAATCATGCAAGATTAGACCTCACCAACATCCTTCTGCAGGCGGACCAGAAGATGCGACCAGGTCGTGATGGGCAAGATAGCAGGCGGTTTTGGCCAGAACCGATAACTCCCGAACAACCCCTCATTTGGCTACCAATAATGCACCATTGGACTTAGGGATAGCTTGAGAAACCTGTTAATGTCTCCCTGGATGATGCCACCCTGTTTGACCTGCGGAAATTGTGTCCCCTTAAAAAAGAGTTGCGGAACACACTCTCCAAATCAGGAACGAATAGATTGTCCCGCTCTCTGGATCCTATGTTGTGTGTGAGGTTGGGTGCATGTCCGTCCAATATTTAGACCGTTGTCACATGGGGCAGGATGGTGGAATCTTTCAATGCTGGTGCTGAAGGGGGCTTTTTTTTTTTTTTTTTTTTTTTTTTTTTTTTTTTTGCCTGCTAGAAACCAACCCACCACAGTCCACAAGTCAATACTAACTACCAAGGCACTCTGCTTGTGACCCTGGGCTCCCCGCCTCTGCGCCTCTGTTGTATCCTCTAAAGCGGAGAACAATATCAGGGATACTGGCCCATCAAATTGAGGACAGGGAAGATCTACAGCAGCCTTTCCGAGACCATTCCTAGACCATTCCTGCAAGTTTGAGACCGTTGTCCGCATATCATGCAGCAATGCACGGAGAACCAAGCATCACTTTGGCGTTTTGTCTTTGAATAGAACAAATAGAACATACTGCAAGGGACGCAGCTGGCTTCCAAGAAGTCAGTCGGCTCTTCGTCTCATTATTGTCGAGGCGATATCACAAGTGTTTGTTTCATGGGACATGGTCTCCACTATTGTCCACCTGGATAAGAGCAACCTAGTAAAAAGAATTGCTTCATCCTTGATTTCAATGTCCAGGGTATCAACAGATTTGCTTGTTGGATTCTTCCTATCATCTTAGTAAGCACCTGGGCATGCTATACCCGTGGACAGTACATACAATGTCACGAGGCGTTGAATTTCACGAAGGCAGAGCCCGAACTATGTGCCATTTTTGGAGGAGCAGAAGGTTTCTTTTTCGTATCATCCTTAAAGCTTCAACTGGAGCCTAGTTCATTGTTTTCATAGGCCCTTTTGTTGTCTCTCAAAGATGACGCTTACGCCTAGAGCTGCTAGCCATAACTTCTCAAAAAATAAGATCGAACAAAAACGTGCTGATCCTAGCTCCAAGCAAGGAGTCAAATTGTCAACCTGATATAGTTATGGGGAGGGCCACGATAAGACATATCTTTCTTAGTGTCTAGGCAATTTTGAACATCGGCTATCCATCACCCACCACCCTCCATCTACCGATGGAACACTATGGGTTCAAACCGCCGGTTCCTTCGAATTGATCTCAATCCAGACTTCTTGATATATATCACGTCTTTATTCCCCATCACCCCAGGATCCGTTGCAGGGGCTGTGTCTGAAGTGGCAGCATTCAACAGGTATGGCTTCCCCGGTCCATCAGTTGCCGAGTCTTGAGTGTTGAGTCGTGACTCGATTATGAGTTTCAGACTCGATAAGCGGAAGCCTGGAAGGTCGCCGATCTAGAAGTCTAATTTTCGATGCTCCTTTAAGGTTCGCGCGTTTGTCACACCTACGAAGTTTGTGCAAGGTTTTTTTTTTTTTTTTTTTTTTTCTTTTCTTTTCTGTTGTTGTTGTTGTTGAAATCCCTGATCCTCAACCTTTGGGTGGTTTGGGTGGTATTTGCAAATTTCGCATTTCAGTACGCAGTACGGACTCTAAACGATGCATCCTGAAAATAGCGCCATACTGGAATTTACGTTGAGTACGGAGGAAAATTACGCGCCAGAGTTTCTTCAGGGCTTACCTTCGGAGACCTGTACGCCTGGGCAGCATCAGATGGGCTAAGGCTGGTGCTAGTCGCGCGGCAGACTGCTCTGACCGCCAGGCCTTATCTGATTTCGATCCAGACATGCGCTTTTGGGTTTAGTGCCGCGTGCCATTCACAGCAACTTGCATCCCCGGTCTAGTGTCTCCTGGTTGGCTGCAGCGTCCCAGAGACGCGGTAAGGCCCCACTATCTCCCAAACTTGGAACTCTCACAGACAGGGAATCGCCAAGCCAATCAGAGCTGTGTATTGCTCTGCCAACAGTAACAGCGGTGGTTTCTTCGTGTTCTTTCTGTTGCCTACCGACGGTAGCGTCCTCCGTTGGGAAGAGCCCGTTCTTGTGCACCGTCACTCCATGAATGGCGTGGGGTTGACATTGTAGGCATTCATGGTACGTTCGTCGGTGGAGTTCACACCGCGACTTCTCAAGGGCACAGCCACCTGGGCAGGCAGAAGGTTGTAAAAGAGAAAGGAAAAAAGAAAACGACATGCACACTGACCCCGTTGCGCTGTTGAGATTTTGTTTGGCATGACTGTGATCTTTCAAGGCTATTGGCTGCAATAGGCATCCCCATTCTTGAGAAATTCTGCGCACTCTGCCCCTCAAGCCTCTAAATCTGCTCTCTGCTGCAATATGTGGCGCCCATCCGTGCCGTTTTCGCTGTGTTTTCCCCATGCAAACAGAATGTCATTTTCCGACATATCGAAATATCAGGATCAACACTCCGACGATTTATTATCACCAATAGCCGTTGGAAGTGCGAAAATTCTGGTGACTCCATGTGATCTACTTCTGGGCTGGGTTCGATACAGCTTTCTTGTCTTGTTCCTTTCTCCAATAACCTGTCAAGCAACACCATGATTGACCTTTCCACCATAATAATCCACAATTTATGAGAATCCGTCCCACACAGAGAAAACAACGGAGAGCAAGAACGGAACAAGAAGAAATAAAGATAAAGAAATAGCATGATCCTTTATCCTTGTCCTTGTCCTTGAACAACCACCATTTACCTCTTTGTTTTCTTCCCGGAGGTGAGAAACATTGCCTGGCATCCGCCAAGCCCGACAACACATATCTTGAGCCCAGAGGGTAGCTCGCTACTAGTTACTTGAAGAAATACTGATAAATTCGTCACAAACTCTTTGTGAGGCAACCTGACTTCGAATCACACCCAAAACCTAAAACGAACCCAATCTTCTAGGGAGCGGTGTAGAAAATACCAGATCTCACTGTGACACGCAACCGGTTTTCTCTCCTTTTCCCTTAATGGACTACATTTCCTCAGAAAAACCGCCCAGCAAATTAGGTTGGGCGTTAGTTAGTTACTGAATGGGTTAAAGTTGATCAGCGAAACGGCAGCTAATGCCATGTGTCACGAGCCTGTCATTTATTTACTACATATTAAAACCTGCTGCGACTGGCCTGCAGATTTGCCATATATTTCGTTTCTTTTGGCTTTTGCGATGAGGTGCTTGTGAGTCAGTGATGGACCAGTTATCTGCCATCCATACGCTATGAATTTCCCGTGTGATCGAAGGGTATGACAATCCAAGTGAGTATGCGCTCAACTATAATGCACGATTACAATTTATCATAGTGACTTTTGCTTGGATCCGTAGGACAGGTGGAGAGAACTTTCTGCCATTTCTCCTCATCTAATCAACCTTTCTTGATGTGTTTTGGTGTTTTCACGCTGTCGTGTGGTCCACTGTCGTATTTCAATCCTCCCTAATTTCATGACTAGTTACAGTTCGGATTTTCAGGACCAGGATTGCTCCGCCTGCAATTTTCAACTCCACGGTCCCTGCTCCTGCGATCATCTCCCTCTCTGTGCACCTTTTAATGATGTCACGGATCACAATAACTTTTATGATAGGATTCCTTCAATAGACAGCCAATTACACCGTCAAGGGTTACGGAAAGAGAAGACCCACAGAAAGAAAGAGAAAGGAAAAGAAAAAAGAAAAAAGAAAAAAGAAAAAAAAATAGGAGTGGCAACAGAGCCCTGGACAAAGGAAGTGGGCAAGGGAATCTTCATTTTCCGGAATCTGAAGTCAAGTGGCAGCTGGAATCCATTTACGTACCAGAGGGCCTTTATGCGGGCTCTGCAAGCGAGTCGTGTGTCGTGTGCGATGTATGTATCCCGGATGTGATGTCTAGGATATATATCTGCTTATTGTTCCAGGAAACTCTATCTTAACTTCATGCAGCGGAAATTTTGATTTCATCCCCCAAACTTCGCATTCAAAATTTGCAAATACACCCTTCTTATCAAAACCATTTCCGAAACTACTGCCACAATTCCACTATCCGTATGCGGCAAAAGATCACTGGAGCCTAACCACATCTTCCCCTGCTTGCCAGTTGACAAGATAGTCTACCCAGAGAACCGCAATCTTTCGCCGTGCGTTGGATGGGAGCCACCGTTAAATATCCCGACAATACCCCCAAAATCTCCCTCTGTCTTTCCTCATCCACGCAAGTTCCGTGTATATAGCTTTCTAGGCCTCCGTATCCAACGTGACGACGGTGCAAAAGGCACCTAAATGCCCAGGTAGGTTTCTCATTTCTTTCCTTCGTGCAAAATATCCACCCAACAACCCATCCACTGATAGATAATATGCCGCAGTTAACCAAGGACCTTTTCTAGAAACTGAATAAACCAAAGTTCTTCAATCCAACAATTTCCCCAATTTATCTTCATCCCTTGACCCATCGTACCCTAAGTAAGTTGGTGAACCCTGTCCTTGTTCCTCGCTAGCTAAGCAGTAACTAACTACGTAATCACTTCACTGAAACTAAACTCCTCAAAGCAAGCGAACACAGGAAGTATATAATCGCCTCCAGGGGGGCTCTTTGTTTGCTATGAAGGTGGGGAAGAATGCATTAATAATTTGTCAGCTAGCGGTCCCGCTGTCCATGCTAACAGGGTCCCATTATCCCTCAGACTTGGTTCCATGTTTTCGTCAATAATAGAGCGCCCAGGCTAATGACTCGGCACAGAAAAAACTGGGGCAGAGGTCGAGGCATGGCAACTTGGACAGTTTTCAGCTCCATTCCATCTCTTTTATAAAAAATAAAAAATAAAAATAAATAAATAAATAAAAACCCGCAGCAGGGAGCAGCCGGAGCGGAGTATGCAGATGGCCCTTCACATGTAAGGAAAACGATGTTGGATGAACTATACGTATGCAAAATATCTAATTTTGTGCCCCCACTGCAACGTCTGGAACTTCGGATTTTAGGAAGTAATTGGAGACCAAGTTTTTTTCTCTTGGACATGGCTCTTCTTGTTGCAGTCAGTCAGACAGGAGAAAAAAGAAACCAAAGCCAGATAATCTCTGTCGTCTAACCTGGTTTCCGGGTTATCTCTCGTGGCGGCGTGGTTCCTGATCTGCAAGGGAGGTAGATTGTAAGAGAGCTGCAACAGAATTTTGAATGCGTCCGTCACTGCATGAGGGTTTCCGGCCGTTGCCTGGTATGCACGGAGAAACTGTACAAGCTTCGTCCTGACGATCTAACAAATTTACCAAAGAGGGTTTGGCCAACTTGTTGCATACCCAGGAGCCTTATTAGTCCGGTGATATACTGGGTGCTTCATTTTTTTTTTTTTTTTTTTTTTTTTTTTTTCATTTGGTCCCTGGTTATTTGGTCTGAACCCGAATATATTTATTCTCCGTAATGAACACTTTCTCACCCGTTGCATCCATAGTAATAATAATAGTAAATAAGTAATGTCAGGTCTATCCGCCTTCTTATGTAATCCGCACCGTATAGTTATAACTTCCGCGTAGCTAGCGATCGCTTCATAATCAATCAAGCAATCTATCCTTCACAAGTAATATATAATACGCCTAACTATAATATGTAGATGGGCGCGTGTGTGATTTGGGGGCGACAAACCGCATCTCTTCACAGACCGCAGATGGTCCACATACCTCGTCGTCCTCTGCAGGGTTTTTGTTGCATGTCACTCCATAACCAGAGGAGGACCACGAATTCTCCGGACTTGGGTTAGACATACGACGAGGAACCGCGCTTGCTGCGTAATTTATAAGCATGCGAAACTGTCCTAAAACGCGATTTGTATTTTGTATTTCTTTTTTCTTTCCCTTTTTTTAATTACTCCTTGCGAATTCTCACATCTCAATACCGTAGCCTCATTTCTGCGTTTCTTGTTCGAGGGCATTTGGAGCCTCATTGGGCATTTTGCATTGATCCAACCGAGCTGACACCGCGCGTCACGTCTGATTGGCTTGCTGATCGATCGCTGGATTATTATTCTTTGGAGAACCTAACGGACACTCCGTTCTTTGAAATTTGCGGACAAGTTACATTTCAACCTGTCCCCAGGCAGCGCTACAGCGGCGGGCTTTCGCTCCATCCCCTACTCCGTTCTCAAATAATAATACTGTCCGTACGGGGGGGGGGGGGTGGGGTGCTGCAGAATAGCGTCAAGTCATGCCAGAATCTAAAAATATGGAAATAACAGGAAAAGCTGGACCCGCTGCAGAATAGCCCGGCCGGGTGCACCAAGCAGGAGAGAGCTGGCGGTGACTAGGATAGTGTTCGTGCCTCTTCCTGCCTGCTGTGCCGTGATACGCGCTGACCATTCAACAGGCAGAAAGAGGCCCGAGTTTCATTGCAACCACTAGCCATCTGTGGTCCCTCCTGTCAGCCTGTACTCGTTACAGGAAACCTGCAGCTTTCGGGAGGGGGTTGTAGTTTTTTAACGGGGGGTGGGCGACGACGGGTGCCAGATATCGCCAACCTTGGGAAGCATCAAGGATGATGGATGGCCTTTTCCAAAAGTATTTCCCGTATGCTATAAAAATACCTGCGGGATGAACTCTTCGTTTGTTGGCTGCAAATGTAAGTATTACAGGCGTGATTATTGTATCAACACAAGGTACCTGTGCTCATTCCCGTCGCATCGGGACCTCATTTCAGATGACCCATTGCGCTTCCTGCTAGCTCCTGATCTCCCTGGTCTGCACAGGGCTGCTTGGGCTTCATCCACACTGTTTAGGGCTCAATGAGTAAGAGAAAAAATAAAAAGAATCAACGCCTGGACCACACATGTATTAATATTACGGCACTAAGCACAGAAAGAAGCGCAGCGGAGACGAATAGTCATAGGTTATTATGCACATTAAAAACGTGCCGCGCCCCTCGATTCCCTCCCTCCCTCTGCACCTGTGGACAAAAGCAAGGCTTCTATCCTCTTGTCCAAACTCTTTTATATATACATATATATATATATATATATTATTACTATTATTATTATTAGCCTGCATGAAGATCGTCTGCCTTAAATCCCGATACGGACTATAAATATAGTCGAATCCCACTCCGCTTCCATTTACGTCTATTCTTATTTTATCTTAACAGGTTTTTCTTCACACTACTTTCAAGATGATTACTTTTATCTACTTTCCATCCACAGGTTTATTCAGCATATTCGAGATATAAAAAAAAAAAAGAAAAGAAAAGAAATCTATTAAATATTCTTGAACGAAGAAGAATA